TATATTACTATTACTAGTATAAAAGAATATTGTTTGTAGGTAGGGATATAATTATTTCTACAATAACTACGTACGTAATTCTAGAATTTTCATCTTCAATCTTACAACTTGCAGCAACCCATAGATAGATAGTTTAAACCTAAGAGTTGCTCTGGCTGTTGACATCAACTTCAAATACGTCAACGTGCATGGTAGAGAAACGGCCATTAGATACTCACATTACAATGATGAATTCCATATCTCTCGTTTTTTGCGAGTAAAGATTCACCAAATTGCAAACTCGTATTTTCTCTCTTTCTTTATGAAACTTCATATCCTTCTATATTCTTTATGAACAGTTCTTTATTCATGGTATGGTGTGGTAAGTGAAAAATTCACTTTTTTTTTTTTCATTTCAAACTTTGAACTTTTCAGCTATTTGTGCATGTATTCTTCTTCATACTCTGTGTATCCTCATTTTTTTTTATTTCGTTCGTCCCGAGCACCCTTTCCCCGGAAAAATCTACTTTACAATAGCTCCAACTTTTTTTAGTGCAACAACATATCCAATCTATTTTAATAACATAATGACCCCCTAATTGGTTGCTAACTTTCCCGATAACATTATATCTTTGCATATCTATTATCTTTTGCTACACAATAATGGGTGGTACATCTATTATACAATAGATTCCCCATCTTCCTCTTCAATTCACATTCCAACCTTCCTTTTCTTCCAAACACAATACCAACAATGTCAATTGCAACTCATCTAGATTTTGATGTGTTGCTACATGAAACAACAAAAATGCATGGAACTATTCTGAAAAATTAGGAACGCAAATTCCTTCAACTACATATTTCCATGTTTGGTATATAGTGTGTTTCTCTCCCAGTGCTTGGAGAGATTTTTTTATTTAGATTAACTTTTGTTCATTGGCATTTTTCTTATTCCCTAGATCTATGGCTCCAAATGTTTCCCGGCCAAATCAAACATTGTTTTGCTTTGCTGTGAAGGTATAAACATGTGATTAAAGACTTGCAGGTTGCTATTGGACCGAGCCCTCCAAAAGTTGTTAAGGATGCCTGAGGATGTTATATTAAACAAAAATAAGAATACAGAACCTCTTTTCATAATAAACTAACAGAGGTACACTAATGATTTCAAAGAAAGCAAGGTCATATCCAAAATGGCCTTAACATGATCAGGAATACAGCAACAAACCACAACAAATATTCATTAACAACATAATCAGTTATTATCCGAGATCATCTTATCCTTCCTTACCACATGCCACATGACTCAACAAAAGAACAAAAGGATCTAAACAAAAGGATTCTTGACACTAGTATCCATTTCTAAAGGATCAACAGTATCATCATATTCCAAGTTAGCTTTTCTTCAATAGTTATTCCTGCAATTGACATTCCCAAAAACCACATTCAAGATCAACAAAACATTTAATCCAAAAGAAGAAAAACTCAAAACCACAAAAAAATCACAAAACCATCTTGCAAGCTAGTTAATGACAGTAAGAACCATCACCTCAAATAAAATAAAACCAACTAACTAGTTTCCTTGAGGAAATTTTTGAACCAACCTTCATTTCCACAAACTCGCTTCACATTAGTGTAAACCTTTCATCAAAAGCCACAGAAACAAAGAACGAAAATACTCGTCCACGGACTTTTTCGGACAATGTTTCTAAAATAAGTGAAAATAAAAATATAAGAATTGGATGATAATCCTCAATAGAAAAATTATAGAACTAAAGTGCTTACCAGAAATGGACCCATATGGCGCACTGTATTGCGAATAAATCGTAATAAATCTATCACAGAACCTCCTTTATAGGGGATAGGGGTTTGGGGTTTTTTGTGCCAAGCCTGGAGATTTTTGTGCTGCGGAGCCTTGGTATTTTTCTGCCTCCATTTCATCCAAATAATCTTTCGGTTTAATTCTATCAGTCCACTGACTACCATTCAATAGATCTACAACATTTATATTTTTAAAATCTTGCAACACAGACATGATTTTCTTATGGCCTTGTTGTTTGCGCTCCAACTCTATTTTTGTTTGCGCTCCAACTCTATTTTGTCACTAATGAGGCATATAAACTCCAAGCGTTCCCTAGAGTTCCAGAGAAAAGGATGACCTTGAACCCATGTTGCTGTAGGTCTGAGATGAAAGGGAAAGAGAAGGATTTCTAAAAAATTCTGCTGAAAAAAAATTGCTCACATAGAAAGCTCCATTCAAACATAGCACTCTAGAGGAAGCTCAAGAAATCAAGTGTGAAGGACTCAAAAGAGAAGAAAGTGAGAGTTTGAAGAACAACAAAAAATTAGTGAGAGATGAATTAATAAACTACATTGTAACTAAATTGAATACAAAAATTTTGAGATAGAATTCATATTTATAGGCGATCTACATATGATACTAACATATCTTAACTACTAGATAATAATAAAGATAATAAACCTATAAGCTATTGTACACTTATCATTCTAGCTCTTATCTATCTTGATTAGCTCATAAGGGGACTCATCTTTTTGATGATCTCCTCTTCATGATAATTATTTTTAACAAGTATTTAATACATTAAATTATAATAGACTAGAATACGTACTTTCAATAAAGAAGATTAGAATACATAATTAATACACACACATAGACAAACACACAGACACATTAAATTATATTAATTAGTTTTGGTACTATCTACAAAAAAAGTTAAAGTGGATATCGACTGATTACTAATGACAAGTAGTATAGAACGTGTTATATTTTTTCCCACAAAAAAACATTCATCCATATTCCATTCCTTTTTATTAATTGTTGGTATTTATTCTCCTAATTAATGTTAATCCATTTCTTGAGGTCTCTTAATCTTACGTTTCTTCTTCTCTTTTGTCCTAGATTAATATTAATTTGAAAATCTGTAAATATTTTATTGCCTTACTTTTAAGCTCATTCTTGTTTTTAAGGTCGATCACGTTTGTTAATTTATTTTACTCATTCTGTGCTTCTACTACTTTCTTATTCTCGCAGTGTGAGACCTTGCTGCCTTTTTTCATTTTTCCATTCTCGTTGATTAACCCTAGATTTGATGAAATCAAAATCAAGACAATATTTTTGTTTGAGTGAATAATGTATTAACAAAATATCAACAAAATTGGTAAGTTGGGACATTTGGTAAAATCCAGATCAAGACAATATGATTCAGTGAAATAGGTCAAACTAATGTCACAAAGATTGGTAAGTTTTGATTGTATTTATGAAGCTATAAACAATAGCCAAATACAACCAATAAAGGGCAAAAGAAAAACCATATTTTTTGAACTCTCATGGATCTTTTTTTACTAGGGATTCCATAATTTTTTTTTTGACCGATGATAGTAAATGAAGGATAGTTACATAACTTGTAACACAAGAGTATGTGCCAGTGATAGCATTCGTGCTTGTACAGTTGTGAACTGCTCAAAAGCCCAAAAGTAGCCAAACTTTTATATTTTTTGGTAAATGATGAGATGTACTTTTTTTTCTCTCTCTCTCTCTCTCTCAATAAAGTCTACCTTCACACCTTTACAAAGTATCCATTATGTGAGTGCATACAAACTAGACATCTACATGCTATGCGCTATATATCACACGGAAGGTATCAGTTAATTACACACAAAATATACCTATTTCAAAAAAATAGTTTCTTTCTCTACTCTTAAATTTCATACTACTTGTTAGTTGATGCTTTAACTACCTCTCAATTGTAGTAAACACAACAGTAATTAACAACACTTAATTTGTGCTAAAAAATAGCAAAGTTTCTATTCCTCCATATATGATCAAACAAGAAACAAGAAAGCTCTATTTACCCCTTTACCATTTAAGAGATTCACTATTTTTTGGCAGCTCTTTAGGGCTATTGATTCATCCCAAGTTTCTTTCGTAACCTACAATTTAGAGGCAATAATTAGTTAATTACATTATTACTTTTTTCTAGTTCAAAAACATGGTCCATCTTGTTGAATTAAAACATTCTAAAGTGTCCATGCATTTTTGTTAAATAGGGGGAAGGGAGTTTTAGATTGGATCCAGATTGAGGATATAGAGCTCCATAAAACACTAGGCTTATATACTTGGTTCTAGGAAAAAACTAAAGTTAGCAAACGTCACCAACAAAAAAAGAAAATACCTCCAGAACGCTTGATTTCTCTCTAGTATTTTAAGTTCTCTCTGCGATCTACTGTAATAAATTTTAATTTCTTTTACCTATCCTCCATGGAAATGGAGGCAGAGGAATCTACCCCTATGGATTATGACACATGGGATTCCTCAACTAAAAAAGTAAGTAATAAAGATGAGACCACAACGCCACAACAAGATGTTGTCAGTAGATCAGCTTGTGTTATACAGCATACAATAACAATATGTTCACTACACTCCCATCAAGTTAGGGTCTAGGGTCAGCTGTACGCAACCTTACCATTATAATTATACAAAGAGATTGTTTCTGTTGGAACTCAAGGTATATTGTGTTATTTGATATATTTATTTCTAACAACTTCGCTAATAAAAGAAGCGCTGGAATTTAATGGTGGCATTTTGAACTAGCCCATTATTATTAGTACAGAGCTTAAAGAATTATCAGTGATTACTGATCTTCCAGCCCCACTTGCAATGACAAGTTATGTTATACTGTATCTGTACTCTTTTTCAAAACTAGTCCTATATATAACGCGCGCTTGAGAGGTTTTCGTTTGTAGCATACATTTCATTTTTGTGAAAGGCCTACAAGGCACATTTTCTTCTTACAGCTTCCCGGGATTAACTCTAACTTTTCCATTTATAATCTTAAAGAACCTTTGAATTCGTTGCTGATCATATTACACCTTGTAAGTTATTACCATCCTTCAAAAACATACGAAGTTGGGTAAAATATATGTGTTTCCCATGCAAATATATTCTTCATTATTATTTTTTATTCTTTTCCGAGATAAGCTCCCATTTATTTCTTAAAACAAAAGGTCAATTTCGTTCTATTTTATAGAGTTACAAATACTTACACGCATAACTTATTCAACGTAGAGAATAGAGATCAGGACTACCTTACACAGAGTGATAGATCTTAATGCACCAAACAAAGAAATAACAGTGATTTGTACCCAAAAATAAAAATTAAAAAAAAAAAAGAAAGAAAGAAAAGAAAGAAAAGAGTGATACATGTACTCTAGCTATGGCTTGTCATCCTTGGAATCTGTAAATGAAATCTCAACAAACTTTCCCTTCTTCCCAAAATGGATTTCGGTTGAAGCAGGTGAATAAAAAGCCTGTTGGGAACCGCGCTTTCTAGGTTTGACCCTGACCGGCTCCATCACAACATCAGAAGAGTTGATCAGATGGGGGAAATTAAGCTTAGCTTTGGAACCCCGCATTCGGAAGGCCGCCCGGTCGTACGCCAACGCGGCGTCCTCCGGCGTCTCGTAAGTTCCCAGCCACATTCTCGACCCTTTCCTCATCGGATCCCTTATCTCCGACGCAAACTTCCCCCACGGCCTCCGCCGAACACCCTTGTACCGCGTCCACTCCGCCGTATGCGCCTGCACTAGTCCGCCCTCCACCGCCGTCGAAAGCCCTAGTCGCTGCGGCTCAAGGCGGCTACATTCAGCCGTCTCCGACGAGTTATTGCTATTATTACCACCGGCCAAATTACTATTAATGCTACTAGGCATCGAAACAAAACAAATCGGAAACTTGGGAATCATATCAGCTAGCTAGTCATTGGATTCCGCGGCTTTAATATTCTTTTTTTTTTCGATGTGGTAATCAGAGGATGGAGAGAAGGAAGTGAATGAATGAATAATTAGGGGTAACTTGGTTGTTAACTTGTTATTAACGATTATATTAAATGAAATTAATGGGATCACTTAAGGCATGGCTACAATTTAATAATAGGTCGGCGGGGCCTTTTTCGTTCCTAGTCGTTTTTTTTTTTTTTTTTGGAGACTTCTACGAAAGGTGTAAATCGGTCACATTCATGTTGACGTGTATCACAAAGTAGAATTTTTTTAATTTTTTTAAGGGCACGTTTCTGTGTTCTAACAACTGCATGTTTAAATTTTATTTGTCTTTTTTAAGGAAATGAATGGTTCGTGGAAATGGAGTTAATGCTAGATGGATATGCTCTAATACGTATACCACAACTAAGATACACTACATTTGTTTCAACTTTAGTGATCGGTTACTTTTCGTTCACTTTGTAGGTCATTCTTCCCATATATGATAGCTGTGATTACAAGTAACTTCAAATTTTATTCACCTGAGTGTAAGTCTTTCTGCGATGTTAGTTCAGAACTTAAGCTAATGTATCTATTTTTTTTGTTTTTTTTTTTTTGTTTTGAGACGTAAAGAATAATTTGGTGGACTAAGGAAAGCATTACTTAGTGAAAACTTGGAAAAATGCTGTCATTTATCCGAAAATACATGGAAATTATTATTTTTTTTTTTTGGTACAATGAGAGGAGGCAAATGCATGAAAAAAACTCAATCACTATAGAACGTTGGTAAGAAATACCAACTATATCATGATATAACCAAGGTTTAACCACATCCGGTAGATCCTCTAGCCGCACCAGACCTCCAGGATTTGAAACCGCTAGCGTTGCTAGTGAGTCGGCTGTAAAATTCCGCTCCCGATAGATGTGATTTAACTCTACCATCCACGCTCTCCTCAGTAATTCCCGAATGGCCATGGAAATTGTTTTGACAACCAGGGTTCGACTTTTTTGCTTAATTGATTTATAGTACGGTGTCTTATCTATTCATGTAATATTTTCCAAAAACGAGCTACTGTTGAATTAATCCTACGACGACTGCGGCTCACTAGTTATTTGGTACAGCTAATTACCCTCGCAAATGGGAATGTCGCGATGAAGTTCAACATTCGATAACAAAATATATATTAGAAGAAATTACGTGGTAAATTGGTGAATTAATTAATATTGTCTGCCTATGTTTATTCTTCTATTCCTCGCGCAAAAGGCTAGCTAACATTTCAACTTAATTGTTGTCCTTTTCAACTTCAAGAACCTTCTTTCAGCTTTTTTTTTTTTTTTTTAATAATTATTCGCTACTTGTAATAAGTTTCTTATATAAGATGACCGCGCAACAAAACAAATTATTATTAAGAAAAAGGGCTTCCCACGCATGCTACATAGTCTTTAGTTAGTACTAATTAACTCTTGAACAAAACTAGTTAACCAAAGATAGTGTTGTGGCATGCGAACCCGTACCTCAATCATTTGACGAAAATAAATCATGGATACATGATAATTTAAAAATATACAAATTGATCTCATCGACAAATACATTTTGATGATCAACAAAAATCCTTGATCATGAAGAGTACGTGGATAAAATTTGTATATGGAAATGTTTGTATTCACTCCGTTTCACCGTAATAGTCTACTTTGTTACTAGTGTTCCAATTCAATAAAACTAGTACTTGTAATACAGTAGGAGAGACGCCAGATAAAAACTATTTGATGAGTGAGAAAACCTCCAAATTAACCACGCCTTCTAGGGTTTACTCTTGTAGGTAGAAAAGTACGGTGACCAGAACCAATGAGGTGTGGAAAATTAACCCTAGCGCGTGAACCAAACATCTTGAATGCTGCCTGGTCAAACGCCAATGCTGCATCCTCCGGCGTCCCATATGTTCCCAGCCATATTCTTGATCCTTTCTTGTTGGGGTCCCTTATTTCCGCCGCGTAGCTCCCCCACGGCCGCCTTCTAACTCCCCGATACCTCCTAGGCCAATGATCACCGGAAAAATTCACGGCCGGCCGGGAGGGTACAACAACACCTACTTCAGTACTAGGTTCCACCTCAACCGCTGGAAGAGATTTATTATGCTCTTCAGATGATGATGAAGATGAAGGCGAACAAGTCTTTATGTTACTAAGGTTTAACCATGTGTTTCCTGAATCTTGGGAGCTAGTAAAACTTAGGTTAGGGTTGAATTTCGGAAAATCTTCGAACGAGAAATCGGTAGTGTCGTTTAGAAGATGGTTTTCTATGGAAGATAGGATGGCTAGCTCAGTATCTGAGATGGTGACAGCTTCATACATTTTTCTCTACAGTGATTAAGATCTTTCAAATTTTATAAATTAGCTGAATTGTATACAAGGAAATGGATGAACTCGATGATGATTTAATTTGGGTTTGCGTATATATAGAGAGTAGATTAATTGAGTTCTAGATCGACATATTTCTTAACTACCGAGGCATGGCCAATTTTTTTATTTTATTTTATTTTATTTTTAATTTTGACCCGAACTAGTTAATTAATTCATTAAGTACGTATACATGGTTTATTATTGATCCATGCAAGCAAATAATATTCCCAAGTTCCACAATTATTATGCAATTATTGACTAATATGGATGGTGTGCCAAATTAATCACATGTAAATTGGCTTATAAATTGATTAAATGTATAGTTTCTGATTTAGACTCCAAAACACATGTCCTTTCTCTGATAATAATAAGATATATGTTTTGGGTAATAATAAGTAGATATAAAAGCTTCGTGGAAAGAGAGATCAAACAGGAATAGTGAATATGGCACGCAACAGTAGTAAATACAACCCACAGGAAGGAGAACACTGAACACCAACGACATTCGACTGAATTATTCTGTCATTCATTTCTTTTTTTGGATTTTCCATGTGGTACAAGTGCAATATATGTACAATTGAATTATTTTGCTATCATTTTTAAATTTATTTCTTCTTTCGACAAAAAAAAAAAGAAAAAAAAAACTTAAGTAGTCAATAATTATTGTACTTTTTTTTTATATGTGTTTGTTTGTCTTTTTCACTTGATAGTAACTTTATCACATGTACTAATATCATTTGGTGTACAAATGATAATTTCATTGTGTGACACGAACAAGTTGTACATATCATCCTCTAGTTTAATTAGATGATTATTAAGCTCTGCCTTCTCTTATAAAATAACCAGTACTGGACTCCAATGAATCTTATTGTACTATGTAAGTATTTTGGGGGGAATTGAATTGTAAGATAATTTTGGCGAATTGCTTCTTCAATTCAAAACTACTGCATAGTGAATGTTCATGGATAACTCAAATATGACAAGGGAGTAATCTCAATTTTTTAATTTTCAATTTTCTAACATTGTGAGAGTTCAGTAAGGCTAATAAAGCACCAAGCTGGCTGAATACTAGCAGTAGTCTTCATCATTTGGTGAAGTCTGGCATATTGGGTTGCCCATCAACCTGCAATTTCATGGATCAAAAGTAGTCATAATTAGTTCAGAGTTAGAGAAACGGAATGGTAAAATCATCTCCTTTGAAAATGGCACACTAGTTGTTTGTTGAAATGTCTCACAGTAATGTTCTGTCATATCCAGAACTTAAATCAACTGAAGATATTCCATTGTTGCGCAAATCAATGCGCTGAAGATATCGGCTTATGTTGCCGCTCATCTCTAAGGTACCATTGAAGGCATTGTTCTTCAGGTACCTATAAATAGTTAGTTTAGTTAATCATATCACTTCTCTGAAAATGCAGTCAATTACAGGTTTCTATATTATTAATCTTGTGTTACAGAAGCTTTGACTTACAGCATTTGGAGTTGAGGTAAAGTGAAAAGTTGTGGAGGCAACTGCCCCTGTAGCAAACAATTTTCACAAGCCCTGTATGGATTAAGAAACTTTTAGTTCAATGGAAAAATCTACAACAGGATCAATATGATTTGATACTCACAGAAAGGAAAGTGAGTTTAAGGTTGAGAGCCAGGCTGGAGCATGTGATGGTTGAAAAGAATTTGAACTCAAATCCCTAAGACCAGAATCAATGTCAGAGTTAGCAGTTTTATCCTTGACAGATTGAGATATGGATGAAAGAGGCGATTAGAATAATCTTGGTTGCAGTCTTTACAGGTATTCGAGGCGGTCATTTCCAGTTAAGTCAGGTAAAGATCCAGAGAAGAAATTATTCCTTATGGAGCTGTAAGAACACAGAGGAGTGAATTAGAGAAAAGGAAGTAACTCAATGTTTCACTAATAATCTGATGTGATGTTAATGAATTGGAGGAATGCATCTATTGCAAGTACTTACATTCCCCGGAGGTTTTTCAGGCTGTTGAGATTTGGCAGTTCACCGCTGAAGGCATTAGTGTCTAATCGTCTGTGAAGAAACCCGCATTTGAGTAATTAACAGGCAGAGTAAATTTGAAACAAGGGGAACAAAACTACATAGTTAGTATTGACTACTGAGGGATTGATGAAATAATGCTCACAGAATCTTCAGTGTCTGCAAAGTTCCTATTGAAGATGGAAGTTCTCCAGCAAATCGATTTTCGTGCAATAACCTTATCAATATTTTGAAGTTCAGGAAACAGTAAGATACAGGCAATGGTAAATCAAAATGAGATTAGTAGCTTGATTTGAGTGGCAGCTTACAAATATTCTAGGACCATGTCTGAGCTGAAAAGCTGATCAGGAATTGGGCCAGACAGCATATTGTTATTCAAGATGCTGCAATACTGTACAAATTTAGGGACTTTGTCCAGAGAGAAACTTGAGAAACACAAATGATAAAGAGATCATAGCTACAGCCTTACAGGTTTGTTGCGTTTTTCAAAAGGTCAAGTCCTGGAGTTGTTGATGTCGAAACAGGAATCGATCCGCCCATATGATTTTTAGACAGGTCAAGCCACACAAGGTTTGAGAGATTACCCAAAGATGGTGGTATTTCGCCAGATAAATTATTCGAGCTGAGATCTCTGTCAAGGAGAATAGAATGACAAATTGAATCGCTTTTCGCAAGACTAGTAGATGTCAGTCAAACTTGAAACGCATTCCTTTACGCCAGATCTTACAGCATACACAACTTCACAAGGTTTCCCAGTTCATCTGGTATTTCTCCACTGAAGCCACATCCATCAAGGAATCTGAGAATAATCCGCGAACGGAAAAAAAAAAAAAAAAAAACCACGGAAAACCATGTGTTTGTGAGCAATATGAATTTCAGGTACTCCCTTCATCCTACTATAGTATAAGAGTCTAGTTTTCAGGTTTAGAAACAACAGGCTGAGTGGTGTCTATTCCATGTGAGGATTCATGTAGTGATCTTACAAGTTTTCCAGCATAGGCAAATCACCAAGCCCACGGGGTATGGAACCTGTGAGACGGGTAGATGACAGGTCTCTGCAAGAAACTTACACCGCTTAAACAAAATGAATTCTTCGCTTTTTCTTTTTTTTTTTCCTGGTAAAGTTATTTCCAATGTTTGAAATAGACGGTTAAATCCTACAATAAAGTGTCTTCATTTAAGAGCTGAAAATCTTTTCCAGTTTAGAAAACTCACAAGGTTCTCAATTCAGTGAGTTGGGCAATGCTGTCATCCAGATTTCCAGATATATTCATTCCTGACAGGCGCCTGGAACATTTCAAATTCAAAACCATTAGAATAAGGAGATGGAGGGAGAGGCATATGTATATAAGGAGATATCTCCATACAATGAAATCACCCTTGAGGACGCACTGCAGAGAACTCCTTCCCAAGAACAAGGATCAACAGAAACATTCCAACCTCGTGGCGTATTCGCCCATTGGTCTTTCAGTGACCTAAGAACCGAAGCTGCATGAGAACAATATTACAAAGTTTAAGACTTATGATGAGGCTGGCTTTTCGAACATCAAACGTTATATACCAGAGTAAAACAATTTCTGCTACATATCGTACCGAAACTGTAAGTAGTTGAGTCTTAAAACATACCGTCTTGCGGATCAATACCGAAAGAAAGCTTCCATAGAATCATACATAAGCTCATTACCAGCAGCTTTCCTACGATGGCCATTTCTATAATCAGCTTGAACAGTAATAATGGTATTGGTGCCAAATGTGACAATGAGGAATATTTATAGGGAATTTCTTCAGAAAGTCTAAATGTGTGCATTTGTCATCAAAGCAATACATACAACGCAATCTCTTAATTTTTTTGAGTCTGGATCCTTGTATTATTGTTTGTTCTAGACGCCATTTGTTTCAGTTCTTTGGAAAGATCGAACTAGAAAAGACAAAAAGCAGGGCAACAAGTTGAACACAACACAGCTGGACCTGCCGGACTGCCATATTAATTTTTTGTTTTTACCAGTATCAATATATTTTTGACCAGTTCTATTGTTTTGTGTTGGATTCTGCTTTTTTTAGCCCCTGAAGATTTTAGTGTTATTCTATGCGGGCGATATGAATCAAATATCTGGTACAGATACATGAGTAACATGTGGCTTTATCGACTTTCTCTGAGAGTTGAAAGAGTTGCCGGAAATGTCAAGGGAGGTGAATTTTTCCAGCTTGAAAAGAATTGGGCCTTGGTCCAAAGTCTTGGCTACTTAAGGAAAAAAGAAAAAAGTCTTTTTTATTTGTCCAAATGTCTTCCAATTTCGAGTTGGGAGATGAGCATTTGGCGTCCACAAACCAACCCATCAACAATGAATGAATTAATGAGAGATGAAGAAGTCATTAAAGTTGTACTAATAGAGCCAACTGAAATCCACCCATGTCTGCAATCTTTTGCATGTGAATAAGTATGTACATGCAATGCAAATTTTGTTACCCAAGCAATTATATTAACTGATCTATCTTCAGGGAATCCCGTGCATCATCAGCTGGAATAATGTTACCAAGTTTGATACTAATCCATATGACCAGGATGACCTAAAGAGGGAACTTTTTGGTATATATTTCCTGTAAAAGTTAAGTAATGAGTTCAATCTGCGTAATATATACAGTCTGCAAATGCCATATTCTTTAATGGAGATCATGTCAAAGGGACCGGAGATCCCATAATTTTGAGGCTTTCAGATTTCCAGAATATTACTTAAGTTAAACACTAGAAAACAGAGCTGCCCTTCCAGATTGTCATGTTAATTACAGATTGTATTAACTGGCTTTTTGCATATTAATCATCGAGTTCAGGGAATTTTGGCAGTTTGATTTCTTTGGTGATCTGCTCAAAATCAGTTTCATTATTGACATCCAGAAACATCACACCAAAAAAAAAAAAAAAAAGTGTATGTAGTCTCCATCGCATTCTAATCAACAAAACAATCTGGGATGTATCCAGTTAAATTGTTATTTGCCAGTACTAATTGTGCAAGGAATGGCAATTGACAAAGCTGTACAGGAATATTACCATGAAAATTGTTAGAATGAAGCCTAAGGTCCCCTAATAGTTGCAATTCTTCGCCGATCCAATCGGGTATGGTGCCTGTAAATTGGTTCATCCCGAGATGAAGTGTAATCCATGTTTTCAAGTTCTTCAATGAGGACGGAAGCACCCCATGAAACCTGTTTTCGGTTAAATTCAAAAAACCGAGTTGAAGCAAGTTTCCAAAGCACAGGGGAATTTCTCCTGTTGGTTGGTTGGTTGTTGGAAAGAGAGAGTCTTACTAGAGATGATGAGTTGCAGAGGTGTTCGGGGATGTTTCCGACAAAATGATTACCATCGAGGGCAAGAAATTTGAGCGACGAAAATGTTATGTAATTGGCATCCAACAAACCTGTCAAATTATTGTAGGAAAGGTCCAAATGTTTTATACCTGGTGGCATTGGCATCAAAGATCCATTGATCATATTGTTTGAAAGATCCAGATGTGCCAATCTAGAATAAGCAGCCGAAAACCCAATCAGGGATGTCGCCTGAGATGCTGGCATTTTTCATGCTTAACCATTCAACATTCCTCTGGGTTTGAAGCCATTGAGGAAATGGCGTCCCCATGTACACAGAATCCAGCCCTATGTGCGGAAGCTGAAATGGAGGTATCCATTGGGAACTCAATAATAAACTGATTGGATGGAAGATCCAAAGATTTTAAAGATTTGAGTTCCCTCAAGTGGATTTCCGACACCTCGCCAGTCAACGAATTCACTGAAATATCAAGTTCTTGTAATTTGGTGAGTTGCCATAGAGTAGAAGGAATTGTACCATACAAATGATTGAAACCAAGCGAGAAAGTTTGCAGCTGTTTCAGAAGACCTAATTCACAAGGTACTTCTCCACCGAATTCGTGGTGTCCGAGATCAAATACCATGAGAGATGTCAAATTTCCAAGGCAAGAAGGAAGTGATCCTTCAAGTAGCTAGATTGCCACTTAGATCCAAATAAATGAGACCAGTATGATTACATAGAGAATTTAGTATATCCGCGGAATTGAAAGAGTTCAAAGAGATGTCAAAGATAGTTAAGGAGGTAAATGTTTTCAACGTGAGTGGAAATGAGCCATAAAAAAAAGATTCCCATCAAGCCTAAGAACTTCAATCTTGCTGGTCAAATTGAACAAGCCAAGTACTGAGGTAGACTCTAGATTACTTAACCCGATGTCAAGCGAAACAAGAGATGTCAGATTAGAATGAAACCAAGGAGAATAAACAGGATCAACTAAGTCACAGTACCTTAATCTCAGTGATGACAACGAAGGAAGCATGTTTACCGAATCCAACCAATCAAGAGACTGATTCAAATTGGTTCCTGAGAGATCCAATGCTACTAAGGAAGCTAATCCTGTAATCCAGCTGAGACTTTTGGAGGTTAAGAAGTTATCGAACAATACGAAACTGGCTGTACCAAGACACAGATAATGTAAATCAGACAGATTTCCAAGATGAGGAGGAATGTCTCCAGAGAATCCTGAACCCGTCAGGTTGAGATATCTCAGGTTTTTCAGAGGTTCCAAAAATGTTGGAGTTGGAATTCCTGAAAAATAATTCAAGCTGAGATCCAAATACTGCAATTGCTCTAACTGAATGATGGAAGGATTGATTTGTCTTCCCAAACAGTTTTTGATATAGATATCAGAATTGTTATATTCAGAGTTGATATCATCAACATGATACTGGAAGGGGTTACGAAGATCAAGCTTCTCCACATGGCCAGTAATAGTGTTACAAGTAACGCCATCCCAATTGCAACAATTCTCCCCAGTCCATGATGACAAATGACTCGCGTTATCAACTAGACTTCCTTTGAAATCCATGAGAGCTCGCCTTTCGCGATCGATGCAGCCTGCATTTTGGTTGTAGCCAAGCTGAATTTTATGATGATCAACAGAATGCATAAGAGAAGAAGAAGAAGTAGACCATTGTTACTAATGCTTCCCATAATGCTATGGTTTTAGGTCTTAGTTCATCGTATACAGCCTCTCAGTTGTGTGTGCAATTATGCATCAAGTCCAGAGATACTACTGGTTTTGTTTTTTGATTGGAAAGTCGTTTCACTGTTTTAAGACAAAAAGAAACATAATATCGGCATCATGCCTGGTTGTATATCTTTGTAAGTACTATTTAATATTACAAGAAAATGGACTATATATTAAAATGGGACGAGTCATTATATATAATACATGAGATTCATCGTGCTTATGTATACAAATATTCCAACAAATATTCCTATGTTTGAGTTAAAAAATCAAGCATCAACCAAGTTCAAAGCCATTTATTTGACCACAGATATATTTAAGTTTAAAGTTTTTGTAGTACTAATTCTAAGAACCAGGTCTTCTTAAACTACTGTTAGTCCAAGTAAACGTCAACTGTGAGTACTCATTTTGGGGAGTTTATATGTGGTTGCTCCCTTCGTCCAATTTTCATCAGTCTACTTTGTTGGATTTTTCTTAGTTTAATAATGTGGAATATTGAAATGACATAGAAAATACAATGATTTGGGATTTTACGAAAGTAGAATCGATCGATCGCATTGTTGCATTCTAATTAAGGTGTTGCGAAGTATCATGCGAGAAATGGTTTTCACAATGTTATTCTCAAAATTATGATTGTATAGAGGGTTTGTAGTCTCCATCACACTCTAATTAACCCACAAAAACAATCAGGGATGAATCCTGTTAAACTGTTATTTCCTAATCCTAGAAATAGAAGGAATGGCAACTGGCAAAGTTGTATAGGGATATTACCATTGAAATTATTAGATTGAAGTCTAAGATCCCAAAATTCTGATAGCTCTTCGCCGATCCACTCTGGTATGGTCCCTGTCAAATTATTCCAGCCAAGATGAAGATTTGTTAAGACTTTCAAGTTCTTCAATGACGACGGAAGCACGCCGTGGAAGTGGTTCGACGAAAGGACAAGGTTCCACAATCCAGATAGTTCTTCACCAATCCAATCTGGTATGGCGCCAGTTAATTGATTGCCTCCGAGATCAAGTTGGGTTAAAAGTTTCAGGTTCTTCAGTGATGAAGGCAGCAGATCATAGAACTTGTTGGAGTGAAGATTAAGACTCTGTAATTGTGTTAACTCTTCTCCAACCCATTCAGGTACAGGGCCTGAAAAGTTATTCCCGCTGAGATCGAGTTCTGATAAATGTTTCAACTTCTTCAACACTGATGGTAGCGCCCCCTGGAAATTGTTTTTACTTAAATACAACCCACTGAGTTGCTGCAAGTTTCCGAAGCACAGAGGAATTTTTCCTGTCAGCCGGTTTTCAGAAAGAGATAGAAATGCTAGAGATGATAAGTTGCAGAGTTGGTCGGGAATTTCTCGGATGAAACTACCATCAAGGTTAAGAGACAGGAAGGATGGATTTGATATGTAATGAGTGTCAAATAAACCAGTCAATGAATTGTGGGAATGCAGATGGTGGCATTGATACTAAAGATCCCTGGATCATATTGTATGATAGATCCAAATCTGTGATGACAGAACAAGCAGTTCCGAACCATTCAGGGATAGCTCCTGAGATGTTGGCATGACTCATGTGTAACCAATTGGCGTTTCTTTGCATGCGAAGCCACCGAGGAAATTGGGTCCCAATGTAGACATAATCCATCCCTATGTGGCCAAGTTGAAATGGAGGAATCCATTGAGAGCCCACGTTGAGAGTAAGAAACTTATTGAATGAAAGCTCCAAAGATTTCAAAGATTTGATATTCGACAAGTGAATCTCAGACACCTCGCCAGTCAATGAGTTATCTGAAATATCAAGTTCTTCCAGTTTTGAAAGATGCCCTAGAGTCAGAGGAATTGTACCATACAACTGATTGAAACGGAGTGACAAAGTTTCTAGCTGTTTGAGATTACCCAACTCACTTGGTATTTCTCCACCAAATTTGTTGTTTCCTAGATCAAATAACCTGAGAGAAGTCAAATTTCCAAGGCAAGCAGGAAGTGATCCTTCAAGTGGATTGTCACTTAGATCCAAACGAATGAGACTCGCATGATTACATAGAGAATTTAGTATATCCGTGGAATTGAAGGAGTTAAAAGAAATGTCAAGGATAGTTAAGGAGGTAAGTGTTTTCAACATGAGAGGAACTGGACCATGGAAATGATCCCATAAAGCCTAAGAACTTGAAGCTTGCAGGTTAAATTGAACAAACTGAGTACTGCAGTAGACTCTAGGTTATTTTCTCCCATGTCAAGCGAAACAAGAGATGTTAGATTAGAATGAAATCGAGGCGAATAAACTGGATCCACTAATTCACAGTTGGTTAATTTCAAAGATGACAACGAAGGAAGCATGTTTACCGAATCCAACCAATCAAGAGACTGATTCAAAGTGGTTCCTGAGAGATCCAATGCTTTTAAGGAGACCAATCCACTTGAGACTCTTGGCTGTTAAGCTATTACTGTACATCCACAAATTTCCTTCATCAAGATATAGATATTGTAAGCCAGACAAATTTCCAAGATGAGGAGGAATCTCCCCTGAAAATCCTGCACCCGTCAGTTTGAGATATCTCAAATTTTTCAGGGATCCCAGAAATGCTGGAATTGGGATTCCACCAAAATCATTGGCGCTGAGATCCAGATACTTCAAGTGCTCCAACTTAAGTATAGAAATATTTATCTGACCTCCCAAACAGTTTTCCTGAAAGATATCAAAACTTTCATATTCCAAGTTGGTGGGGTTACGAAGATCAAGCTTCTGTACGTGACCAGTGAGATTGTTACAACCAACGCCATCCCAACTGCAGAAATTCTCGCCGGTCCATGATGATAACCGAGTCGCATTATCAACCAGGCTTCCTTTGAATTCCATGAGAGCTCGCCTTTCGCTGTCTGGATTTTGAGTGTAGCCAAGCTGAATTTGGGTGATGATCAACAGAATGCACAAGAGAAGAAGAAAAAGAAGATAATTAGTTTTACACATGTTTCCCATAATGCAACGATTTTGATTTTAGTTTAGGCATTAAAGTACAGGTATATTTATGCATACTGGTTTTCTTTCTTGGTTGGAATTTCATATTTATTGTTCAAAGTCTTCGTAGAATTTAAGGTTAAAAAAAAAAAAAAACAAACATAATACGTGCATCATTCGGCCTAGGTAATGCTTTGTAGAGATTAAAGAGATAATATATGATATTGCAAGAAGATGTACACACAGACAGCAGACCAGGTGTTGAGTAATAATAAGTACCATCAAACAATATCATTTGACCATAAAACTACTTTAATTATGTATTCTTACTAACCTAAGAACCAAGCCTTTATTTTAAACTTAACTAAACTCTTTAGTCCAAGTAAACGTCAACTTCTCAACTTCTCACTTATGAAATACTCTAGAAAATTCAATTTAGTGAATCATTTGAGTTTTACGTCTCTATTCAAAAGTGTTACGACATTGGAAATTTGAGAAAGCTGAATCGATCAAGCGCATCATTTCTGATGCTACATGGCATTGTTTAGATGTGTCATCGTCCTATATATTAATTTCTTCCAATCATGTTGCTTGACCATGTTGGAACTACTAATCAATATTTATAAACATTTTTAACACAAGAATCATACTTTACAAACTTAACAGATGTTTCCGATAGTTATTTTGCTTGCTCAATGCATAAGTAACAATATTGTACTAGCATGAATTACAACATTGGAGTATAAAATAAACAAAGCTCCTTCCAAAAGAATGTAGTGTACTATAATGCCACTCTCTTAAAAAAAAAAAAAAAAGCCACCCTAGAATTTTCACTTTTAATATAATATATATGAAAGGAAAATTGAAAATCAAAACTGAAGTGTTGGAGTATTTTAGAAAGGGAGCAAATGTATTCAGGAAGTTGGGAGAAGAAATATTTAGGATTGGTCCAGCTCAGCATCTATACTTCGGACTTAGTCAACCAACTCAAAGAATGGAAACCGTTGCCATTTTCAATCCCAGAGATCCTTTCCTCCCTATTGTGAAGCTTTAGTTCTTACTATCGGTGGGGAAATAATCCCTCCGTTCCAAAATTATTACCCAGTTTGAGATTTCAATATTAGTATAATTTGAACTAAAAATAAAAACTCAAAATGGACAATAATTATGGAACGGAGAGGGTAATAATTCCAGTTCGATTGTTAAAAGATCAGTAACAATGAGTATGATCATCAACCAGATTTATTTTCTCTTTCCCTTCTTGTAAAACGCCCGAAAAAGTTCACTTCTTGCTTGATAAAATGTGCAGCTAGAGTCTTTTAGGGGTTTCTATCCTTCTTCTTTTTTTCTTTTTTTTTTCTTTCCCTGTGCCAAATTATGTTGTTTTAATTACGATTTGTTTCCAACCATGTATGCTTTATTGATATGCATTATGCTCATGCGGTGTTACGTTTTATTAGATTTCAATTGCTTTACAGAAACTGATTCCATAGTCATCTCTGATTGTTCCTTCGCAAACGAAAGTGTAACTTGTGCTTGAAAAATCATCTCACCTCATGGTTTGATTATGCAGATCAAGTCAATAACTACACGTCCATTTCAAACAGAGACAATGACTTGTCTCTTAATTCTACAAGAAGCATTAAGTTTTAGAAAGTCAAGGTTTAAAGGAATGCATTGATTCGAGGCTCAAGAAATAATTTTGTTATTAGTAGTTTTATTTCCTTCTTTCAAGTTTTGCGAACCAATTAAAATTAGTAGCCAAAATGTCCACTAATTACATTTTAATATATAATAGAATGTATTAATATAATATTGTAATGTAATAGTTTAAATATCGTTTGTTAATATACCGAACTTTTTTTTAAAAAAAAAAAAATCAATTGCTATGGATAATTTTACTTGAATTCTGAAGTGTATCTTTAGCTTGCAAAAAAGCTTACCTCTAAAAGCATACACTCCTACCAAATCCAAGCAAAAACTTTGAGCCACAAAGTTGTACTAATAGAGCCAACTTGCATCACTAAAATCCTCCCATGTTTGTAATATTTTGCATGTGATGATAGGCATGCACATGCAATGAAAATCTTGTACCGAAGTGCTTGGACTAAACTATCTAGTCCAAGACTCCAAGCAAATGTATGTCAACTTCTCATTAACTTAAAAATATTTAACTAAACTACTTAAAAATCGAAAACTCATTTTCGTGATTCCTTTTGTCTCCCATATCAATGATAAGTTTCTTCTCTTTGAAAGATTTACAATTGATTGGAATCTAAAAAAAATTGAATCCGTTGATGTTTTTTATTTTTTTACACATTTTAATAAGTTTATATACATATGGTATGCATATGAATGAATTAAGGAGGTAGTGGAATATAAAGTACTCCCTTCTGTCCTTAATATAAGATATTTTGATTTGTTTTATGTTTCATCTCGTACGTATTTTTAATTGACGAAAAAATCTTAAAAATATTTTTTCACATTTGTTGTGTTCTTTTGACTGTTATGAAATGTTTTTTCGTCAGTTAAAAATATTTACTAAGTGAAACTTGGAACAAATCAAAATACTTTATATTAAGGATCGGAGGGAGTATAAAATATCGGGATTGGCCCAGCTCAGCATCCATAATTCGGTCTTTGTCAACCCGTTGCCATTCTCAATCCTCATCCCTGCTTCTACATCCTTCTGGAATCTTTTATTCCATATTTGTGATTAATTTTCACGTTGTTGGGGAAAAGTTTCCAGATTAATTGTTAAAAGGTTAGTTACAATGACCATGATCATCAACCGGGAGTTATTTTACGATTCTGTGTTTTAACGTAAAATGTCCACGGATAGAAGCTCACTTCTTGCTTGATGAAATGCGCAGCTGACTTTTCTGGTTTTTTTCCCCCTTTTTTCCCGTGGCATGTTATGTTCATTTAATTATGAGCCGTTTTCCAGTCTCCAAGCTGAATATCTTTGGAATATCTTTTTCACTTGCGGATTTATGGAAGCGTTGTTGTCTTACTGATGTATTTATTAATGTATTTGCAGTTACTTTTGATGGAACGCTGGAGTGGAATTCTCAAGGTGCTGTTGCACCCTGATAGCACCACTTTCTATAGAGTTGCTGCATCCCTCTGCCTTTCGCCTTCTTCCACGTCTCTTACGGTTAGTTTTCAAGTTGTTTACCATCACGTATGCTTTATGGATATGCATTATGCACATGTGGTGCTTGGTTTTATTAGATTTGAATTGTTATGGATAGGTTCACTCGAGTTGTGAAGAAGTATTTTCATCTTTAAGCATGCAAAAGCTACCCTCTAAAAAGCTTATGTATCACCTCCTGAAATCTAGCTAAAACTTAAAGTGCAAATTATTAGGTGTCAGACAGAACTATGAGGTATCACTTTGCCTAACTTGCAAATTTGCTGATTGATACGCGGGCTTAAATTTGAGTAAGACTCTGTGTATAATCGGTTAAGATTCAGTAATATGATTGGTTCTTAATCCGTCTAAGACCAGATGCCTTCTGCGAATGCCATATTCTTCAATGGGGATCATGTCGAAGGGACTGGAGATCCCGTAATTGAGAGGCTTTCGGATTTGCAGAATATTGCTGAAATTTTGGTTTCAAAGTTTGGTTCAACTGTCAATGCTTGGGTGGTTGATGCTCCCATTTTCAATGGTCCATTTGCTGTTTACAAGGATTTTGTTCCATCTATAAACCTGAATGGGGAACCAAAAGGCTATGATGCAACAGGGTTTCCAGCTTCTTCATCAATCGTGTCGCTTTTGGCCAATAGTTTGAGAGAGGTAAGATATGCTGATTGAGTTATTAACTTTGTCAGTTTTCCCTGCTTGCCTTATGCATGAAAGTGATCTTAGTACTTTTCATCTGACTAAGGGTTTTGTTGAGCAACTAGCAGTAAATGCCTTCCGAATGCCATTAACAGTTTTGTCTAGTTTGTCTTTTTCTTTTTTTTCTTTTTTTTTTTCCTTTTTTTTTGTGCATATTGCAGGTTGTCCATCGTCGGCAACAGCAGTTATCTTGACATTGATCTTCAGAATGCAATATTTTAGTCTTTGTGCACCCTCGCCATCAAAATTTATTTTCCCTTTTAGTGTTCAGATCTTTGATGTGACTTTTGCAGGCGAATAATGCTATTCTACCAGGGCAAGAAGGTCCTTCTCAGGCTGAACCTTCAACATCACTTCTGCATGAACCAAAAACCCTTCTTTTAGGATTTAGTAAAGGGGGTGTTGTGCTTAACCAGCTTCTCACAGAGATTAGTTCTGTAGAGTCCGAACCTGTCAGAACAGTAAAGCAATCAAAACAAGCCATGAATAATGGAGGACAAACCTTCTGGAAGGAGAATGAATTTGTCTTTATACCCTCGTCCAAAGAAGATTTTTTAAACAGTATAACTGAGATCCATTACGTGGATGTTGGTTTAAACACGGAAGGGGCTTATCTTACTAACAAGGAAATCATGGACAAGTTCTCAGATCATCTTGCAAGAAGAGCTTTTGGAATACGGTTTCTTCTTCATGGAACTCCAAGACAATGGTGTGACAACCGGCGAATTTGGATCCAAAAGGAAAAGAATGAGCTGTTTCGTCTGCTGAAATCAGTTGCTCAAAGGAATATGGGGAAATTAAAAATCCGCGAGAGATTATATTTTGCTAATTGGCCTCCCAGTTTACAAATGCATTTTGAAATCATTGAGAAACTGGATGTGAGTTGAGTATTGGTCCTGACTTGTCTGAGTCGTTTACTGTTGAAATCCTCCTTTGAAGTTGGTTGTGCTTTGGTTTAAGAAAAAGCAATATGGCTAATTTTGTGAATGCAATACAACAAAGCAAAGCTGTTGGTTTTCCTCCCCTCTGACATTCGACTATTCATTAGATGGTTAATCATTTACTTTTTTGGTGATCACAGGGGTTATATATATTTTGATTCAGAAAAGGTTAGTCAACTCATCCACAGATGACATACATATATTGCATCGGGCCTGAAGATCATTTGCTAAATTCAGTGACAGAACTACTTAGGGGGGTGGTATAGGCAGACCAGACTCTCGTCTTGTGGAAGCCTTAAGACGCCCGTCCTAGTTGCCCTGGCTAGCTACATCTGCAGTTGATTAACAATGTGTTAATGAAGTTATTAGGCTATTGATATTCGTTTGGCACATTATGAATCTATGGATACACGAATCTGGGGAAATCAATCCTCTCTTTTGGCAGTTAGGCATGACTATGACAGTAAATTACGAATGCAATCGTCCAATTATCCTGCAAGCCATGATGTGAAATTCTAGTGATTCCGTTTTCCCTGATAAGGAAAAGATGAATGTGTTTTATGCGCTAAATTACATCTAATGTTTCTTTTTAGACATAATCAAACTCAGTTAGAAAGTACAAAAATTTTGCATAGTTGATAGAAATTGGATTTGGGTTAGCAGCATGATGAGGTTGGTTATAAGTATGTTGCCCACTTGATTAAAATATCTTCAAGTTGAATTGTTCCATTTTAGAAAGGTTTCCTTTTTCTTTTGCCTCTTGCACTGACAAGGTCTTCCGTATAATTTTCTTAGAGATTTTAATGTCTCGCATTTGGAAGGATTTAACAGGAGACTATGTCATTGCTACGGTGTTTGATTGTACTGATAATATAGCTAAGGTGTTAAGAAATAGTAGCGAGATGATGCTGTGCGTTTCTTCAGAACTTGAAAAGACACCTTTTGTAGTTTTAATGTAATATTTGTTGCACTACTCATAAACAGATATGCCAAATATATTCGGCAAGTACACAAGATGTACGGAATTTTCCCTGTTGCAGGCCGTCAAATGGCGGCAAATGGATTTCACTTCAAAAACTCCTCATACATTTTGATCAGTTTGACATTGTCTTAGCCGGCTAATAAGCTGTTTCCACCTGGATGCTTCTCAGAAGTCGTCCTTGTTCTCCTTCTCCTTCTCCTTGTCCTCATTCTTTTCTGTGCTTTCCTTTTGTGTCTTGGCCGACCCTTTTGTATATAGATACATTCAAGATCTTACTCATTCCTGCAAAACACACTATCCCTTTGGAGCATTTGTCGAAGGGAGGGGTGTGTCGCGGCTTCACCAATTCAAAACTCTGGCTAGCTAGACTATTGCAGCATTTCCGCTTCTTTAGTTTAGAGGTAAAATGATGTGATGATGTTTTTTTGTATCTGTTTTAATCGAAATCTGGATAAGAAAAAGCGTGAATTGATCGTGAATTTTAATACTGATGAAATGTAGATTCTTTAATTCGTTATCGAGATATATAAGGCAGTGAATGATGGATGAGAAGACAATTGCACTTGATGAAATTGCAAAGGAAGCCGTTGATCTGGTGCGTGTTTTGCAGCTTTTAACCGCGCTTTCATTTTAGAACCTAAAGAAAAAATCACTGTACAATTCTAAGCTGCATTGTAAATTGAGAAAATGAATCTTTGCATCGTGCAGGAAAACATTCCTATTCAGGAGGTTTTTAATCACCTGAAGTGTACCAGGGATGGTCTCAGCTCAGATGCAGCCAAACAGCGACTGGACTTGTTTGGTTACAATAAGCTTGAAGAGAAGAAGGTCAGCGTTTATGTTTCTCTTTTTCAGGCTAAAATGTGTAAGAATTTTTTTTTTTCCATTTTTTTTTTTCTGAAATTTGAAGTTCCCTCTACTTGCTTACTCAGGAAAGTAAAATCTTGAAGTTCTTGGGATTTATGTGGAATCCTCTCTCTTGGGTCATGGAAGCAGCTGCGATAATGTCAATTGCTCTTGCAAATGGAGGGGTAAGACTCTCTTTGGAATCAAACCGGTGTTTAGTTATGGAGTATTCCTGTTGACACCGTTGAAGTAATTCTTTTCTGCAGAATAAAGGGCCAGATGTTCAAGATTTTGTTGGTATTTTGCTTTTGCTTATCATCAACTCAACCATCAGTTTTATCGAGGAGAATAATGCTGGAAATGCAGCTGCTGCTCTCATGGCTCGCTTGGCGCCAAAAGCAAAGGTTAGACTTCCGATTATCTATCATTAATTCAACGAGGCGGCAATGTTTTACAGGTCCTCCGTATAAACCTCTATAATTCATCTTTCCAGGTGTTGCGTGATGGCAAATGGAGCGAGGAAGATGCCGCAATGCTGGTTCCTGGTGATATTATTAGTATCAAACTTGGTGACATTATTCCAGCTGATGCACGCCTTCTTGAAGGGGATCCCCTGAAGATCGATCAGGTAATATGGTCCCTGAATTTCCTTGTTTAAGACTAGAATGCATCTGCAGACACTGCAATCAGTCCTAAAATAATAGCAAAGATGCAGAATTTATTCTGACTGATTTAATCCCCTTTGTTGGATATGCTGTTACAGTCTGCTCTCACTGGAGAATCATTGCCTGTAACAAAAAATCCAGGTGCTGGGGTTTATTCAGGTTCAACATGTAAGCAAGGCGAGATTGAAGCAGTTGTCATAGCCACTGGAGTTCATACATTCTTCGGCAAGGCAGCCCATCTTGTCGAAAACACAACTCATGTTGGCCATTTCCAAAAGGTATGTCGCTATATCCATTTCTACGACTCAAAATCTTTCTATCAGGTATTGTAGCCTTTTTATCATGTCACGAAAACAGCAAAACTCATGGAATGGTCTTTTCTCAGGTATTAACAGCAATAGGGAACTTCTGCATCTGCTCCATTGCTGTTGGGATGGTCATTGAGATTATCGTTATATATGCTGTTCAAGGGAGGTCGTATCGCACTGGTATTGATAACCTCCTTGTACTTCTCATTGGTGGAATTCCAATTGCAATGCCCACAGTACTGTCCGTTACTATGGCAATAGGATCGCATCGTTTGTCCCAACAGGTATGTAAGACACGAGGTCATGATTCGTTCCACTGGATGACTATCAAAACTGGAAGATATAACCTTGGGAATACACATTGATGCAGGGAGCAATAACGAAAAGAATGACTGCAATTGAAGAAATGGCTGGAATGGATGTGTTGTGCAGTGATAAAACAGGCACACTTACACTAAACAAGCTGACAGTCGACAAAAACATGATCGAGGTTTGACATGCATCTCACTGTTAACTCTTAACTATGAACCTGGATTGCAGAATTTCAGATGATTAGCATTCTCTATCATAGGCAAAACTGTATCTGTTTTGAAGGGGAAATCGAATTTAAAAACTGCACATCCTCGCCATACTGATTGGACATTTGTAAATGCAGGTTATAAGTAAAAGCGTTGACAAGGATGCAATTGTATTGATGGCTGCAAGAGCATCAAGAACGGAGAACCAAGATGCTATTGACGCAGCAATTGTTTCAATTCTGTCTGACCCTAAAGAGGTATGACATATTCTCTGAAACTGTTCCGACTGTGTTATGCTATTAACATATTCACTGATATTTATGTGAAAATAACCATAATCTGGTGACCTTCAGTCGTTCACTGCCCTGAATTCTGGTGTTTGAAGCTTTTAGATGCATATCGCCACTGTCGGTTGTATTTCCAGTAGGACTAAGGTCTAAGAATGCCATTGGTTCATGTAGCATTCACATTCAAAGTTTCAAATTCTTCAAACAATACCAGATTGAACCATCATTCATTCATTCTTACTAGCATCTTTATAGCTACTATTTGACGAAAAGTCTATTTGGGAGAAAAGATTGACGATTTTTTTTCTGCGAACTTAATTTTACTGATCGATTTTGTCATGGGGCTAAGGAGATAGATGAGAAAATTCCACAACATTGTTATTCAAACTTAAATTTCATTCGTCGACGTTTTCGTCTGGGTAGTAATCTCGACGACGTAGTCGACGAAATAACTTTTAAGCATAATCCCATATGTCGACTTTACAGTTGGGATTAAAAATATCGACGAAAAAGTCGACAACACTAATTTTCAGCTAACTTCAAGCTTTTTTCTTTCATTTCAAGATCACTTTGCGCCACCATTTTACTAAAATTCTATCAATGAAATCAAACGAAAAAAAAAAAAACTACTTTCATCTGAATCAAAGTTGCCTGATTGAGATCCAAAACATATCATGTAAAAATTGTGGTCTTGTAGAAATCATCTATATTTGAACACAACTTCTGATGAATCTGATTCAATTTTCACTAGGCACGAGCCGGAATTCAAGAAGTTCACTTTCTCCCATTCAATCCAACTGACAAAAGAACAGCGCTGACATACATTGATAAAGCAGGTAAAATGCATAGAGTGAGCAAAGGTGCACCTGAACAGGTAACTCCTCAATCTTTCAGAGCATAGACTTTCTCTGGATTGAAATGATACATTATAACAAATCATGATCTCTCAGATTCTTAACCTGGCACATAACAAATCGGTAATTGAGAAGAAGGTACATTCAATCATTGACAAATTCGCAGAACGTGGTCTTCGTTCTCTTGGAGTCGCTTATCAGGTAAATTAGTCACCGTGTCTTTGTTTGTTTTCTTATTCTGCTCTATCTCTTTATATTCAAGTATTAAAAGAAATGTGCAATGTTTTTGTTATGCAGGAAGTGCCAGAAGGAAACAAAGATAGTCCTGGAGGACCCTGGGAATTTGCGGGGCTTCTCCCTCTCTTTGATCCACCCCGCCATGATAGTGCAGAAACCATTAGGAGAGCTCTGGACTTAGGAGTCAGCGTCAAAATGATAACCGGCGATCAGTTGGCGATAGCTAAGGAAACAGGCAGACGGCTTGGAATGGGCACGAATATGTATCCCTCTTCATCTTTGCTCGGTGGCAGTAAGGAAGATGCTCTTGCATCACTCCCAATTGATGAACTCATTGAGAAAGCTGATGGTTTTGCTGGTGTCTTTCCTGGTAAGTCTCCCAATTCTAATGTTTAAACAGCTCCCAGGAGAATAAATGTGGAATTAAGGTCGAACCATATTTAACTTGTTTTCATCATTGGCAGAACATAAATACGAAATCGTCAAAAAACTTCAAGCAAGGAAGCACATTTGTGGAATGACTGGAGATGGAGTGAATGATGCACCTGCACTGAAGATAGCTGACATAGGAATTGCAGTTGCTGACTCAACTGATGCCGCTCGTAGCGCTTCTGATATTGTTCTTACAGAACCTGGTTTAAGTGTGATCATCAGTGCTGTTCTAACAAGTCGGGCAATTTTCCAGAGAATGAAAAACTACACGGTAACGCTTTGATCACTTCTGTAAGTGGAGACTCTGATTTGTGAATATGATACTCAAGACTAACAAAATTGTACTTGCTCTTTTTCTTCTACAGATTTATGCTGTGTCTATTACTATCCGTATAGTGGTAAGTTTCCGATAGAATGAAAGATACAGTCGATCCTCCTAAGATATTGCATTCTTTTCTTGTTATCTTACAGCACTGGCTAATCGGTTGTGCAGTTAGGATTTATGTTACTGACAGTACTTTGGAAGTTTGACTTCCCTCCTTTCATGGTTCTTGTCATTGCAATCCTTAATGATGGTTAGTACAGCATGATTTAACTACTTTCAAGCATCGCATTCTAGCGATTTATGTCATCTAATACCAGAATCTGTACTTTGTTTCCAGGTACAATCATGACCATTTCCAAAGACAGGGTGAAACCATCCCCAGTTCCAGACAGTTGGAAGCTTAGTGAGATTTTTGCCACAGGGGTTGCACTTGGAACCTACTTAGCTGTGACCACTGTTATATTCTTTTGGGCTGCTTATGAAACTGACTTTTTTGAGGTAATCTAACTGCCTATTTGTTTTATAATTGATGTTCCATTTCTGATTGTAGCTAAATGACTTTTGCTTCATCTCTAATGCGACAAAATTTTCCAAATCCTGTGATCTGCAAATTTTCTTCATACTTACATCCTATGTTCTGAGTATCTTTTCACATTAAATTCGCAGCGTACTTTCAATGTAAGGAGTTTGAACAAGCACCGAGTTGAGCACCGGAATGAAATGCTGGCATCTGCCATTTATCTCCAAGTCAGTACCATTAGTCAGGCCCTCATTTTTGTAACTCGCTCTAGAGGCTGGTCTTTCTTTGAGCGACCTGGTCTGTTGCTTGTTGTGGCCTTCTTTATCGCGCAGCTGGTAAAAATTTCCGCTACACTTTCTGTCTCATTCAAGTTCACTCTCTACATTCTCTAACAGATTCGGAAAAAAGAAAAAATGACTCGTTTTGCCTAATGCAGATAGCAACCATAATATCAGCAACCGCAAACTGGGGATTTGCTGGAATCAGAAACATTGGCTGGGGATGGACTGGTATCATCTGGTTGTACAACATCCTGATCTACATTTTCCTTGATCCTCTTAAATTCTTAGTCAGATATGCACTAAGCGGAAGAGCTTGGAACCTAGTGGTGGAAAATAGAGTAAGTACTAGAATAAATCCTACAACATAGTATCAAAAGTTCAAAAAATCCTTGCCTTTGAACCTCATACCTTAATCCTGTGAAAACCATTTCCAGATTGCACTTACCTCACAAAAGGACTTTGGCAAAGAATCCCGCGAGGCGGCATGGGCAACTGAGCAGCGGACGGTACACGGCCTCTCTACCCCTGAGCCGAAGAAGTTCTTGGAACGCAACACCACATTTAACGACCTGAATAAGATGGCTGAAGAAGCTAAAAAACGTGCAGAGATTGCAAGGTTTGCTGTCTTAATTTTTAGCTATTGACTTACCTTAATCCAGAAATGTTACTGATGAGTAATGATCATCATCTCCTGATTTTCTAGGTTGAGAGAACTTCACACCCTCAAAGGCAAAGTGGAGTCTTTTGCGAAGCTGAAGGGCTTAGACATCGATGCCATGAACAACAACTACACTGTTTGAGATCAACTTATGTATCCATTCTTTTTTATTCTCCTTGAAGTGTAATCCATCATTATTCCATATTCAAACAAATGGAAATTAACACAAAATTGTATTCATTCAAAGATTTGGAATTCGATTACCTAATATACACAAATTTGTTTATTAACCTTTATTTTATACTTCATTTCACTTTTCTGTGACAAGCAATGGGGGATCGACTTTTTTATGTACTCCCTCCATTTTTTCTTATATGTCTTAATAAAAAATTCTTCAAAACCAATAAAACATTAATTAATGTAGTTAAAATACAAAAACACATTTATTTATGATTTATAGAATTCATCACAAACCAATGAAAATTCTTTATCAATAATGTTTCATTTCTAATGCAGGGGCCAAATTGGAAAAAAAAAGTGTTCGAATGTACCTCGATTTGTTAAAACGATATATATTTAAAAGAAATTATTAAACCTTAAAACGATATCTATAGTACTTAATTAAAGCAACAAACAAAAAGGACAAGTATCAGCACTACAATGAAAATTTTCCCGCCAAAAGTCATTTTCAGTACAAAATCATTTTTGACAAGTGGCACTCTAACTAATCAGAAAAAAAAGATGGAATAGATAAATACATAAATCCCTTAATTATAGCACATAAAAATCTCTTAATTATAGGTATATACTAATCTTTTAAAACAACAATATTTAATTAATAAAATCAAATGTAAGGAAATCCCCTTAAATCAAGTGAAACACAATAATGTCTTCTCAATCCCCAATTTCAAAGAATCTCTTCCATTCCGCCTCTCTCTTACACCCGGGCCTTTAAATCAATTACTTAAAATCTGACATCAATTATGAATACATCTCTTTCTACAATAGAGACAAAATAAGCTGTCATGAAAGAAATTTGATTTTTTAAGGATGATTTTTTTTTTATTCTTCTGTTGTAGATATTGGTTTATGATTTATGTAAACCCGGGCATAAGTTAACTGTTGTAAATTAAATGTTATAAATCTGGGCATAGATTTATGTATAATAACTCACTTTCTGTCCTTTCAATCGATTTTTTATTCTTCTATTTTTTTTATTCTGTTAAGAATGATTCGTATTTTTTATTTAATCGATTTAAAAATACAGGCGACATCCGGACATTCGCCCGGGCAAGCATCTAGTATATTGAAAAATGGAGGGAGTATACATGTCGTGATTGTATTTAATAGTAAATAGGCTATAACTTTCATTCAAATTTAAATAAGTGGAGGCATTTAAATGAGCTCTTTTACAATTAGCCCATAAATGAAGCGCCATTTAGTGGTTTAAATGAATGGAAGCTCTTTTTGCATGAAGAAGCAGAGAGGCCAATGAACCAGAGAAAAACGGATTGGTTATGGAGCGGAAAAGAAAGAAAGTGTCTCTATCTCCTTCAACAGAGGAATTCCAGGGCAACCCTTCTGCAAATCCACGCATTTATGCTCCAAAACTCTCTCTTAACCAACATTAACCTCCTCACGAAGCTCATCGATGCCTTTGTCTCCTCCGACCGGCTTGCCGGCATTACCCATGCTCGCCGCATATTTGACTTCAGCACTCAAAAGGACGACACTTTTCTCTGCAACACCATGATTAAATCCCATTTGAATGCTCGCCAGTTCACTAAAGCCACCTTCTTGTACAGAGATCTATTAAGGGATGTCGATTTTCAGCCGGATAATTACACTTTTTCCAGTCTAGCCAAGTGTTGTGGGCTTACAATGGCGGTTTTTGAAGGGCTTGGAGTTCATAATCACTCCTTGAAACGTGGGTGTGTGAACTTGTATGTGGCGACTTCTTTGGTTGACATGTATGGGAAGTTTGGGGAACTGGGACTTGCGAGGAAAATGTTTGATGAAATGACTGAAAGGAGTTCGGTGTCGTGGACTGCTCTGATCGACGGGTATGTTAAAAGTGGGGATATGAGTTCAGCTATGGGGCTTTTTTATTTCATGCCAGAGAAAGATGTGGCAGCTTATAATGTGATGATCGATGCTCATGTGAAGATGGGGGAGATGGGGTTGGCTGGGAGTTTGTTCGAAACAATGCCGGAGAGGAATGTGGTGTCTTGGACTAGTATGATTGATGGGTATTGCAGTGCTGGTGATGTTGGTGAAGCTAGGCAGTTGTTCGATGCTATGCCGGCGAGAAATTTGTTTTCTTGGAATGCAATGATTGGGGGATATAGCCAAAATAAACAATCACATGAGGCTTTGAACTTGTTCCATCAGTTACAAATGGTGAGAAATGTTCGACCAGATGATGTTACCCTAGTTAGTGTCCTACCAGCCATTGCTGATTTGGGTGCTCTGGAATTGGGAAACTGGGTTTACCATTATGCTAGGAGGAAAAACTTGGATAGATCTTCAAATGTATGCACTGCATTAATTGATATGTATTCTAAATGTGGCGAAATAGAAAAGGCTAGAGATGTTTTCAATGGCGCAAAGTTGAAAGAAATTTCTGTATGGAATGCTTTGATAAATGGGTTGGCAATAAATGGGCGTGCGGAGGATGCTTTAGAATTATTTTTGGAGCTGAGAAAGAAGGGGTTCAAGCCAAATGAGGTGACTATGCTGGGGGTTTTGACAGCCTGCAACCATGGAGGTTTAGTCGAGGAAGGAAAGAGATGGTTTAAGGCAATGGGAGAAGATTTTGGGCTCACTTCAAAGATTGAGCATTATGGTTGTCTAATAGATCTATTGGGAAGAGCAGGACGTCTGGATGAAGCTGAAAGCTTTATTGACCATATGCCATTTGAAGTAAATGGAATAATATTAAGTTCTTTTCTTTTTGCATGCTACTACGCCAAAGATATTCTAAGAGCTGAGAGAGTAATCAGAAAGGCAATCGATCTAGATCCCAAGAATGATGGAAACTATGTTATGTTGAGAAATTTGTACGCCTCTGAGAGAAGATGGAATGACGTTGAAGAAATCAAAAGTTTAATGAGCAAAAAGGGTGCAAAAAAAGAGACAGGCTGCAGTAGCATTGAGATCAATGGTAGGGTGTGGGAATTTTTAGCTGGGGGTAAACTGCATCAGCAGTTAGAGGGCATATACTTTGCCCTGGACCATTTACAGCTGCACATAAAGGCAAAGAGTGCTTTTTTACCTGATGAAAATCTTCAATGTTTAGAGGATTGAGAAATACACTAGCTTGGGAATGAGGAATGATCTGAGGTGCTTCCAGGTTGGGAAGATGAAAAAGAGTATGTACTGTGAAAGATGCAGACAACGTACACATTCAAAGAATGCACAAAAAGCCTTCTTGTTCTTAATCCAGTCAATACAGAAAGGTTATGAATGGTGGTAGAGAGCACCAAAAGTGACACTCTCATTCAGACCTTACCTAATACAAGGTGAAAAACTACAATCAAACAAATTATAGAAACATACTATATATGTTGAATGAAGTGTTACATGGAATTTTATGTTGAATCTTCCTTTTGGATTTGGTGCAATCAAAGGCCTCCACATTGGATTTTTTGTTCTGTACTTGATATGTTTTATTGTAAACATTGATATTCATTTGAAGCCACTCAGAAGAAGCTAGGAATCATGCTTACCTTTTTTCATATCTACACCTGGTAGTTTATTCCTTGCTTGTGATGACCACCTATACTAACAAGCCATTCCAAACTTTTATGCTACTTTTGCTCCTGTAGCATATATATACATTCATATACAACATGTTATCCTCTAGAGTCTAGTGCATCAATTGCATTTCTTCAAAATGGGTGCATTTGCGAGCTTCATGGGAAAGGGTGAATGACACTCTGTCCTTTGCACTTAGTCTCTTTTTTCCCTTACAATGAAGAAAGTTAAGCTCTGGATTCTTCAAATTGGCGATATGCATGCAATAACCTCAACACTTGTCTCTTTTGTAGGTCTGCCAACAGCTCAGATGTTAAGCTTGGTGATTGGGACACTCCATCGGCAGTTTATTCAGAAAGATGTCAACAATTTCGAGGATTTCCACACAGCCATGCTTGATATTTTCAGGTAAAGGCCCTAACATAATTTGGTTAGCTATTCGTGAACTTAGCTGATCATATATGTACAGTGACAAAAATGTTTGCACCGAATCAATTTTCAGTACGGTCAATTCTGCACTTCCTGGTAAACACTACGATGTTCCACCTCTAAAAGAGGTCGAGGTTGGTGTCTCTCCCTTTCCCTCTCCCTCTCCCTCTTCCTCTATTTCACAAAAGAATAATTGCGCGTCTCCAAAAAACAGGCATGTTTTAGAGAATGGAGTTTAGCCAATGACGCGGAAAAGAAAACTTTGTTCATGAAGTTTATGACGAAGCAGCTGACTCTCAGCAAATTAGATGACTCTTCCCTCATCACTGGGCTTGTCACACCTCCTGCAGCAATGGCGGCTAAGAGGGCGGGGGAGTCTCTGCCCCAACTCAAATTGATTAAAGCTATTCCTGATGTTATTTTTGTGCCATCAGCAACTGTGCTTGCGCTCATCTCTGTAAAATTATCCAGGAAAATGTTTGTAGGACAAGTGGCTTCTTGAAATTTATGGCTGACTAGCCCATTAAGGGAAGAATATGTAATTTTCTGCCAGATATCTTCTTAAAGAAAAATATACCATCAGTTTCCTGATGATAAAGATCGAAGATTATTGCTGCTGTATAGAAAACAGATTACATTGGATTCTTGGCGTCCATCAATACGCATCAAGTTTTAGGTCTCTTGTTTGGAGAAATTAAAACCAAGGCCAAACTATTTCAGAATAATTTTGACTCGTTTTCAACCAAACTCAGACAAGTAGTGGTTGATCCTACAACTTATTATGGTACCATCCCTTTTAGATCCAACCTAAAGAATCTGCAAGACAAGCAGAACCGTAAACCAGCAGAAACGAACACGAATGGCTATACAGAATTAGTAGATATATACGACCAATCAATATTGAATATACAATTGTCTTCGGTCGGTAGTACTTCACCGCAAATTAAGATGTTTGATTCAATTGAAACCAGACTGAATGCTATACAGATTCCTGAAGATATACGGACACTACCCCGATATTCTACTGCTCTGCTTACGAGAAACAGCCTTTGGTCTCCCTTTTCTTCCTTTTCTCTTCCTCTTCTTAGGAGTTGTTATTTTGGAAATGCAACGCATCTTTAAAGGTTGCTGAACATCTGTTTGCTGTTCAATCTCTGATATGGAACTTATTTTTGAAGGTTGTTGCACATCTGTTTGAAGTTCTGACTCTGATGTGGAACTTATTTTTGAAGGTTGTTGGATATCTGTTTGCAGTTCTGACTTCGAAAGAGCCTTATTAAAGGTGCTCTCTGGCTCTTCCTTCAGCACCAGGGGCTTCTCCATGGGAATACTAAGATCGTCATAATTCTTCATCCCCGCCCTCAACCTCTCATCGTATATCAATACATCATCTTCAGCCGGCCAGCACAGTAAATCATTTGCCTGCATCTATGATTTGCAACAAGTTAGTATATTGAACATAGTATGAGATAGATAAGTCCTTGACATTTTCATGTCACTGTCCTACAGTCATCACTAAGTACCACTACTACATAACCTGACTTTCTGCTAAGATTTCAAAGCAAACCGTCTCTTGGATCTATAGGACAAGCTGCCAGCATATCATATCAACTCAAGAAAAATTAAATTTACAATATAAAAACCAAGATGCATATTCTTCAAATAATGGAATCCAGACCATGAAAATCTTAACTAATTTCAAAACAGCGAACCTAAGCAAATCTGAACCTCGACAACTCACAGGCAGAAAATATTGCCTCGCAAAACAACATTAATTTAGGAAGAACCAGTTTTTCATGCTTTAGAGTTCTCCACAAAAAGTACAAAAACACCACAGGTCACAGTGGAGGTTGAAAAGGGAAAAGGCAATGGCAATAGTAGCAATTAAAACAGGATCATACAAAAGATGCCACCTTGCTCAGCGAAAATAAGAGACCGGATATAGTTCCAGTTTAATTAATTATTACGTCTTGTTCAAGCTAATCAAAGGAACACGATTAAAAAAAAAAAAAGTAGGATCATGTAGTTGTTGCCCAGTAAGTAGAGCTATGGATTTGAATAACACCTGAACACCCCCCCCCCCCTCCAAAAAAAAAAAATAATAATAATAATAATAATGAAACTAAGAAATTCTAGCCACTGCAGAAGAATTTCATGGTATCCAATGCCAGTAAACATGGATGAAACACTTACTTTCATCAATGCACTCCTCTGAAGAGACTGATTTGAGCCTTGAATTACATTTGAGATATAGGATCCTTCTGCATGACTTGGAACTGCAACTTTAGGCATAACCATAGAACCACTGGTATAGACCGATGTAAGTTGAGATGGATCTTTAGAAGATCCAACTGCCATTCTGTCCCCATTATTTTGAGGAGCAGCAGGGAATTGAGCAGAGATGGTCAAATTAGCTGGTACAGCCATGCCTGTGTCGTTGGTGCGAGTAAACAAACCAGTATTTTCAGTCATTACCTTGCCAAGTCTACACTTCAGATCTCTAGCTTGTGTCTGTAAAAGCCCAATCTTCCTCAACAATTCTTCCAGAAAATTATCACCGCCACCTGATTCCAGCCACAATCTTTCTCCATGGACTTCAGATTGATCAACACCTTTGATCTTTTCTGTTGATTTCATTAGTCAAAAAAAAAAGAGTTAATAACACAATAATACAATAATTAACTATTAACAGTATTTCAGTGCTACGCTAGGCAAAGTTCCAAAGACTGCACAAATTCAGCAACATTAGACAGAAACCAAAGATTTGCTTCTGTTTTAAAAAAGCAAAACCCTCCTATTTAGGAAAGCAAACGGATTTTATCAGTGATTCCAATTAGATAGTGCTGATTTTCAGTATACTTGACTCCCGATTCTGGTGCACTAGACTCCAATAAAAAGAGGCCCCAACAACTGCAATTCAGTCAGACGGAATATAAGAGAGCATCTCATAATTTCCACATTGGATGCAGGTATTCATAATCAAATTACTTGAATTTCTTCTGTCAAGCTTCCAGTAGTTTTTTAGCATAACGAAGCTACTTATCCTCTAGTAGGAAAGAAAATGCACTAGCAGAATAACTGTAGAACTATAATGGAGGATTTCTACATGATAAACAAACAAAACCCAGCCCTAACAAACAAACCAAACAGCCTCGATTCAAATTGCCTCTAAAACCAAACCAAAAGGTTTTACTGACATCAAGGATAGAGGGAAGATGGATGCCTAAACAGAACAAGCACAGCACCTCTGTTGGAGCTCAGGGGGCAGATTGATCAGCCAAAAATTCTGATGTCATAGCACATAGGTAATCAATTATGAATGCTAAAAAATTGATCCAGTGTATTTGTTTGAACAAACAATTGGAATCCAGAATAGATAGGTTCCTAGAGGCTCCAACCTCTGTAATTCCTCCCTACTGCAGTAATTTCCGTGACAGAAGATGACAAACCACAACATCCCCCCAAACCCTACACGACTCAATTACATAAAATTTTCCTTTTTAAAGTTCTTTTCAAATATGACACAAGAATAAATGAAGAAAGCAGCGGAAACATGACAGCTATATTTTGTCACAGCATATTGCTGTTCAAGTGAAGTACATAATGAAGGAAATATAATAGAGTGGATACAAATCTTCAATATGAAAATGTCTCAAAGATAAAAACTTCAATTCTGCTTAATCCAGGTCCAATGCATAAAGAAACACACCAATCACCACAAATCAGTAAAGAACAAACACCCACCTTGATTGCCCAAATGGTCATCCAAAGGATCATCAGAAGTACGATTCTTGTTATCTATCAAAGACAGGTGGTTAACAAACATATCACCAGAATTAGAACTCCACCTAACAAGAAGCCAACAATAGGAAAACTGCAAGTCACAACAAAACAGTAACTAGTACCAAAGTAAGAAAGCACGGGATGGTCAGACAAATATGACGATGGATCCATTGTGTCTTCGACTCTTCTTCTCTTCTTTCTCTTCATTAGTTTATCGGTTGGATTCTCACCCGGGAACTGTGCCGACTTCAGGTCAAAACCTTCAGCAGGAGAGTTCCTTTTGTTATCAACAAGTTTCCTGTCATACTTTATAGCTAGATCATGTAACTTCTTGACTTGTAATTCAGCCCATTTACATCGCCACATCAATGGGTGAACAAATGTCCTCCAATGACTAGTCAATTTTTTCTTCCTGAAGACATTATTACCAAAGCGATCAGGGTTAACCAAAAGGTTTCAAATCGTCATCCTTATGATGGATGAATGAAAAAGGCCATGCTTTAATTTTTGAGCAAGGATGAGACGTTGTAAGGAATCAAGAGCCACCAATCCAATAGGATGAATGTGCCCACAACAGAAGGCAGGTTCAAAGAAGTATGACCCAACGTATTGTAAATCAAAAACTTAAATTGAAAGATTTAGATTGATACCTTAATCTCAGCAGGTCACCAAACGCCTTGATATCCAGAATCGGCGAACCATCAGTAAATAAGTTCGAACCAACTTCACCATCAACGGTGCTAGTTGCATCCTCTGTCTCAGAAGCTGTATCATCAAAAGAGCTTGAACTTGAACTCTCAGTTGAATCTTGACAACCAGCATTAACTCGCCCCTTTCCTCCCGTAGAAGGGAGCTCTATATCCTTCACTTCCACGTCCTGATTCTCGTCACGCAATATAGGCTGATCTATGGATTTATCCATGCTCAAAGCATTGCCCTCACAATTGCTTCCACATTTCACGGATTCATCCTTAGTATCTACAGAAAGACCTCCACTTTCCTTTACAACTAAGGCTTTATTTCCATCTAATCTTGTTTCATGCTCTAACTCTGGACCCATGGCACATTATAAGGAACAAAAGGTGCCTTTTGTCAGATTATTCTAATAGGACATACTCAGACCTGAAACCACCTGAAATAAGTAAAAACAGATTAATGGATGGGTAACTACCGAAAGAGGGAAGAGAAACAATAAGATGTTTCCCAAAACTATAATATGATGTGTTCAGCGTCAACTGCATATCTTTATTGCCTTTAAACACAACTAGAAACAACAGATGTAACATAGCAAAATGAGTCACTGACATCAAGTTGACCACAAAAAAATTTTAAAAAAAAATTATATAGGAAAACCAGAGATAAGATTAGACAGACTACTTAATTATGGAACACGCAGAGAGGACCACTGAATAAACTATAACCATAATACACTTCAATCACCCAAGAGACACTCCACAATGCATCAAGAAACAAACAATGTCGCGTAAAAATTTCAAGGGGGGGGAAAAACCCCCACTTATTCCCTTCTAATCGCCAAATTGCTCATAATATACTCAAAATTCCAGAAAGATCACACATGAACTCATTCACGAACAACTTTGTCCCCTCAAACATAAACAACTCACACCTAGATAAAAATAAATAAAAAAAAAGAATTAATCTTTGCACTCTCAGAAGGTTCCTGGAAAAATTATAAGCAAATCATCCGATTTAATAACCATTATAATTACAGTAGAGATAATTTAGTCTGAAATCATACCACTTATATCTCCCCCAACCAAGAAAAAGGGAAAAACAGACTAACCAACAAAGCCCACAATCAAGTTTCAATTGGGACCGAATACACGAAATTGCGAATCCCGAGAACAAAAAATAAAGACCCAAAAAAACCCCAAAACCAGAAATTCAAGAAATCGAATTACAACCGGTACCTCTTACAGTGACTGGCTGGAAAATTGAAATCCTCCACCGGCTAAATTCTCAGTATCGCAGTGATGAATGACAGAGTGATTTGATTTTCTACATAAGAAACTGTCGTTTCTTCGCCGTGAAGAATTCGGCCACAATTGTTGGATTCGATAAAGTACGAGGTGAGTGGGGATATTTAATGGGGGAATGGAAGAAACTTGAACGTGAAGCAGGGAACAGAAGAAAAGAAAGTACTCTAGAACAAAGGAAACAACGATGATTCTCTGTAATCTTTTCAAGTCAAATGGTCAAAGCTGTTGTTGCCAGTTTTTTGCACTCTCACTGTGTGTGTGTGGGTGGGTGTGTGTGCTGACTTCAGGCTTTCCTTCATTTTCATTTTTTTCACCCTTTCCTTTTTGTCTTTTGGTAATTACATTTGGAGCCCCAGAAGATTTCCTCGAGTTATTTTCCAATTCTTATAAACTTCCATTCCCCCTCCCCCCCCAATTTGATTGAAAGTAACAAAAACGTTAAAAGAATAAGAGGGAAAAGTTGTAGTTTCGAAGGTTATAATAATTTTCTCTTAATGCAGATACTGTGATTCGGTGATTTTAATAATTCAATGAATCATTTATTCAATTGTAGCATTATCGTTCTTTTCAAAATTGGAAGGGGCGATACAAAATACAAACGATGTGCCCCGCTAATAATTGTAGTTGCAATAATGCTCTTGTCTACACAAAAAAAACACACAATCATATTCGTAAATTTGTTGATGTGAGCATGTTTGATTCATTAGACAAACTTAACAGGGTAAGTGTTAAGGTGTATTATTTTGTCTCACATCACCACCGTGAAGAGAAGTGACTCTGTATATAAGTACCAAAGGTCACCCCACTCATTGCCAATTGGTTTTGAGATGGGAATCCAAAGTACTTATATACTTTGAGATGGTATCAGAGCGTGTTGGGCTTGTGGTGGAGTTTTGAGTCGGAGGTGGCCTGTGGTGATTTTATATCGACCCACTTGAGTGTTGACTCGTGGACTTGTTGTGGATCGATCCAGCGGTATAACCGATTTTCTCCCACTTGAGCGTTGACTCGTGGGTTTGTTGTGAACCGATCCAGCGGTATAACTGGCTTTCTCCCACTTAAGCGTTGACTCGTGGGCTATTCTGTTCTTGTCCTGATCCAAGTCCATTGGGCAAAAAGTTCAAAAACTCATTGGACTTGAGGGAGGGTGTTAAGGTGTATTATCTTGTCCCACATCGCCACCGTGAAGAGAAGTGACTCTGTATATAAGTACCAAAGGCCGCCCCACTCATTGCCAATTGGTTTTGAGATGGGAGCCCAAAGTACTTATATACTTTGACAGTAAGTGAAAGAAAAACTAACAAAGAACTCATTTCTAATGTGATAGAGAAAACATATATATCTAGTAAACTAAGTCAATAACAGATGTCACGCTCCTAAAAAGAGCACAAACACTTTCAATCTCAATCTACTTTGAAGTAAATGATTGGTGTTTTTGTATTTTCATCCAACACCTGTAATTTCCATTTAAAGAATATACTTCGAAGTTCAATCATTTTTGACCTTATAAAATAAGGTTTACAATAATTGATTTGCATTTTGAATGAACTTATTAAATATAAAATGACAATTAATAAGTATGACTCTTATTATGGGACGGACAGACATATTGAGTAGGTAACTCCTAAGCAAACAAAATGGACCTTGGCAACATCAACTCCTTCACTTGGCACCTTGCAAGCTTTGCTCAAAAATATATTGAATGGAAAGGAGAAGAAGAGATTAGTCACCATGAATGTTGTGGAACTAGAACTTGAGCAGCTTTCTCACGAATCACATGAATTCAACTGCCAAACATTGTCACGGTCAAACTGCAATTTAGTCAGTATGACCACATTACAACACTACAAATCTTCTAGATTTCTTGGGGTGTTGGAAAAGTTGAAAGTTCGTTGGTTTCTGATCCATCCATATTAATTCATTTCACCAACCAATTTTTATTATATCTATAGGAACTCTTCCATTCACTTTGTCCACGTCTCCCTGTTTCTTGTTCATATTCAGTTTTTTGACGTATCAACAAGGGATGATAATATGATAATGATACTGATGATAATTCACCCTCTTAAATCTAGGACTAATCAACCAACTCAGAAAGTTGGAACAGAGGTTTTTTTCTGCACTCAATCATCATTACTGACTTCTGCTCCGTAAAAGTATAAACTTTCTTCATCAAAATCAATGGCTGCAACTTCATCAATGGCTATTATCTTCATCAGCTATTTGATCTTTTCCACGTTGACTTTTATGCCAATGATCTCACTTGGCATCCCTTTTGTTGTCTTTCATGGTAACTTAGCTTTTCTGTCAGTTGTACTCTGATCTTGTTGCTTTAATTAAAAGAGTTTTATTTCCTGGTGATCATCAATGGAAAGAAACATCATCTTAGTTATTGTCCCAAGTTTGGGTTTTCATTAATCAAGTTATCAAGAACCTCCGAATACATAATCTTCAATCTAACAGTATGGAAAAAGCCTGCAGTTGTTGTAATCTCTATTTCATAAGGCTGGTGACTCTCAAGCTAAACTTTTGATGATTTTAGACCATTACAGAGCATTTTTTCTATTGATATAATAGAAGAATTCTGTGTCAAAAAAAAATCCATGGATTTCTGCTCTTACTTGACTTGTGTGATGACAGGAATCTCAGAAAAATGCTCTGATGAAGCTGCAGTACAGTTCATTGAGCTTCTAAGCAGTTGGTCCGGTTCTCAGGGATTTTGCCTGTATGTTTCTCGTTTCCATTTCTAGCTCAGGTTATATAATATCTGCAGTTCTTTCAAGATATTGACTTTATAAATTTGGAAAGTGAATTCTTGATTTCAGTTGTCATAAAAATACCAAGCTAAGAAAAGCGGTTAAGTGATCAAAAGGAAAATGTCAAGAGTTCCTCTTATGGTTCTTTTCTGGTTCTTCAAAACTTTTCATATGAAGAAAACTTTCACAATGCTAAGTCCTCTCATCAAAAAGAATTCGAAAGCTATGAAGAAGCCAAATTGTCATTCCTCATTTCCAACTGTTGTATCAATAATGGCAATTTTTGTTAGGTTCAACAATGAAACCTTACTGGTCCTTCTAAAAGTTTCGGATTTAAGGTTACCTGAATCCCGGATTGAGATGAGTTTATTCTGTTCTGATGTGCAGAGAAATAGGAAATGGCGCATGGGATTCCTGGTTTATGCCGTTTACTAAACAGGTGAAGAACTCAATGCAATGCACCATCTTCTTTGAAACCCAAACTGTGGCATTTACTGAAAACACTACTAAAGACACCTACTTCTTTGGATTTTGCAGACATCCATTGCTTGTGAAAAGGTAACAAAAGGTTGCAATAACTTGTCTGCATCACTGGTAGCACATTTACCGTTGCCTCAAGTTCTTACTTTCTTCGATCCCAGGTGATGAACATAAGTGAGCTTAGCAATGGGTATAACATTATTGGGCTGTCCCAGGTATAAGAACAAATCTAGTTCCCAAGATATGTTTCACCAAAAGAAATGAATATCCCTTTCTGAAATCCTTTCATATTATTTAGAAGTTTTGATGGTTTTTGTATCTTATCCTCCTCCTCCATATCAGGGAAACATGGTAGGCAGAGGGGTGATCGAGTTCTGTAATGAAGGCCCGCCAGTAAGTGCTTTAATAACATTTCCAATGTCGCACGAAATGAGATCCTATGCCTCACTTGTTGAGTAATGATAATGTTTGCTTAAAGAAACAATGTAAGTTTATTGAAGTATTATGGTACAGTTGTACTGTTAAATACAATGACAGCCTTCTATAAATGCAGAATGCAACACAAAAATTGGTTTACAGAAGCTAAGATGCGGGATCTTATTTGTTGTTGCACGACTCCACCAATTTAGACATCTTTCATTGTTCTGTATTTCATAACAAGCAATTTTGTCTTTTGTTATACTGAAACAGGTGAAAAATTTAATCTCGTTGGCGGGTCCTCATGCGGGGATAGCCTCTATTCCTTTCTGTGGGGTGAGTGATGATTTTGTTTTGACTTGGCTCATTGATCATAATATGTTTGGCTTCTGGTGAGAAAACTTTGAAGATACATACCAATTGTTGGTTTTGCAGTCAGGCTTGTTGTGCATTCTTGCTGATTTTCTACTGAAGCTAGCAGTTTACAGCAACTTCATCCAGGTCAGAATACTCCTTTCTGAATGATTCTTCTTCTTCTTCTTCTTGGCAATACAGTATCCTGATAAGGGCAACATTAGGAAAAGGATCCTAAGAATCGCATTTTATGTAAAATTACACAAATTGGTAGAGTACGATAACAACATATGATAGATGAAACCAACCTCACATAGTGATGTAAATTCGTCGTAAAAACAATCAAAGGAGGTTAGCCTTTCAAATAACAGTACCTCAAATGCATCTAGAAAACTGGAGTACTTTTATCCTTACTCTTTCCTGTAACACTTTCATCCCTTCTCTTTCTTTCTGTTTTCTCTCACTTAGGGAGCCATTACCACTAGAATTGTCTGTCAGCTTTGATATCATTGCAGGACCATCTCGCACCGGCTGGTTACATAAAGATCCCAACGGTAAACTGCGCAATTACAGCATTATTTTGACTATTCCGTTCCCTTTCTGGCATTGTATTTATGGTTTCAGTAGTAAACACGGCCAAAGCATATTTTGACACAACATGGCAAACAGAGCCATGTTTTTTCTTCTTGTGCCCTTGTCCACGACTTGATTTCGTAATACATCATGCTCCTTCTTTCCAGGCGATTCATGCATACAGAAAAGGCTGCAAGTTTCTTCCCAAACTGAATAATGAAGTCCATAAGAATGCAACTTACAGGAACAATTTTGCGAGCCTGGACAATGTGGTGCTTATCATGGTAACTTCTAAGAGCCCTGAGATTCCTTTATGTCAGTGTATCACCTATGGCTTTTTATCTACGTATTAACCTAAGATTACAGACTTTAGTCTCTATATAAATTATGTTGTTTCACTAGTTCGTTTGCTCATTTTCTCCACAGTTTGAGCAAGATAATGTCTTGGTGCCCAAGGAGACGTCTCAATTTGGATACTACCCAGACGGTTCTTGGAGTACTATTTTACCTGCAGAAGAGGTAATTTTCATTGGAAATCATCCTGGCCTAAACATGAACTGATTAATGGTCCAAGCTTTGTATGCTCACGTACACTAAAATTCAGAAGATTAATGATTACTTCTCAAACTTCCCAAAGCTAGAAAGCAACGTATATTGGCGAGTTGTCGGGGCTAACAAAACTTTTAACCAGAGCAGGCAGACCGAAGCTGGAAACAATGCAGCTCATTTCTATCGGACTCTTAACCCCTAGGATTTTCATGAATTGCAGACAACACTCTACAAGGAAGACTGGATTGGATTAAAAACGCTTGAAGAAGCTGGAAAGGTGAAATATGTGAATGTATCGGGGCAGCACCTGGAGATTTCTCTGAGTGACATGAAGAAATACATATTACCTTACTTGACAGAGAATGGAACTGCAGAACCACCGATAACATACGAACCATCTATTCTTTGGCCTCGGTCTTACCTAGATCTGCCTCAAGCAATTGATCTTTGGCCAGGTGAAAAAGTTCTTCGCCTGACCAAAACAAACTAGTACTGCTCTACCTGTTGACATACGACAGATCGAGAATAATGCACCACATACCTCTACCCAGTAATCTGTTGTACTTCAAGTCACAAGTTACCTCACGGCCAGAGAACTGAAAGAAGATCTACGAATATTTTACTTATTTGTTTCCCCTTTTTCTGAGGACTTACAAATAGCACTACAAGAAACCTTTAGTCCACTTTTGTTCTTGTGCATATAGATCAGTGACAAAATGCAACAAAAGGATTCTATCGCCAACAGCAGAAGGCAAGAATCTAAACAAGTTCCAAAAAGAAATTATAAGTACTCATAACAAGAAAATATTTTAGAAGTCAACAGAAAACACAAAATTCCAAGGCGGGCTTTTTCAGCCAATTCCTTCTCAAAGGTGTACCTATATTATGTTGATGATAAAAAGAAAACTCCTAGAAGAATATGGGAAACAAAATATAATACAACCCTATAGACCCGCTACCCTTTAGTTCCTCAGCATAAACACAGAGAAAGAGTCGAGGAGCAGCCACACTAGCTCCTAAGACTCTTTTATGCTGCCAACCCAAAACAAAATCTAAGGCAATAATTGAATCTGCTAACCAGCCACACTCAAAGATGATGATCACGAGATTGAAGCATCTGTTTGATGGTGCTCTATGTTACGCAGTACAATTCTAGCGAAAATTTTGGCTTCCAGAGGTGCAGTTGCTGCTGCAGCGGCAGCACGTAAAACTCTTGGTGCTCCAGCATTCTGCAAGAGGCTCACATGATGGGAAGCATGCCTACCTCCAGGGACAGTGAACTGAGACCAAAACATTCGTATCCATAAGAAATCTCTAAAAAAATAATGTTATAAACTGTTTTCCGAGAGAGAGAGAGCTGAAGGGGGTGCCTAACCTGAAGGAGTGCAAAAGCAGCACATGCCTTCAGTACAGAGGAAGGATTTCGTAGCATGGTTACGAACCGCCCAATCTCCGCTCCACTGAAAAGAATAAGATTAATGTTAAGACAAGAAAAAGCACAACCACTTCATATGAGATTTAAAGATTTAGCAATGACTAGAGATGGTTTGCACCTAACTAATCTTGATAAAAAAAATAACACTCAAAAAGTTAAATAATGTCTATCCAGAAAGAGATTTTTTAACACACTTTGCACATGAATATTGCTTCCAACAGACAATAATGAATATTGCTTGAGTGGGTGCAGGAAAATTGGATGAATTCAACATAAGAGATTTCAATACAGAGATAGCTGTAAGTGACATTATGTTCACGGAAAATCCTTCAAGTAACCATTTATAAAGAGGTATACACTAGCACTGATGAAATAGTGGAGCAAAATTAACAGGATCTACCATAAATTTGTGGTAACGACTACAGGAATCAATATAGCCGACCCCACATAGGGGGAAAGAGGCTTCTTCTTGCTGATGTTGAATACAGGAATCCACAGGCAAACAAATGAGCTATTCTTAAACAAACAAAAACCCAACAAGCACCAAGACAGTCAACTTCTCTTTCCTTCCATTAGAACAAATACAAGCAAATGTAGTTAACCATTTTAAAGCAAGCATCAGACAAATGATGAATTAGATATCAGAAGCAAACAGTAGACATGACCAGAAAGATATATGCATCACAGGCGGAGTTGAGAAAGAGGTAAACCTGCATCTCAGATGACCAGCTTCATTGATTCGGGCCGATTCGGTCACTTGTGACAATGCAGCTGGGGCTGATGACATCGCAGCAGCAGAAAATGCTTGGTGATCAGAAAAGGTAAGAACAAACGCTTCAATTTGCTTCAGTGCCATTCTTCTGGCTCCATCTAAGCTAACAGTCTTGGAACCTTCAGCTGAAGTTCCGACAGAGGCAACTTCATCCATTCTGTACAAAAAAGAAACAAATTTGATCAACTGGAACTTAATCATCATTCAAAGAGACGGATTTTAAAAAGAAGAGCAAATTAGAACTACTCCATTTAAGTGCAATCCATACAAGGATTTCGTTACACTACTTCTATGATGATTTACAACCTGAAAAGTATAACAGCAGGGATCTTCAATCATGTCAGGACGTACTCACAATCATATCACATTAACTTTAGTAATTACTCAAACAAAATAAATAAATGACAAAACGATTTCATTATTTATGAAAGAGTATTAATCACTTTTGGAGATTGTTTTTCCTTTCGCGTTTGAAGTTTACTTTTAAACAAAAACTAAAATACATGGTTATTTTCAGGCAAATAGTTAAAATATTTAAGCAAAAAAAAACCGCTGGTTGGACATGAAAAGAAGTGTGAGGGAGGGGGAGGTGGCGGCGGCTGATTTGGTGGATCTCAGATATCATCAGACCACTATGTGGACCCAACATTTAGATTACACTCACTAGTGGGGCCATTCAACGGCCACTCCACCCTGTGGTGATCTTGTGGATGCCCTAAGCAAATCCAGCATCCACTTGTAGATTAAACTCTGAAACTACTGAATTTTGCAACAATTAGGCGACCCTGTAACTAAATCCTTTTGAGTTTACTGCTCCAGTTGTATTAGAAGCTTCTAAGTTTTCTGTTAATTATTTGCCATGCCTCCTTGCAGAAATTTTTTACATCCATCTCAGCAAAAAGCAGTCATAACTTATTATCTGGAGTGATTTTCACAAAAGAATGAGTGCTAATCTTAAAAGCTACACACATGCGAGAACCTGTCAACATTTCCTATAACTTGCTTAGCTTTCTAGTCTATTGCTCTCAGAAACTTTTGTACAAGGATAAGTTTAAGACATATTGGTAAGAGTGGCTAACTGTGTTTAGGATAGGAATCACACAAAATGTTACTTGCATCCTGCAGCCAATAAAACAGATATTTGACCATAATGGTCAATAGGCCAAAGTTTAGTTCAGAAATACCTAAAAAGAGCCTTTTAAGCTCACTGCTTGCAGCAAATCATCATGATATTGCCATTTTATTATATCAAACCTAATGATGTCTATAATAGAACAATTTCTGAATAGGATTCTCTGAAAATCATGAAGCAACCATACTCACACATGCTACCAGCAAACTGGATTTAGAGATGGTAAATTATCCAGTGATGTCATACCTTCCATCAAACATATATGCCAATGCCAATGCCGACATGAAGCGCGCCATTTTTGACACAGATGAAGAACACAGATGGGCTAGGGCTGGAACACCACCTTCCTCCACAATACGAAGAGCATTACCAGGATTAAAAGCAAGATTCCAAAGAGCTCCAGCAGCAGTTTCATGGACATCCTGAATATAATTTACATCGTCAGTGCATGATAAAGAAAACAGCTAGAAGAAGCTTATACAAGAAAAAATGAACAAAAGGCTTTTATATTGATCAGGCCTTGATATATTTATAATCCTGGAATTGCGGTCCATGCCTTACCCACCAGTAACTAGATACGTGAATAAAAATTGAATCCAATAAGATGATCCAAGTCATAAATTGAAAAATCATGCGAGTGCGGCTCCTATTTCAATTAAAGTGCGTGAAAGAGTGTATAAAAGTTTTAAAAGAAGTAATCAACAAAAGCAAGAAAGCATTCACTATTAGTAGCCTTCTTTTGTATCCTCCGAAGGAGGAAAAAGTAACTGATGCAGCTCAGTAATTGCCAGTAAAGTTTTAAGATTGCATAAATTGCACAATTCGGGGATTTCTTCAATTTTTTTAGAGTTAATAGAACGTCACCATTAATGAGCCTAAAATTGAAATGGACTTTATCCAGCTTCCTACAATAACCATAAGTAGCTTATATAAGCATGTTACTTGAGACTATCTCTTATTCGATTTTCTTACCAAACCAAATTCAAAATCTTTAATCATGGACATGCAAATCTACAGAAGATCTTAATACAAAACTTTGAAGCAATTAATGCAACACAAGAACCAATAATACAAAACTGAATTATTGCAGCGATTTCTCCCTTAAATTGAGATCATTTTTCTTTTTTTTACTGATGCCGCATATATTTCGCTACAGAGGATGTCTTTATTTGACTTAATTAACCATGCAATGATAGATTGTCTACAATCCTAAGTTTAAACCTACTTTTATGCATTGATATTTAGAAATTCTATCCAATTAGAATTTCTGGTTTGCTGTCATTTTCAAGTTATTCACATTAACCTCTTATACTTTCTCGTGCATGGAAGCAAGCATCAAATGGAACAATGTGATAGAACCATACTTCCAATCTTCATTCCTTCTGCAAGTGGAGATCTTCAAAAATCATAAAGACTATTTGCTGTAGTTAAAGAATCCTATATTAGCCTAACCATAAACATGGATCACAATTCTGTAAGCTTTAGGCTAATACAAGTTGATTTACAAATGTATTCATTACTGACTCTGCTTTAAAAATAACCACTATAATAATAGACAATTGAATTTGTAACGGGTACAACCATACAAGCGGTGTGTCAAAAACACACTTATGTAAACATAGTGAGATTTTCCCAAAAAACAAATCATGCTCACTATCCAAGGGTTTCTGTGGGCACTAGGTGGAAAAATTCAAAGAGGGATAGAGCATGGAGGGGGGAAACACACCACACCCGATGCAATGACTACCCAACAAGAACTAACCCAAAAGTTTACCATGCACGATACATGCTCATTTTCCTAATTCACCCAAGCTAGTCGTAATCATTATGATCAAAGAAAGTCAGACGTAACTGTGACCAAACCGTTAGCGAAAAATCAAGCAGCAGAAGGAAAATCCATATACCTCGGCATCCGATCGTGCGAAAGATATTAGGGGTGCGACACCACCTTCTCGCCCAATAGCAATGCTGATACAAGACAATAAAAAGGTCAGCAGATCAAGAAATAATTCAAATGATGATGATGAGATAAAATTATCGTTAAGGATGACGTAGATTATATATCTTTGTGGACTTTAACTCCAAGTGTGGCCATCCTAAACATGTAGAAAGAAATTGGTTGGACTGTAAAACTTTCATACAGATAAATGACTGCAGTTGCAGTCTTGCAGATGTTAAATGTTTTGCTCAGCCGAAAGAGAATCAAAATAGCCAAAAATGATCACCACTGAAACTGGGACAAATTGTTTCAACAGTGACGGAGTGGGTCACGAGGGTTTAACATGAAAAGGGCATCATTCTATAAAGAAGGACACTAAGTATAGCCTGTTGCTAGGAAAAAATGGAACACTATAGACCTTTGAATTACATCCATAGCTATACAATACATAACTCACCTGTTTGCTTCTGAAACAGATAACCCCCATAGAGCACCAGCGGCTCTTTCTTGAAGGGCGGGAGAGGAGTTTGAGCAGGAATTCGCAAGAGCAACCTTCAAAAATGAAACAGAATCATTAACAGGGATCTTCTAGTTTAAGAAGTTAAAACAACAAGTTCAACACATAACACTTGATTTCAAATACTAAGATACCCAAGGAAAAAAATATAGATGGACCATCTGGAGTGGAAACAAACACTCACTTTGCGAAACTTAAAAGAGTTTATAAACCACAGAAAAACATAGAAGGGAGGGGGACCTCAAAAGGACGAAGGTGCAAGTAAACAATGTGCTTCTTTTCGCATGGCGTAATCTACTTAGCAATCACTTCCTCAAAACCGGCTAAGCCAGTATGAGACAATCTGTGTTTGTTGGAACATCCTACAACTTTATCTGAGATCCTTTTATTCAAACCAAGAATGATTAGATCCCTTTACCGATGATATTGCTGCTTTAGTCCAACCAAAATATAGGTATTAATAACACAAGTGAGTTAACAAGTTATATGACTATGGAAAACTGGCAACTAGAACAGTTGATGAAATCCAGCACCAATCAACAATAAAATGTACACAAACACGAAAGTTTTCTCATCCTAAATCTTAATACTTGCAAATAGACTAACTACAGAATTCACACGTCATCAACAATATGCCATACCCAGGGTGCCAATGCAATAATTGTTAAGAGATTAAATTGGGAAAGTCAGAGCACGGAGTAAAACTTGATGTAAATCTAACAAAGTTCTCCAATATTTCATTCTTTAAAAGATGGAGAACAAAATTATCTGAATATAAAGCAAACCAGAATGCTATCAAAGCACTCCCAGATACCCAATAATGGAAGCTACCAGTCTTGTCAGGTCAACAAATCATAAGACATTCTACAGAATCTCCAAGTAATGTATGCAGTCTAGCACAAGTCAGCGAAAGATATTACCAAAGCTTCAACTCCTCCAGCAGCCGCAATCGCTTCTCGATTCCTGTCATCAAACGATAAGTTCCACAAAGCCCCAGCAGCTTCTTGCCTACCAAAACAAAACATCGCATATCAGAGATAAAACAAGCAAAACGATAAAAAGAGCTGGACACTGTCCTGAAGAGTAAATAATAACAATTCAAAGAACATTTCCAAGAAGTTAAGGGAGGCTAAGATGCTATGTTGTAGAAGTACTACTGCTCCCAGACAAGTTTGTTAATCACTCCAGGAAAGAAGCCAGAATATCACAACCATTTTTAGTAAAGGCACTGAGTCATTATTGTGTCTCCCTTTGTTCACATAAGATCGCACAAACCACGTAGAAAAACAGACTATAATAGAAAGTCAAATATCAAATGCATATTTATCTTGCTGTTTTGATCTTTTACACAGGTGTTGAAGATCTCCTAAATTTGAGACATCATTTAGTTTGTTAAAAACAAAACAAATCTCACAGTTATTACTAAGTTCTTACCCAGGAATCAACTGCCTTGTAAAAGTGGGAAAGTGAAAAAGCAACTTTTTTTAAGAATAAGCATGCCCTCAATTTCATTTCCGCACCTAAGCTTGAGTAAATGCTTAATTTCAACATTTCAAAATCCTTACCTAATTAGCAAACTGAGATTCTTTTTCTTAATAAAAGGCCTCATCAATTGCCAGAATGGCAATTGCTACTAGCTAGTTGAACACAAAATCAATTGGTGTAGCAAAACTTGCATCAAAACCAGATTATGAAAATTGATTATCAATGAAAAACTAATTATTAATGTACACTTCCTTTCCTAGATATTAAAAGTCAAAGATAAGCCATCATAAACGGTAAAATTCTAATCAACAGCCGAAATAGTAGGTCCTATCACCCGAATGGTGGCAATTTTTTGTGCCCATTTATAGTGCAGTTAGCATACAGAAGAAGCCAATTCATAATAACTAACATGTTACTGGCCCCTCCAAAGAGAACTTCAACAAAAAATTTTGAATCACCAAGTTCCAGAGAGTACACAACCTGACACCATCATGAACAGACTTAGTAAGTTGTACAAGAGCATCAAGAGCTCCTGCCTCTAGTCCAACAGCTGCATTGTTCGTGTTGCTATCTCCATGAGCAGCCAAATTAGCCAAGGCTCGAGCGGCCTGTGAATAGCACAATAGGAATAATCAGGTATTACTGCAGAACTAAATCTCAATCCTTAAACAAATATAAGCTTCTACAAAGTCCCAAACACACAAATACTGAAAGCTTTGCACATGAAATGCAATTTAAACACAGGTGTTAATTAACATTAGTTAATTTCATGGATGAGATTCAGGGTTCCTAAAGTTAGGCTTCTTCTAGGAATCTTTTTAAGATTTAGACTATATCATCATTGCAGGCACAGAACTGTAGCAACATGTGCAAGTCTGATTGGGCCAACAAAATCAAAATTAGGGTTAACAGATAGTGCAAAATGCAAAATCAAAATCAACAATTTGTGGATCAGCTTAATCTTATATACACAAACAAGACATGTTTTTTTTTTTTAATTTTGCATAATAAAAACACACACGCACACACACCACATGTGTTTACCATTTTTCACCCTCCTGGTTTGTGGGTCCGCTTCTTCACAAGTACCAATATAAACCACCACCAAGATATCATTGGACAAGCAATGGCTAAAGCTACATCGATTTATTTATTTCTTTTTAACCAATAACTACCTAATTTGCACCATAATTTTACATCAAATCTCTACAACTACAAGCTCATGCTGCAGTAGAACATTTAATAGAACATTGGAGTCAAAATCATTCTTAAGGGAAACGTTTGCCTTCTCAAACGAGAAAACTCCAAATACCTGCTCTTGCACTCCATCAACTTTGCAAGTACGTGCTAAAGTAACCAAAGCATGTACTCCACCTACTAAGGCAACTTCCATACTACATTTGTCATCTGCAGCCAAATTTGCCAAGGCACCAGCTGCACGTTCCTGGAAACACGAAACAAGCTCATCATCTATTTTATGCAATTTTTGGACAACAAATAGTATATTCTCTGCCAAATGTAGTTCAAAATGTTTCAAAAATGCAGGGGTGGAAGATATTTGCATCTTCAGTTGTATTCACACACAACGAGAAACAAACATACCAAAACTCCATCGCCACCATTGGACCATTTAAAGATAAGATCAACTAAAGCTTTGACCCCGCCTGCTTGGGTAATGGCACCCTGCAAAAGAAGTTTGTTCAGAAAACAAAACTTGAAACACAGAATCAAGAGAAGCATTAAAGAAAACACACACCTTATGCTCTTCGCCAACTGAAAGATTCCAAAGTCCTCCTGCTGCCTCTTCGGCAACCATCCTATTCATAGACCTAGCTAAACTTGCAAGAATATTGATACCTCCTTCCTCCGCCACAGCTTTTGCAACATTGGTGTTGACTGATAAGTTCGCAATCGCCTATTCACAAAAAATAAAATAAAATAAAATAAAATAAATTATAAATTATAATTTCCATAATGAAAGTTTAATTGACCTTTACCATAGAGGGATGGAAAATTAATTGTCCAACAAAGCAGTTAATAAAAATAATTTAACAATTAACTCTTCGGTGACGCTCAATCTAGAAACCTTATGACAATAAGCCTAACTTTTGTACCTTTGCAGCTTCTGACTGAAGCCCCTCCCTCCATGATTTTGCAAGATTTAAGAGGAGTCGTACGCCACCATCTCGCATAACTGCTTCTGCTCTTCCACCATCAATACTGGCATTCTCATCATCAATGACTACAAAAGTTGCAAGGCCAGTAGCAGCCCTCTCTTGAACTTCCTCCTGAGTGCTCTGCGTCAAATTGAGCATTAGATTGGCACCTTGGGAGAGCCAGAAACTATCCAAACCCTGTGGATTGGTCTCAGCAATGCGTAGCAGTGAATGTGACAGGATCCATTCCAGCCAATACATGATCTCGTTCAATTTCTTATCCTTGATGCTTGAGTTTCGCCAATCCGAGAACACGTCCTTCTCTTGCTTAGTAGTATCGGCAAATAGGGAAGCTACTCCTTTGAGAATATTTGTAAAAGTTGCAAGTAACAGTTTACCTTTATGATTATTGTTGGAAACAAAGCTCTCATCTGTTTCAAGAGCTGGACAATGTAAAGCACACAACACCTTTAGACTCTGGGAGGATGAGAATAATCTTGAAACGACATTAGGAGTTATTTCTGTCCTAGATACATCTAAACCTAGTAGGTTAGGTAACTTGTTCCAGTGCTGTAAAACCAAAGGCCACTTCACAGTGCTAGTACCAGCAACTGAAAGGAAGCGAAGGGATGATACATTTTCGAGTGCTGCCTCATCAATACAAAGACAGTCAATAAAGCCAATGTCTATTAAATTTGGACAATTACTGGCCAACGCATTTATAGCATCCGCGTCAATATCGCGGATACCAGAGAGCCTAAGTTTCTGGAGATTACGGCAACAGAGGGCCAATGCTTTTATTGCATCACTGGTTACCCTTTCACAGAAGTCTGGCCCGAGTTGGAGACTCTCAAGCTTCTCATGCCGAGCAGCAATCACAGAGAGCGTAGCATCACTAATTTTCCTGCAATAATCACCGCTGATCTCGCGTAAATTTCTAGCTTGAATATTTATGATTGCATCAGCTGATTCGGCACCACGGAAACGAAGCTTTCGCAGATCTCGACATCTAGGAGCAAGAGAAGCTGCAGCCGCAGCATCACATTTATGAGCACGAATGTCCAGTGTCTGCCACAAGCATGGTGAAGCACCTAAAAGTCTCCAAGTCCGACAAGTCGATGACAAGCTTGCTCGATCACGGTAATTAAGACAGGAAAACAACTGTAACACTGAATCATCAGCCAACTTAGTCCAATCAAGCACGCCTGTATCATCCAAAACTAAACATTCCTCAACCTCCGGGCAATCCAACTTCTCCTTTCCCCTCCTTGACACCTTCCTCCTCACTCTCCGATTCATAATATATTATTGATCAAACCAGCGCGAAACCAGCAACTCAATCCCTTCAATTCAAGGCAATAAGATACCAGGAACAGAAATTGCAAAATCCTTACCTTGATCAACTTAGATCAGCTCGAAAAACTCTAAACTACCCAATCAGATGGGTGAAAACACCCGAGACAAAGAAGGAAGCCTGATGTTTTACCTCAAATGCCTCATTCAGTAAACCACCTGATCAAACAAACAAAAAAAAACCCAGATGCTATTTACTTCAAATCTCAGAACCCAAATTCCCAAACCAGTCAAACTTCCACAGATAACCCAATAACAAGGAATTCTTCAACAATCAAAAGCCCTAATTATTCAACCACTGGTGGACTAAAGGAGAAAACTTTTCAACGCCAATTTACGCATCATTGAACCTAAGAACCAAAAACCCACGTATCACAGATAGCAACAATCAAATTACACCGCCAAAAAAAAAAAAAAGATGATACCCAATTAACTTGTTGCATTATGATGAGTTAAAGTAGATACCTTCGCATTAATGTGTATATATCCTTTTTCTCCCCCGGAAAACCTGAGTTGTTTTTGTGGCTATGTCGGTATAAATGTGAACCCTTTTCCTATCTCCCTTCTCCGTATCAAATCTATATCCTTTCAACAGAATTGCATTCACGAACAGCTAAATCAGTTGCAAAGAAAAACAAGCTGATTGAACTCCAAATGCAGAACCGACTAAGATGGTCTCACAGAGATAGAGAGAGTGGACAAAGCTGAGAGAATTCAGGTGCGCAGAATCAAGAAGAGGTGGGATAAAAAAGCCGAGGCCACCCAAACCCCAAAGCTAATACTTGGCAAAACCAAACCTCTCTTCCTCTCTTTCACGTTTCACCCCAACTCCTTTTATATTTTACCTTGCTGCTCAACGTGTACCGAGAAAACGTATAATACACAAGGGAAAAAATGAAGGGAAATGTAAAATCACCCGCGGGGGGGTGGGGGGGTTCGAATTGTAAAAAAAAATTGTGATTTTTGTAATCTTTTTCTGATTATGAGGTTAGATTTCCTTACAACATTTTTAAGAAATAATTTATGTAAATTTATTTGTTGTGTAAATAGCTTACTTCCCTGCCAAATTTTGTTGTGAAAATTAATGAAGGAAGTAAATTAGAAATAAATATTTGATATCCAGTTCAATGATACCAGACCACTGACACGTCTAGCTAATTCAACGTGTCAAGTTTTCAGCATGTCACGAATTTAACATGTTCGGTGTTAAATGGCAGTATGACTTCAGATTTACGTATCGATATTTCCAAAAAATCAAGTATTGACTGTGAGTAAAATTTAAATGGTCAATTACTTGAAATTTAGACCAAATTTACTGCCCGAGTGTATAGCGAGTTTGAAATGTACAATGCAACATTGTGTTTCTCTAATCGAACAATAACTATAAGTAAATGGTCAATTGTCTAAAAATTTGATTAAAATTTTACTTTTCGAGTGATGTTATTGTATCTTTACCTGCACATTTTCGGTGTTATATATTGTGACTCTAACTTTACAATATCAATATTTTCAGGGAATTAAAATAACTAATAAGTGTAAGTCACTTTGATTTAAAGTTTATGGCTAGAGTAACTAGTAATTGTTCATAGGCAATATTCACACCTTTGTGTTTGTCTTTTGGCATCAAATGGTATTTGACCATGTGATGTGGACGCTAGCGAGATCAGTTCTATCATTATGCATGATAAAACATTTGGCAAAGGTTCAATAAATCAAATCTGTCCAATTGGTAATGCCAATATTTTGTTGGTAAATGGTATTTAAATTCCCCCCAACTATAAAATTATTTATAAGATTCAGACTGAGGTGCTCAAACTTCAAAGACACCTCGAAGCGTGAATGTAAATTTCGTAATTTTGTACTTTCTCCATTTCATTTCAATAAGCTCACTTCCTCTTTTAGGATGTTTCAAAATTTAGTCCTGTTTCAGACAATTAATTAATTTTTTCTATAAACTCTTTAATATATTATTCCTACTTTCACTGAAATCAAGAATATTTAATTAATTTCAACTATTAATTTCTCATATTAATTAATAACTCACTAGTCATTAATAAAGATGTAGTACTAGAAAATTTTATTTAAAATTAACTACATAAATTACATTACCCACTTTTTCTTAATCTCCGTGTATGTCTAAATGCGCCTATTGAATTGGAATGGAGGGAGTACTATGAATACTATACTTTAATTAGAATTTATAATATTACTTTAGACATTTCGTTTATGAGGAATGAATGCGGTCTACTGCTCATATACTTTGCTATTACCTTTGCCAATTGGGAAATGACGCAATAAAAGAGATTAATTCGATGCATGAACCAAGAAAGCCTTATTTTAGTGATTTTAAGACCTTAATAAGAAAATATTAATTTTATACTAGAGGACCTTAATTTTTATTCGATTTGGATATTAAGAAAATATTAAGATCTTACGAAACAAAGAATTTTAAACGCGTTTTTTTTTTTTTTTTTTGTATATACATCCTCAACTTGATTTAATCATGAAATTTCTTTCCTTAATTTGAATTTCAAATTTCTTATTAGTTTGATGTTCCAAATGAGAGATCCTCCAAAATGTCTTTAAAATTCAAGCTAAGGATATTTTGTTTGATTGATTGACTGTTGACATATGATGAATCAAAGTAAATTATCAAGATGCTTTAAAGATGAGTGATATGACAACGAGCAAGATAAGAAGAAGGGACTTAACTCGAGTAAAAGACTCAAATGACATTAAAAAAAATCAGAATTAATTGGACTTAACTCGAACACTCACTCCATTTTCAAAAAAAAAAAAAAAAACAATTTGAAACCTTAGTTTGGGAAACACACAGGGTTCATCAACAAATAAATAAATAAATAAAATTATTACAGATCTGGACTAATTGAAAAAAATATTATTAGATAAATAAAATTTAGGAGAATCAAGAAATGTTTTATAATAAGGATTGAAAAGTAAAAGAATGTAGAAAAATGAAACGTAACAAGCTCAATAACATAAATATTGCCACATCAATAATTTTTTTCCCCCTCGTTACAATCAAAATATCACTACTAGAGAAAAACTATACGCATCTTCAAAAGGGGTCACAATTAGGTTCTTTCTAAAAATGTTGGATCACCAGATGGGTTTGACTTGTTCCTTTTCCAGTATGACACCTAGTTGAGTTTGGATATGCAGAATGAGGCCGACATTGGTTACCAGGAAACCTTTGAATTTTAACTCATCATCTTGTATTTAAATACGTAATACATTTCATTTTCATATAGAGATCCCCATAAATAATGTACTGTAGATGTAATAATGATCATTTTTATTATCTGCAACTTAAATTCACTTTTTTTCCCTTTTATTTTTCCCCCCTTTCTATTTTACTATGACTTAATAAATACTCCCTCCATTCACAAATAGATGTCGCTGGAGAGATTTCACAAAGTTTAAAGAGGCAATAATTATCTTGTTAAAATACTATAATATCTCCATTTATTCTTAATTCAATTATAGTCCCAATAAAATTTACTTCTAATACAATTCTACACTAAACATCACTACAATTTCCAATGTAAGAGTAATATTGGAAAAAATTGACAAAATATGCCTCGATTTATGAGAACGACATCTATTTTGGAATATTTGGGTTTTCCTCCAACGACATCTATTTGTGAATGGAGGGAGTATATTCCTCCTGAATCGATTTTGACTAGGAAATTTTTATGACAAATTATGAGGACGAGATTAATTCTGTTTCATTGTCTTTTTAACATCTGTTATGGGTTTAACCTGGACAATCTAGCCAAATGATGTACTCCCACTGTCCCATAATTATTGTCCAGTTTGAGTTTTTATTTTTTTTAATTCAAATTGTACTAAAAATGAAATCTCAAACTGGACAACAATAAGTCTAGTTCCTTAATTTATTTATTTTTTTTTAAAAAAAAAAACGTAAAAGAGATTCATATTCATTATTGACATAAATTGCACATTCTTTATTGGCATAATTTTTCTTTTCTGCAATTACTTGTACTTTTTTCATTGGCACAAAATACTACTGCTTATCTGTAATTACAATTATTCGTCGTGAACGTACTATATAAATAAATGCAAGCAATCGGGACACATATTTTGATGAAATTATTAGTATAATAAAACTAGATGAATCCTCCTCTGTGAATCTCTCCAGCGAAACGGGAATTATTCATTCATTCATTCACTCATTCGAGGAAGAAGAAGAACATGATGAGAAAAGATGATCATGCTCTGTCTTCCTCTTCGTCATCCCCGACGTCATGCTTCGGTCACTTCTGCTCCTCCGCACTCCGGGCCAAGCCTCTTCCTCCGCCGTCCTCCGACACCTCCGTCCGCACGGACTCCGGCCAAGGCCTCATCCGCCGTCTTAGCCTCTTCGACCTTATTCTCCTCGGCATTGGTGCTTCCATTGGCGCCGGCATCTTCGTCGTCACCGGCACTGTTGCCCGTGATGCCGGTCCCGGTGAGTTGCTATTTTGGCTCCGATGATTGCTTTTTTTTTTTTTTTTTCTTTTTTTTAAAAAAACTTTTCTGCATGTTGCAATTGCGAATTGTAAAGTTTCAATCTTGTAGGCTGTAGCTGGCTTTGACTGATATTCTTTTTTCGAAATTAGGCTAAGATCATCTGAGATAAATCTTCAATTAGGCTAAACTTTTTGCCTTTTGTGAATTTATCTAAAATTTTATGCTTTTATTTGAAAATATGTATGGATAGCTCTACTGATGCTAATTTCACTTCTTTCTAAACAGCTGTCACAATAAGCTTCATAATTGCTGGAGCATCTTGTGTCCTCAATGCACTCTGTTATGCTGAGCTAGCTTCTCGGTTTCCTGCTGTTGTTGGTGGAGCTTATCTGTATGCATATACAGCTTTCAATGAGCTCACTGCATTTCTTGTCTTTGCTCAATTGATGCTTGACTATCACATTGGTGCAGCCAGTATAGCACGAAGTTTGGCTGGTTATGTCGTTTCATTGATAGAGCTCATCCCGTCCGTGAGAGGTAATATACCTCCTTGGGTTGGGCATGGCCAAGAAATTGCTGGGCCATTATCCATTAATGTGCTAGCTCCGATTTTGCTTGCGCTTCTGACCATTGTTTTATGCCGCGGCGTTGGAGAATCTTCTGCTGTAAATTGTGCCATGACAATCACCAAGGTAATGCCTTATCCTGTGTCTTTCTGGCGAGCATAGTAGAAAGGAAAGTGAGTTAGTTTGTTGAGTTTGACTAAAGTAATGAAACGTGCAAGTGCTTCATCCCTCACCCATTGCTCTTTTATTCAAAGATTGAAATTCTGGCCTATTTTCGATAATCGTCCTTTACCTAAGCTACCTATCCAATAGCTAACTGTTTCGTTATGCTTTAAAACCTAATTAGCATAATGTTCTATGAATTTCCATGGAGCTCAAAGCCGGAGTTCCTCTCCGAAGTGTTATTCATCTAGTGCTCTGCATTTTAAATGGATTGCAGGAGAGTTTTTGTATGAAATTTCACCATCACTCCTATGAAATTTCACCATCACTTCTTTGGTTTGAAGCTCACTCTGATTGCTGGCTTATGTTTCTTTCCTGACACTTCTTACCATGCACATGATGATAAGCAACCTGTATCACACATTGATTTAGAATTTTGCTTGTTGTGGTTGTATGTCGATCTTTCTGGTGCATTAGTTAGTATCATCGGTTTTGGTTCCATGGCAATGATGCGCTGTTTTCTTGAATCGCTGCCTTTTTGTCTACTGCAGCCAAATAGGACATGGCTGTAACGTATGTTAGGCAGTGACTTGCAGTTTTTCCTCTTCCTTTTCATTGCTAACCTTCCTCTTTCACCTGGATCTTTTGGTTTCAAGGAAGAGGGATTGGGAATGAAAAAGGGTCGTGGTTAAAAATGTTATATATCTGCAAATATTTCAATGATTATAGAAGTTGAAAGAGCTTCTGGGGCTCACTTAGAGGAAATTTGTTGCAGGTGGTCATTGTTTGTGTTGTCATCATTGTTGGATCTTTCAAGGTGGATATCTCTAATTGGACACCTTTTGCTCCAAATGGTGTTGGAGAAGTACTGACTGGCGCAACGGTTGTATTCTTTGCATATGTTGGATTTGATGCAGTTGCCAATTCTGCTGAAGAATCAAAGAGACCACAGGTAATAAGCATGCATGTCAATTGACTTATTAAGTTCTCTTTTCTGCCCGAAGTGCGATGTAGTTTCTTGCATACAAACTTCCTCATGTTTTCTTATACTCTCTTTACGTATGATGTTCAGCGGGATTTACCACTTGGCATAATGGGTAGCCTTTTCGTCTGTGTTGTGTTATATGTTGGAGTTTGCTTGGTTATTACTGGAATGGTACCTTACAAATTGCTTGGAGAGGATGCTCCTTTAGCTGAAGCATTTAAATCCAAGGGCTTGGGATTTGTAGCAGTTCTGATCAGTGTAGGTGCCGTAGCTGGACTCACGACAACCCTTTTGGTTGGGCTTTATGTACAGGTACATTGCAATTAATTTCAATGTATTAAATGAATCATGATAACTATGTCGTGATTGATTATAGCTGTACGTTTTCAATGTTCAGTCTCGGTTGTATCTTGGGATTGGAAGGGACGGCTTGCTTCCATCAATATTTTCTAAAGTTCATCCAAGTCGGCATACCCCCGTACATTCTCAGATATGGGTTGGTAGTGTTGCTATGGTGTTATCTGGGCTCTTTAACGTGCGTGTGCTCTCACACATCCTCTCTGTTGGCTCCTTGGTAAGTCCCCTCAAAACTTCTCCTCTTAGTGTTGAGCTTGATAATTTGCTTCGACTTACCTGGATATAAGCAGTCTGAATATTCAATGTACTTCCCTCTCTCTCTGTATAAATATATATGATTGACCAAACATTTTCCTATTCAACCTCGATACTCTCAAGTTCTTCCTGTGCCACTCATGCTAGTTATTTGGTTTGCTTGTTTCAGACTGGCTATTCTGTTGTTTCAGCTTGTGTTGTGACCCTAAGGTTGAAGGATAAGAATACAAATCCAGTTTCGCAGAAATGGATTTCGAACAGGGCAGAGGGAATCATTTGCCTAGTAGCAGTTGCATGTTGTGGTTTTGCTGCTGGAGTTCTATATAGATTTGGTGCTTCATTTGCTTTCCTTATTGTTGCTGCAGTTATTGCAATTTTTGCTGCCTTAGCACTCCACTTCCGCCAAGTAAGTATCAGTGAGTTGGAGTTAGCTGTAAATCAATATTATGATTGAGACAAGCTTAATGAGGATGCTGTGGCTTTATGACATTGCCTTAAGTGGTTAAAAATGGGGAATATTGCATTCTACATCCGGAACTAGTTACATTTTGATTACTTGTCTAGTAGTTTGTTTTTTGTTTCTTTGAAATGGGTCTAGTAGTTTTGTTAAATTGTTACATTTCACAAGTCTTTTTAAAAATATATACGTTAGTAAGACTTCTTTGAGGTAATTGTTAGGAGTTCAATATCATTTATTCTAGATGGAAGTTTGTACAGTGTTTGCCTCTTACATGTAACACAAGTCAAGATTACAAATGTTAGTAAGACTTCTTTGAGGTAATTGTTAGGAGTTCAATATCATTTATTCTAGATGGAAGTTTGTACAGTGTTTGCCTCTTACATGTAACACAAGTCAAGATTACTAATGGTCATAGACTGTTTATATTTGTGTAAATTGTGAAAATGTCAACTTGTAAAGGGATAATTCATAGCGGTGATTGAAGTCTATAAAAGTTGCTCTGTTCCCTTCTTTTGTCATAGTCTGGCTTGTCAGGCCACTGATGGCTATTTGATTGGGTTGCAGTGTACAACTTTGGAACTTATTTGCAATTTCCGTATGACACTGTTCATTTCATTTTACAATCTCCACAGGTTTATACAGATCCACCGGGTTTTTCTTGCCCTGGAGTTCCGATTGTCCCGGCTGTTTGTATTTTTGTTAACATTTTCCTCTTTGCCCAGGTTCGTTCAACATTTATCTTTGTTTAACCATTTTAAACATCTATTGCAACAGAGGTCTTCTTAGGTGTACATTTGTTTTATGCGATTATGCGAGTCTGGCTGACATGATTATTTGGACTTGATTTCCCATTTTGACTTGTCTGCAGTTACACTACGAAGCCTGGGTGAGATTTGTTGCGCTGAGCATCTTTATGGTTGGTATTTATGCCTTCTATGGGCAATATCATGCGAATCCTGTAAGTTCAGATACATCAATTATCTATCATAAGGCACCTGCAGGCGAGGCTGATTAGCATCTTTTAGTCAAAAGTTGTGGTAGATATACTTTAAATCCTCAACTCTTTCTCTTACCCTGAAGAATTCCAGTGGTAGCTTAAAGCCTCATGGGCCCCGAATTTCAGAATAGAAATTAGTGCATATACCAGAAGATGTTGGAGCGATGGAGTACATATACTAAATTGCCCTGTAACTAGTTCATGTAATTTTGCAATTTAGAATATATACTTGCCATACCCCAATCATTCTGTATCTCATTTTGTTGACACTTGTTTGCATGTAAATCATCAAACTAACAAATTTTTTGTTCACATTTATAATCTATGTAACTAGTGGCAAGCTATGCCCAGTAGGCACTTTTGCAACTAGAGATGATGATTTCTCTGTTGTAAAAGGTTTGTTTTGATTATCCATAAAGCATGAATTAGCATCTTGGACTCACGAGAAAGAGCCTGACATTTAAACTTGTGTTTCTTCCCTGATAGGGTTCTGAACCAGAAGATTGGCTAATATGAGACTGAAGCTAGGCTGTATGACTTTTGGCCATTTTAACTTTTTGGCAGAAGTGGTCTTACTAACTTGACTAACTGGGTAATTTCCTTTGCACTTAACACTTTTCTGATTCATTATGACTTAAATTCTCTCAGTCTTGTAGTTGTTTGATTTAGAACTACAAAGTTGCAAGAAATGGATTTACTCGGTCCGTTGTCTGCTTTGCTAGGAGTTTCAATGACAAACCTCCAGACAGATTAGAAAATAAGAGAATCACCCTTAACTTAGGTGAATTAGAAAAGCAAAAGAGAAGATTGGCAGAAATAGTTGAAGGTTCTTCCTCATTTTGCAGGCTTCATGAGTTTTCTTGTACTCGATGGATCTTGATTAGTAGCAACGTATTGGGTATGAAAGTTTTTCTGGAGCACCAAAGCAATCTAACCGGCAGGGATGCTGCCTTCGGTCCAGGATGAAAGCAACATCATTACAGTTCTCTAGGAAAAATCTGAGCTCCTCCTCTCTTCTACTGATAATGTGTACATCCAGCTTTCGCATCAAGTGTAGTTGAGCGATAATGCGGTTGTTGTGGTTTGAGTGTTGTCATGTAAATGGTGTGCTAAAGTATACGCAAGTCACTAACAGTGCGTGTGATTCCATCAGTTTCATCAATGTATAAAAACAAATCAGCTTAAGGCTTTCACCTGCTCTGCAGAAAGAAAGGACTTCTTTCGAAAATGATAAATGCTTCTACTGACTCTGTGGTTGATGTTGAAGGGAGTGCGAATATACTTGATTGAGAACAGGAATGAACACAAGGACAATTAACTAAATCTGGGCAAATTTTGCCGACATTCATCACCTAATCAACTAACACTAGCTCAAATTTTATAGCACCTTTAATTGCAGACAAAGTCCGAGTAAAACCCTATCGTTCTCCTTACACAATCCTGAATGCTAACCAGTTCCACATCGAAGACCTCAAACTGTTTTGAGCTGAAAAAGGTGGATGGTCCAACCTGGGATAAGATGGGGAATAACTTCGTCATTCATGATTCATGTAGGAATGTAACAGATATTCTCATTGACAATGGACTACAGTGACATTAGAGACCCAAAGCCCCAAAACTACATGTTCTTTAGAGTTTGATATTAATGCAAAGGCCTAACTTTAGCCACTATAATATATGTAAGAATAGTTTAGTTTCAGTATAAAGGAACTGACAACTGAACTTCATTACTGTAATTAAACTTTCCAAAAAAGAAAAGAAGACACGGAAAATGAAATTTACAAGTGCCGAAGAATTGTAGTCTCTTTGTTTTACTAAAGTTGGGAGAAAGATGCAAATAAAAAGAGCACTCATATGTTGCATGTACAAGAGGAACCCATATCATAAACCTCTACTTTTCTATAAGTAAGAAGCCACCAGAATAGTTAACTAAGAAGAATTTATACCCCAGGTAGAAGACGATCAAGATGAAAAAGGTTCAACTTTTAGAAATCATAACGATCAACTTAACTTCTGACACTTACTGGTGGTCCGAGTTCTGGAGGAATGATAATTCTCCTCTTTCCACCAGGTTTCATGTCACTGATCCCTTGCTCAAACCCTGTGTCAGGAGTTCTCCTTTATGGTTGCCTCAAATTAGTTGGAAGAAAGAAGCAACAATAAAACAATCTTCAATACAATTTACCTGGAACCAGTGCATTAGTGCCCATTCGAATTCTTGCCGGAGAACCCTGAATGTAAGTACTGTCAATGCGGCGGCCAGACTCATTATAACCAACGTAGTGAAATGTCACCTGCCACAGATAGAGAGACTTCCTCAGTTCTGGGTTATCGTATGTAGCTCAAACGAAGATCACTTTCATTCCCTGTCCTTGCATAGATATGCTCCATTCATCTTTTTTTTTTTTTTATACAGCTTCACTAGAAGTGTACTTCCAATGTATTTGTATGGATGACCTTAACTCTCACTTCTAAAGAAATTATATGATGAAGTTAACAAATGAAAAATCTGTTTGACCTGTTCATGAATGTTCACTTTATACAATAAAATAACTCAAATTTCTATAGGAGAAAGTAAAACAAAAGAAAACCTGTTGACCAGCCTTTGGAGATTCACCTTTACCAACGTCAATATCCCAAACCATAAGACCCGAGTCACGCTTCACATAATAGTCTGGTGCCACAACTTTTACAGTAAATCCTGTCAAAGGCCCCACATGTATTATCAACTTTGTGAAGATAGTGAATGTTTCTCAACCATCATAATTCATAAACATAATTTTGAGCAATTGCCTTTCTGGGGGAGAAGAGAACAGGTTATACTGTAGAACTAGAACAAACCTTCTCTTACAAAATTTGGAAAGTTTTCAGGTGCATTATTCTCCCTCTGTCTCCGCCTGTTTTGCTCTAGCAAGCGCCTTTCATCAAAGGGGTTTTTACTTTTTGTCTTTGCATAAGAGGGAAGTGCAGGAGATATGGCTGATGCAACCGCAATATTTAACAGAACTCTCCGCGTCATCTCTTCATAAGGAAAGATAGATGACCTCCCTTCTCTATACCAATAAGATAAAGAGGAGAGACAGGTTAAATTACATCTAGAGTAATGCTTGGAAAAGAATTCATTTAGTGGCTCAAGAAACAACATGCCACAGATGAAAAATAAATCATGAGTGTCCATTTATGCAACATAGTTCCCAGTGTCATTTCGCTCCACGATTTCACTCTCCCAATCGATATTCTTACTTTTACCATCATCCAGTGCTTGCTAAACAAACCGACAGACTATGGTTTGAGAAAAGCAGCCAATTAAGAACTTTGGCTCCTTGGAATTAAAGTCAACAGATGAAAAGAGTTGAAGAGTAAAGAACCTATCAATCTGTTTAACTAAATTATCAAAAATAAAAAGGACGAATCACTAAAGTATGGGATTCAGTCATAAATATCATAAAATGTACTTTGTGTTTCATTAAAATTTCTATTTTTTTTTTACTCTCAAAGATGAACCGCAATAGTTTCTCGCTTATGAACTTTCTCAACCCTCTGATGCAAACCTGATTCGGGAAAGCACCCCTTCTAAGTTGATCATACAATAGGAATAACATCCTAGTCCAAAGAACAGAAAATTTAAAAAGTGTAACTTTATTATGAAAAAAAAAGTGAAATAATGAAAAAGCTTGAGAATTAGAATTCTCTATAGCAAAACTTGGGTGATGGCATCATCTCGATGAATTGCTACCCCTTAACTCAAAGATTAAGGACGTCAGTTATTCAAATGAATGTCCAGAAATGAGATAAACCTACCCACAATCTTCCAAATTACGACCTCCTTGGCAATGGAGTATGAATCTTCTAAGGATGGGTGAAGCACCTGGTGTTGGAGAAGGTGAAAGACTAATATCTGGAAGAAGGAGAAACGATTAAATGTAAGCATTTACAACAGGGAAAGGTAGATGATTTTCTTCCTGAAAATGACAAACTATAACATATTGAGCAGATAACCTTCAATTCCATTTATACTTTTTTCATCAGAAACAGTAAACCTGATTTCCCAAGCTTGGACAAGAACATTCACTATAAAACTAGGACAAACCAATTCGATCAGAATTTCCTATTTATTTCAAGCCAAAATTAGTGATAAAATAGAAATAACTTCATTGTTCTTATATCCTTTCCTCGGATGCTGATGAATTGAAGAGAACCCAAGTTCAATGCAAATTCATTCATAGTGATTGGAAGAAGCAGAAGGGAAAACAGAAAAAGTAAAACCCAAATGATAGAGAATACAGGAAGAGCGTGCAAGTTTGAGCTGAATTTGTAATCACGTCTATTTCACAAACTTATTCGCGGATTTTCATGGCTGCTTTTACAGAGAACTACCATATAACCTTCCCAATCACAATGAAGTGATGAAAGAGATAAGAAATGAAGGGTGGAAGAGAAAGACTCACTGGAGAAATAAGATGTTGAAGGAAGATGGGAAGAGAGCAGCATGGCTTAGTTTGAGTCAAAGACTGAAGCTTTCAGACTCTGGACATCACTTCAATGGAAGAAACACCTCTTCCTTCTTTCAGAAATTGAGCAATCTGTCAGAAAACTCGCAACTCAGAAGTCAGAACCATCTGCTTGCTTATAAGAAACTTTATCCTTTAGTGGGGTTGCTTTCGTAAAGTCGGTTTGCAGTTTTCCTTTCTTAAATCTGTTATTTTCCCTCGGTCTGAATATAGGCCTAAAACACAAATGGTTTGGATTCAAATTCAAAGCATATCATGAACTCAAAGCCTCCCGACTCGAATCCGGATTAGCAAATAATTCGAGTTAGTAATTTCAGTCTTTCGGACTTTAAGACACCAGGTGAATTTAGAAAGAAATACATATATGATTACTTCTTCCATTTCCTTGTGTTTCCTTTATTTTGTCCTCAAGAAAGAAAGATTATACCCTGCAATTTCATGTCACTGCAACTTCTCCGTTTTCCTTTTCAATCTATAAAACAAACAAATGAATACGCTGATTAGCCTGCTCTTCTTGGAGCCTATCCTGAAGAAACCTGTGCATAACAATTAACTTGAGGAAAAGAACACCCTACAAGGAGCCATGTACATCCCTCAGAATACAAAATTTCCATGTCTTTACACTTGAAAAGGTACCCTAAAACTCGATACTTCCATTAAAGCGATTAATGGAAAGGAGAAGCTGGAAAAAAACCCCTTATTCTCGCATCATCTATCTTGCCACTTGAGGCAATAATGATAAAGAACCACAAATAACTTTCGGTTTCCGTCCCAGGCAAAACTCACGATCTCAGAAAACATGGATGTCAACACCAATGCCCTCTAGCTGACTTGTCAAAGAGTCCTCCGCCAGTGACTTCTTCAATACTTCCTGGCTGGTTTGGCAGCGAATCCACAAACACGAAAGCCTACCAATAGCTGCCTGGCTGGCAAACTGAAATCTACAAGCTAGTTTCAAGTTATTTGATGTTTTCTTACTCAATAAACAGGACTCGTGGGTTTCGTCATATCCATCAAGGTCAGAATCTGTCACTACAACAATAGACTCATCATCAAAAGCTGAGGCGACTCGTTTCTCTGGCAGACACAAACTTGTTCCTGATACATTGTCACTCTTGCAGATGCCATCTTCAGATTCCTTCATACAGGAATAATAATTTTGAACAGCCTGCAAGTTTGTAAAAACCAGGAAATGATGATGTAATAACAAAAGACATTCTAGATGTCCAAAACAAATTACAGAATAAAATTGATCCTTACCTGCCACTGAGTAGAGGCTAAAAGTACCCTCGGCCGAATAGACCTTACAAGATCATAAGCAACTTCGGGCGTCATATTCTTATGCTTAACCTGCATAAATACTGTGTTAGTATAGAGAAAAAAACTCATCGAAATTATTATATTTAGGAAGTCTTCGAAAGGATATACAAACCAAGTAACAAAGGACAATTGTAGTGCTACGCCCGCGCCCAGCCTTGCAGTGAACATATGTCGACTTTCCAGAAGAAGCATTACCTTCGTTATAGACAAAATGAAGAGAAAAACTTTTAGAAGGAGCAATTATATGAAAATAATGATTCCAAAAGAGGGTCAATTATAGCAAACCGAGTATCCACATAAATTTCCCCGAAGAAGGGTTCAGATAATTTCAGAAGAAAGGATATGCCGCCTAACTATCTGGGAAAATGACTTGGAAACAGAGAAGGAACACACCGGCCGCAGTGGGGGAGAAAAGGAAACTGTGGTTGTCATTTTGAATTCTACTTATCAATTGGAGTTAAAACATACAGAAGAATCCAAATTATATATTGGCGTTGAAACATACACAAAGAATCCAACTTATCTATTGGAGTTCAAACATATACGCAGAATTAGAGAGTTGCCAACTTTGGCAGTTAAACCAGATTGTCTTGTCTGTCCCTCTTACAATAAATGGAGAGAACAAGATGTTGCTGCATGATACAAATATCCCACTGTAGTCATAGTTTTTACTTGAAGTAGGATAAACTCTAAACTACTCACCGTGGATAAAATCTACAGCCTGACAAATGTCAGGATATGATGGAGCAAAGAGATAATCTCTCGTAGGTATCACCAAATGATCAATATCATGGTCCTGCAACAAAGTCAAAACTCTTTCCTTTAGCATTCAAACTAAAAAGCAAAAAAAAGCATGGATACTAAAAACACAGCGTAGAGAGAGAGCATAGGCAATCTGGGAGCTGAACTTAAACACTTCCTTTTCCATTTATATTCTTGATCATGAGACCTCTTAGTTATCCTCCCCCAAATGTTAACCAACCAATCTTTCTCCCCCTTTGCCTAGTAAGGAACATCATTAAGCAGATAAACTGAAACAATGTGGCAAAGCTAATAACAGTCCAAAAAAGGTTTAACACAAAAATTGCAAGAACCAAGACTTCATCCCATTATATTGGGTCGGCAAAATTATAACACAAGAAATTGCCATAAACAAAATAGACGTTGGATTGGACTTACTTTATACAATGATGTTGGAACCAGCGTCTCGTATGGTTCGTTCAAGGTAACCACCCCACAAACCCCAAGCTCTTTCAAACGCGGAACATCAGCAGGAAAAGGAACAGCTCCTAACAAAACAAACTATTGATGGGAAACTATGAGACCCCGAGTGATGAATATGATGGCACTTTCGTATAAGATCAGTCTTACAGGTAGAATTAAATTTCATGTTGAAGGATTTAATCAATTAGAAACGGGTCTCATAATTAACATTCCGCGAGACTTGAGAGAGTATGTGCAAGTTTCAGTGTAAGACCTTCATATGCTTAGGTGTTTTCAGTGAAGACCCAATACAAGAGGATGAAAAGCTCAGTAATCAGTTGAAATTAAGAAAAAAGGACAAGATCAGAACACCAAATACAATAACATGTCATAAAAATAAGCAAGTCATTTAGAGTTACTAGTTTTCATTCCCTAAAGACTACAACAACTTACAAAAGCGTACAACATCAACTACAAAAAGCGATCCTCGCCGTCTTGGTAGTACTAACACAAATTTATTTCCTTTTTTCTTGTCAGTCTTTGAAAATTTATTAAGTCAACATCCATATCAACATCAGCATAAATGCAGCTAAACAAATTTTCAGACTATACCACAGGCCACAGCAATATGTTATCCCAAATCAATTCCTAAATTTCAAATACATGGGGCCGAAGTAACTTCTAGGAGTTTGGGGGGAAAAAGCAGCAGTAGCGGGAAAAGTTCAAGCTGCTGAATTTGACCAAGTTATAGTACCACCTAGGAATTGCAGCTCATGTGCAAATTACAAGAAAGTCAACCATATCAAGAATCAATAGTACAACATAAAAAAATCTGTACGACAGCAAATGCTAATTAAAAAATTCATGGTGACAATGAACAAGATATCATTCACACCATTATCCAATAGCAACTATACAGCAATGAAAGCAATGAACAAGTACTTCTAGTCTTCTATCCATTAAACAGAAAACACAAGTAGAGATTTAAATGAAATCTACCTCGTCAACTCTATCCCACCAATGAAACTCAGGTTCGATCTTGTTTCTGACAACGTTATACAACAATGTTGGATAAAAAAGAGCACGAGCTCCTGCCCCGACCAAAACCCTTTTTGCATCCCACACGATGATTGTACCTTCAACATCATCACCACAAGCTTGAACCCCCCGTTCCCCTAATTGCTCCTCCTCATTCAGTTCCTCAATATGCATGTTTCCGTATTCAATAGAGACAAGCTTAACACTCTAAACACGCGTATGATTATACAGAAACCAACAAAAAATAGAACATCTATTAACCAATACAAATTCTTTAAGAACCCACTTTTCACGAACAAGAAATTGGCAGGGGTAAAAGAAAATTAACAAAATCCCACCAAGAAAAAAATAAATGAAGACTGACAAGAAACAATCTTTACATTGAATACCACCGATCCACTATCCCAACAACCTTTCAAAAACTACAAATTTACATACCAAACCCGAAGGAATCCTCTAGAAACGCATAACCCCATGACGACACCAGAGGAAAGGGTTGAATTCACAACACTCAAATACACATAAATTCACCTCCAATCAACACTTGATTCTGGAGCACTCAAAATCAAGAAAAACCCACAAAGAAAAAAACACTCGAGGGAAAAAGGAGTTCGAAATGTAAAATTACTAAAGAAGAAAGGCAAAGACTTGAAGAGATGGGCTGGAACGCATTGCCTGCATAGCAAGGAATCTCAACAACGAGAGAAATTGAAAGGATTGAAACTGAAGCTGAAGCTAGTTAATTTTGGGGGTGTAAAGTAATAATTTGTGAATATCAATCAATTATATAAGAGGAGAAGAAAGGAGTAAATAAAACGTTGGTATTTCTTGCGGAGTGTGTGAGTGTGTGAGAGAGAAAGGAGTGGGCAGAGCGTTTTGGTATATGAGACTCTCTCTCTGGACCTTTCCTTTTCTCACAACAAACTTTTAGAAAACGAGAGTAACGTTAGAGTGGTCAAATTGAATAAAGTAATGTTATTAATGGAAAAGATTTCATTTCTCGATTAAATAGTAGTAATAGCATAGTATTAAAATGATTCCATAAATATTCTTTTTTATTTTTTTTGGGTTAATAATAAGTTCCTCTTCTCTATCCCTAAAACTAAGGAACTTGTTCACAAACTTGAGTTATTCTAGAAGAAATTGAATATTTCTAGGGAAATATAATCATTGCCATATTGGAAATGGTGCCCGTTCATCATTTCATGCAATGCACAAATGCAAAAAAGAGAAGAGGAATATCTCTCAAATATTCAATTTCAAGGATATATCTTGGGAATCGCGGATCAAAATATTTGATATAAAATTTATAAGATTTAGACTTCTTTATAAGTTCACCTTCTATTAATCATGAACTTCAATTTCTACACAGTGTTCAACATTACTATTATAGTATAGATTTAAACACTAGCATTGGATTCACATAAAATTTAGGTTCTATTGTTTAAAACACATTTGTCGCTCATTAGTGTGGTGTAGTAGGAAGTGGTGTAAGAAAATTCTTATTCTATCTTTCCACATGCTTTGTGTTTATCCCATAATAGATTCTAGCGGCTAATGTGCCATCATTAATATTGTACTCCTTCTGTTCCACAAAAATAATCCATATTGAGTTTTGAGTTTTGTGCGGTTCTTAGTACAAATTTGAAAAGTCAATGTGGACTATTTTTTTTTTTTTTTAGGGACGGAGGTAAGTAACAAAGATTTTTACTCATTCACAAAAGTGTCATATGTTAGAGTAAATCATTATCTGTTTTTAAGGTTACAAAATCACAAAAACATGAGTTCAAATCTCTGTCAAAGCAACCTGAAAATCGTTACTCAAACTCTTTTATTATGAGTTTAGATGTGCGCAAAAAAAGAAGTTAAATGGAAGGATTGAAACTGATTCTGGGTTTCCGTTTCAATTGTGGCGTAACTAGTGTTTGATTCAATTTGCTATCAAGGAAATGCGTTCCAAACTACAATCCACAACCTTGCCTTCCTTTGCGTCTGGAACTTCGTTTTTTCTTTCTTTCTTACGCACAGAAGTTCCGCTGTTATAAAAAGAAGTTTGCATCAGGAAAAACACAAAATCTCCCAAAACTGAAAATGAAAAATTAGTCTAAAAAGTAGTATTATATTTTGAATGTTGTACGACACTCCAAACCGTCCATGTCTTCTAAACGGATAAAAGCTAAAATGGCGATACGCAAACAACAGTTTATAGTTATAAGATAGCTACACAAATGATGCAAAGAAAAAGGTCGACATGCATTCACATTCCAATTAAGGCGAAAACAAGGGGGCATAGTAATAATGCATCTTACTCTCTACAAGCACATTATCAACGTTCGCCAAAAAGCTACGTAAACACAAGTTTGGGATGGCAAAATCAAAGGAGCCAAGGCATTCTGTCGATGATCGATGTTGCTGACTCTACATTCTTTTTTCGGTTTTCAAGGTATATATCCCTCCAATCAATAGCAGCCGACTAATTTCTCATCCCTACGGTCAGCGCACTAAGCACAGTGACGGAACCCAATAAATTAATATAAGGGTGTGTAAATAAAACTACTAATAAACTAGGAAATGGGTGCAAAAAATTACATAATTTTGGTATTAAAAGTTGAGCTTGCCTCTACTATGAAAAATTGAGCAGGTGCGATGAAACCCTTTCGTCTCTCTTAACTCCGCCACTAACTAAACGGTAGGAGACTGACCAAACAGTTTGCTGATTCTACATTCTTCTCGCAGACAATATTTGCTCACTACCACATTTATAGTTTGAAGATTACCAATATCAATAATTTGGTCGTTGACAACAGAAAGCCAATTCAAAGAAGTGTAAGCTTGATAGGATAACAATTAGTCTGACTTGCCATGCAAAACCTCTGTTCCATGACCATTAGTGACAGATAATAATACTTCAAGAACAGCTATATAATTGAAAAAAAAAAAAAAAGGTTTGAACTTGATACACTTTCTTCCTCATGTATATAGGATTTTCAGAGCTTCCATATCAACGTTCGGAGTTTGTCAATCTGTAGAATGGCGACTGAACGGATGAAAAAAAAAAAAAAATTAAAACAAAGGAAATTGGAATTTCTATATATCTATACATTATTACTGACAATAAATAAAAATATAAGGAGCCGGAGGGAAAACAAGCACAACTGATAAAAGATATTACTGTATAAATAATATATAGGCGCGCACAATTTAAAATCCCTTTTCTATTAGGAGATTCAACCCTAATCCCCAATTTCACCTGTACACAATTCCGGTTTTCTTCCTCATGTTTCATTTGAATCCGTCTACTTGGAAGCTTAAGATCGTTCGCAAAGAAAGGTATTTTGAAACTCTCATTCGACCTTTGTTCCGTCTCTAAATTTGAAATTGTTCGAAGAGAACTACTTCTGCACACATGTCTCGTCATTAATTATATTGGAATTTATGAGTATTCAATTCGATCGAAATTTAGGGCTCGACTTTGGGTCTGATTTTTTTTTTTTATAATTTTTTTGCATCTTTTTTCTTATCAGAGTGAATTTGAGAATGATGGAGATATCTGATGAACTCTTTTCCGCCCTCTCTTTTACGAGATTGAACCTGAGGAGTTGTTTGGCGGCCCTTTTGATCCTGATGACCTCTTCGTGTAAAACATGAATATACAATTCATCTTTTTCTTTTTTTTTTCTTCTACTGATTTGGCATCTGAGAGTAGTTTCTTGGGCGAAACATTTAGCGCTGGAGTCTATATCGATTTAATCAATTTCCTCTAATTTTGTTTGATTTTCTCTGGGACTGTCTCCGGTGGACCTTGCACCCCCTTTTGTTTATTTATGAACAACCAAAACTTTTGTCCTTGAATTCTCTTTTATTTCTTTCAGTCAGGGTTTCTTTTGCCTTTTGGTTTCCTCCAGTATATACACATTTTAGCCCATTTCCATGTTATCCCATGGATATGCTTTAGTCTGGTTTATTTTGTATTTAATTTTTTGTTTGTTCCTCTGGCAGTCTGGCTTGAAGGTGGAGCATACTGACTCCCCTGCACCTGAGTCCTCCCATCAAAAGGTAAAATCTCCTTCCCTTTAAATTTTCATCTTTGAATTAGGACTTGTTTTCCTGTTCTGTTTTCTAATTGAATGTCTAACATCTATTTTTAGATAGTTTGATCAATTAAGCTAAGGTGTTATATACATCATTTACGTTAACATTTTCCTTTCTTCTTTTATTATTTGATACGATTCTGTTTTTCTTGCTAGATGGTGTCTAAGCTGTTGGACCGTTGCAACTCTGCCTTGCGAGACATTGAGAATCCTAACCTCCATGACTACCCTAGCCTTTGGGACTATGAGCATCAGGCTGAGCACTTTGGCTTTGACTTTCAAGAAGTTGTTAGTTCCTTTTTCCTTAAAATTAATCTTTGGACTATTTATTTGAAAATGGTTTTCCGCTTTTTATTTTTGGGTTTAATTTGTTTCTTATCATTTATCATTGTTGTGGTGGCTTTTTTAATTTTATGTTGACTTTAAAGCACAGAGCCCTGAATTTGGCTTCTTCAAATTAAGGTTTTTGCTGTTTTGGTTTCCTAGTCACACTGATGTTTACATGTTTACATGATTATTTCATGCAATCTTAGCAGGAACAATTAGGGCAAGAATATAAGTTAGGTAAACTGTCTTTTCCTTCCTAATCTCCTTTTACTGTACTTATGTTGCTTGTTTTTGTTTATCTTGGTTTAGTTCCGTCCGTGGCTCGAGAGTCAGATCTCCGCCTGGCCTGAGGGTGGCATTCCCCAATTTTTCTCCCCTTACATAGAAAGAGGATGGGTTAGTTTTTTCTTTTTCTTCTTCTTTTTTTTTTTTTAAACAAAATATGCTTGGAAACTTAGGTTTGTGGAGTCTCCTATGCTTTTTTCCCCTTTTGGTCTGAGTGTAATTATGATAATCTTTTGTGCCTATTTTAGGAGGATGTATACGGTTAGATAGAAAAGGGACCTTCAGTTCTGGCTTTTATTTGTAGAGAGGGGTTATTGTTGCTGTTGATCATTCAGTTGCTGGTAGAGACCGTATACCACGTGAGTTGTTTACTTTGGTATATGTTTGTCTATTTATATGTGTTCTGTTTTTTTTGTTAAACAAATTCTGGCTCACTGCTTGTTTAGTGTTATCATCGGTGGTCCATGATTTAATTCAATTCAATTCTCGTGTGATTGGCTGTGTCACTGGAGAGGTTGATGACTGTGAAAATTTGCTTAGTGACCTCCCACAGGAGGTAGTTATCACTCTGCTTCTTGTTCTCTTCTATTTAAAAATCCAGGTTGTGGCTTAGTCTTCGATCGATTGAATTTTATCTCTTGAATTTCTGATTATGCATGCATTTTTATTATCAAGGTAAAAAGCGGTACTGCTGCAGATGTTTCAAATTGGCTGGTTAGAACACTTTCTTCTCGCAACGTGAAGGGTTTGTCGGGACTAGTGATTGCAGGGTGGGACAATACGGTAAGTTCACTTGCTATAAAAATTTTCTTCCTTTTTTTTAAATTTTTTTCTGTGAAGAGTTAGTTCTGACATGATCGGTTTATATTATGATTTTTCTTGGGGGGTTTTTAGTAGGGTCCTAGCTTGTACCGCGTGGATGGTGAGGGGAAACTGCACCGGGGAGTATTGTTTGCCGGTGGATCTTGTTCAGAATTTGGTTATGGTGTTGTTGCTTCTTGGTATGACTACTTTTCTTGGTCCTTTTGTTTAGTTTATGATATGATTATATATAGTGGTTCATGTTATGTTGGGTTTTGTGTATAGGAGTTTCCCCTATATGTCAATCCCTGCAGCTGCAAAGCTTGCCAGAGTTGGAATTCCCTAGGCTCTAGCTCAATCCAAATTTTATCATGAAATGGATGGCAGTGGAAGTGATGAAAGCGGTGTGAAAGTGGTAAAATTGGTGGTTCTGTGGAGGGTAAGCTTTTTTCCAGACCCGTTTCTTTTAATTTGTGTTAGATCCTGAGTGATTGTTTCCTTTTTATGATGACCCTTTTAGTTCACTGTGTAGGACCAAAAGGTCGATGACACTGATGAAGAGGTTGCTGATGCTATCAGAGAAGCAAAGGCAGAGCCCAAAAGGCATAATGCTGATACAGTAGCTCTATGAAGACGGCCAGAATTGGAATTCCCTCAGCTCTAGCTTGATCCAAATTTTATAATGAAAGGGATGGCAGTGGAAGTGATGAAAGTGGTGATGAAGCTAGTGAAAGTTGGTAAGTGGTTCTGTCGAGGGTAAGCTTTTCTCTGAACCCGTTTCTTTTAATTCGTGTTAGATTCTGAATGATTCTTTCCTTCTTTTGATGAGTACATCCGATTTAGTTTACCGCTTAAGACCTGCTGGTTACGTTAAGGTCGATGACACTGGTGAAGAGGTTGCTGATGCTCCCGAAGAGCGTAAAGTTGATTCGGTAGCTCCATAAAGATGGGCCTGCAGGATTCTCTCAGTAAATGCAATGACCTTTTATCTTTGAAATGTTGCAGACAAGTCCTTTCAAATGAAGTACGATATTTCAATGTATCATTCTAATGAATTTGTCAATTTTTGAAACGAGATTTGTTAGACTAGGACCACAAGACCCTTCATCAAATCTGGGTGTATATTAGGATCGCCCTGCTGAGAAACTCACAAGTGTATCTTGGCGTGTCTTCACTTTTTGTTGTAGGAAACTAGGAAACCGAAGTTGTTTGTACTTGATGGTGTAAGCCTTCTAAGCCTAGTAAGTTGTTTAATTTTGTTGAGAGAAAACAAACGAAATACCCAACCGTTTATGGTTCTAAGCCAGCTAGCAGTACATCAATAATGCAAAGAATAAAGGTCGGCATTCACATTTTCCAGTTGAGGCGAAAAGATGGGGCATAAGCCGCATAACATAAGAATAACGCACATACTCTCTCTGCAAAGCACATTAACAACGCTTGCGATAAAAATAAATTTAAAAAAAAGTACGGAAAACAAGATTCGGATGGTAATGATCTATTTGGCCGGAAAGCCAATGCTTGTGAGCTTATTAGGATAACAAGTAGTTCATTCAACAATATTATTAGTTACTAGTATTTCAACAATACAGTAAAATATCTCTAATAAAGTAATATGTTAGGATAAATTAAAAATTAGTTAGTAAAATCTATAGAGACATTGTAACTAGTGTCACTAGAACTTTGACTGAGTACGAAAATTATTTTACAGCATCTAATATTTTTTTTTATATATATATTTCACATCATTGATGAGACCTATATTTACATATAAGTTTTCTGAAACCTATATTCTCTTATTATTTTATTCATTGCTTTTAGTTTTTTGTATTAATCTTGACTTGGAACTGGAAAAAATTATTAATTCACATATATTATTAATTTATCGATTATTAATATATAGATGTTCTACTGTACAAATATTGCACTCTGTTCCGTGGCCATTAGTGATTGATAGATACTTCAAGAACATCTATAATTAAAAATTTTTGAACTTGATACACTTTCTTATATCATATGTATATGGATTTTTTTTTTTTGTTGAAATCGTATATGGAATTCAGAGCTTCGGTATTCCCAAGGTTTGAAGTTCGTCAATCTATAAAATGGTGACTGAAATTATATGTTACTTTCCGTTCCAAACTAGTTTTGGTGCAGTAAAATTCAATGTGAATTAATGTTTTTTTATTTTAAACACAGAGTGTAAAAGAAAATGGACGAAGATAAGAAACTGACAATATCATGACCGTAGGATATACTAAGTCGGTGCAATCTGACCAAATAGGGAGGGAAAACTCGCAGAACTAATAATCTTAATAATATAGCCCCTTTTTTTACATTCTCTCAAACCCTAATCCCCAATTTCACTTGCCACCAAATCCTCCAGTATTCTTGCTGCTGCCGGTTTTCATCCTCCTGTTTCAAATCCGGCTACTTGGAAGCTTTAAGATTTTTCGCCAAAAAGGTATAGTTTTTGGGAACCTCCCTTTGACCTTTGTTCCATCTCCAAAGATGAAATTGGTCCAACAAAACTTCTCTACACATACGTCTCGTCGTCTTGGAATTTATGAGTATTCTATCAACAATTCTCGTCGATTATCTTGGAATTTATGAGTATTCAATTCGATCGAACAATTAGGGCTCGAATTTGGTTCTGATTTTTTTTTTTTTCTTTCTTATCAGAGTGAATTTTGAGAAGGATGGAGATATCTGATGAAGTCTTTTCCGAGCCTGAGCCTAAGCAACTGTTTGATGGCCCTCTCATTTCCTATGTTGAACCTGAGGATCTGTTTGGTCCCCCTTTTGATCCTGAAGACCTCTTCGTTTACGTTCCTCCGGACCAAATGGTAAATCATGATTATATAATTCATTCTGTTTACTGGTGAAATTAACATTTAGTGCTGGAGTCTATATCAATTTAATCTATTTCCTCTGACTTTGATTGAGATTTTCTGTGGGACTCTCCCCCTTGGACCTTGCACTCTTTCTTTATTTTCCCACAACCAATATTTTAACTTTGTACATGAATTCTCTTTTAATTTTTTCCTTTTGCCTTTCGGATTTCTCCTTATATATATTCTCTTAGCTTTTCCATGTGATCTGTTTGATACACTTTAGTTGATTATTTTCTTATTTACTTTTTCTTTGTTCCTCTGGCATGAAGGTAAAATCTGGCTCCTTTGAATCTAGATCCTCCGACACGGTAAAACCGGTACGGCCCTCAATTTTCATCTTTGAATTAGGACTTGTTTTCTGTTCTCTTTTACAATTTCCAATTGCGTATCTGGCATATGCTTTTAGATAGTTGGATCAATTAAGCCAAGGTTTCATCCTTTACATTAATCTTTTCCTTTCTTCTTTTATTATCCGGTCTGATTCTGTTTTTCTTGCTAGAATTCTAAGCTGTTGGACAGTTGCTACTCTGCTTTGCGATGCATGGAGAACCCTAAATCTCGAGACTACGCTGACCCTTGGGATGAGGATCAGGCTAAGCATTTTGGCTTTGACTTTCAAGAAGCTGTTAGTTCCTCTTTCCTTCAAATTTATCTTTGAACTATATGTTTGAACATTGTTCTCCGCTTTTTACTTTTTAGTTTAATTTGTTTCATATCATTATCATTGTTGTTGTGGCTTTTTTAATTTTATGTTGACTTGGAAGCACAGAGCCCTGATTTTGGCTTCTTCAAATTAATTTTTTTGCTGTTTTGGTTTCCTAGTCACACTGATTTTATATGCTTACATCAGTAGTTCATTGAATATTAGCAGGGACAATTAGGGCAAGAATATAAGTTAGTTCAACTGACTTTTTCCTTCATAAACTCCTTTTCCGTTACTTATTATTGCTTGTCTTTGTTTATCTTGCCTTAGTTCCGTCCGTGGCTCGAGTATCAGATCCCTGCATGGCGCGAGGGTAGCATTCCCCAATTTTGCTCCCCTTACGTGGAAGGATGGGTTAGTTGCTGGCGGACACCGCAGACCATGTGAGTTGTTTTATTTTGGAATATGTTAGTCTATTTAATATGTTTTGTGTTGCTTTGTTAAATAAACAAATTCTGACTCGGTGCTTATATAGTGTCGTCGTCAGCTGTCCACAAGTTCATTCAATTCAATGCTCACTTGATTGGCTGTGTCACTGGAGAGGGTGATGACTGTGCAAAGTTGCCCATGGATTCCCCCCAGGAGGTAGTGAACATTCTGCTTGTTCTCTTCTCTTTGAAAATCAATGTTGTGGCTTAGTCTTCAGTCGATTGATTTTTTTTTTTCCTTGAGTTTCTAAATTTGTGTACGTTTTTATTCTTCAGGTAAAAAGTGGTACTGCTGCAGATGTGGTTAGAATACTGTCTTCTTGTAATGTGAAGGATTTGTTGATTGCAGGGTGGGATGATACGGTAATTTTAATGCTTAATTATATTATTTTTTCCGTTTCTATTTTTTCTTTTGGCTGTAAAGAGTTAGTTCTGACCTGCTCGATTTATTTGATGAGTATTTTTTGGGCGTTTTTTGTAGGGTCCAAGCTTGTACCGCTTAGATGGTGAGGGGAAACTGATTTGGGGAGTAATTCTTGCCTGTGGATCTTGTTCAGAATTTGGTTATGGTGTTGTCGGTGCTTGGTATGACTACTTTTCTTGGTCCTCTTGTTTAGTTTATTATATGATTATTACATATAGTGTGGTTCATGTTATGTTTCGTTTTGTGTATAGGAGTTTCCCCTACATGTCAATCCCTGCAGCTGCACAGCTTGCCAGAGTCGGAATTGCCACGGCTCTAGCTAAATCTAAATTTTATCATGAAGGGAATGGCAGTGGAAGTGATGAAAGTGGTGATGAAGCCAATGAAAGTGGTAAAGTTGGTGTTTATGTGGAGGTTCACTGCATAGGACCTGATGGTTACCAAAAGGTCGATGATACTGATGAAGAGGTTGCTGATGGTAGCAGAGAAGCAGAGACAAGAGCCCAAAAGGCGTAACGCTGATGAGTAGCTCAATGAAGACTGCCTGCAGGATTCTGTTAATGCAATGACCTTCGATCTTTTGAAATGTTGCAGACAAGGCCTGATTATTAGACAGTGTGAATGGCGCTTAAATTTTATGCTTAAGACCATTGGAAGAATTTGTAATCAGCAATGTGTACTTTATTTGTGATAGTTTTCTGTCTAAAAAGGAAAACCATGCTTGAAACTATGCTTAAAGAAAAGGAAACTGGACGAAGACAAGAAAGAACTGCTCTTTCCAGTAAACATCTATATTACTGACTAAATCATGACTGTAGCCTGTAGGATTACTAGGTCAGTGCAATCTGACCATCTTAATAGTATAATAACAGGAGTTAAAGGTAACCTGACTAGCTTCAAACTACAATTAATTAACAGCAGCTTTATACCTGTCAATGATGCATCAACTTTGAGAAGCTAAACACAAAGATAACCAGAACTGGATACCAAAACATCTGCCAAGGATCCAAAGAGCCAACTTTGTTGATACTTCAGTCTCCAAATCATTGGTACTAGGTTTGAGAGCTACGCCTTCTCACTGATGCAATCTTCTGAAGCCTCATTTGCTCTCTAAACTTTGCTATAAACTCATCAGCTTTCCTGTCAACCTCACTTCCTTCAAGCTCTGCATGCTCGACATGGTTAGGTGCAATTTCCTTTTCAGCTGGAGTCACCTGAAGATCTTCAGGTTCACTTTCAGACTCCGAATCCTTCTCAGACAACAAAGTACTGTCAGCTATGTTTTGACTTTCATAGTTCTGAGATGCAGAAAAGGTGGAATTCTGCACCGGAGGTGCCTTCTCGGAGTATGGCCTTTGCACACGAACTGGTTGGTCCTTACAGTCTCCTTCCTTTGCATTCTTCATCAATAAGGGTGCTTCAAATTCATGGTGCTTTTCTTCAACCTTTTCATTGATTTTATCAGAACAAACCTCTTCCCTTTTCATGTTGTCAGCAGCAAACACACGAGAACGCAATGTTCTTACAGATATTCCTTTTCCTAGAACCCTAGACAGTTTTGATGGTTTGGAACCTGAGATCATGGAGTCACTCTTCTGTTTTCCCCTGTCCAACACATCCTGCATTGCACTTAAGCTTGAATTGTTGAAGAAGTCTTTCGAAGTCCTCTGCATATCTAACTCGCTTGAAGAACCAATGCTAACTCCCCGCGCCTTAGGAGCAAATGATTCTACAACAGTCTCAGATGCTACATTAGGCGGTGGAACTGTATCTGAAAAACCATTGAGACCCTTCTTCAACTGGCTATCCTCTTTTGGCAAATTTGACAGTTCTGGCAGAAGAGAACTAGTTCCAAAAGACTTGGGATGACGGGATGACTTTGATCTAAATTGCTTCATCTCAAAATTTCCACCATAGTGAGGCCTGGAATCAAAAGACTGACCAAAACTACTAACTTCTTCTCCAAATTCCTTTCTTTCAGATTTTGGCTGCAAGGAACTCTTAGGAGGTCCAGCAACTTCCTGAAACTTTTTCTCCAAACAAAGAGGCATCGGACGTCTAATTTTCTCAAGCTTACCACTCGCAATACTGCTCATAGAAGAACCCTTTGAAGGGTTCTCAGCCCCATTGCTATTAATGAACTCACGGTTATCAGAATCAGCAATTCTTGATCTTAAGCTCCTAATTGGCAAACCCAAAGGCTTATGTTTGTCAACAGCACAACTGCCATTAGCCACAACAACCAAGCTTTCACCTTGCAGAAACTGAGAATTCCAAACTTGGCTAACATTTTCTTTGTAAGCTTCATAAGCAACAACATCATTTTCACCATCATTCCCATTCCCAGTGGCTAAAGATAGAAACTTTTTCCCACCACCAATTAAAGGACTCCCTTTACTAGATGACTTCCTCCCACTGCTAAAAAAATCCCAATTCTTCACACTCAACTTCTCATCAGAAACACACAATTTCTCAAACCCATCCTCAAAGATTGAAGGTACATCAAAAACCCCAGATAAACAAGCATGAGAAGAAGCAGCATCAACTGAACCTCTAGATTGAATTTCAACTTCAGCTACAACACTTTTTCTACAGAACAAGCCATAAGACACAGCAACCCCAATAACAAGAAGGTAAAACAGTTCCCAGAACTCTCTTAATATGCTCTGAGTGATAAAGTCAGGAGCTTGGGAAGGGAAAGAGGGAACAAGAACAAGGACAACAATGATAATCAGGGATTTACACAAGAAGCTAGAACAAGATGACTTACTACTCTGTTGCTGGTTTAATCTGGAGTTTGGCCCAAAATTTTGGAGATGGGAATCCGAGGAAGCTGCTGCCATTGTTGAAGAAGAAAAGAAGAGTGAGATTTAGGAGGGTTATTAAGGTGAAGTATACAAGAAAGGAACATTTGGGAAACAAAAGGGGCAAAAGGTCTTAAGGGTTTGTGTCAGTCACATTGCCATTTGTATGAAGGGGAAAAAGGAAGAAATGTGTGTGTGTGTGTGTGTGTGTGTGTTTTCGCAGGAGAGAGATAAACGGAAAAGGGGTCATGAATATAATGGGAGCAGAATTCAAAAAGTGCCATTATTTGACCGTTTGGTTTCTTCGCCGAATGAAATTTCTGTCCCCCTCCCCACAATAATAAATACTACTACATTTTTTGATGTGTCTTACTCCCTCCATTCTAAAATAAGTGTCGTTTTAGTAAAATAGAAAAATTTTAAAATAAGTATCGTTCTTACATTTTAATGCACTTTTTGTCAAAAGTTTCCAAAATTACTCTCAAAAGAGTTGATGCTATTGGTGGACAATTTTATAATGGGGTTGGTTGAGGATATTCAAGTAATTTTATTATCCTATTTAAGAGTTTCTTAAACTATGTGCAAAGTGTAGGACGATACTTATTTTAGAGTGGAAAGAGTACTTTATTTATTGGATCAATACTATAGAGGTAAAAAAGATAAATCCATTTTAATTTTTTTTTTACCCACATTATAATTCAACACAAAAGAATTATATGAGTGACATTTGATGTAAAAATTCGTGAAATGACGCTAACAGTCAAATATTGTTTAGTTAAAGGTCATGTTCAGGTCGTCATTCTCAGAGAAGTACTCATCAGAGGATTTGAACAACTTTATGAGAGCTTTTATTACTAATAATTAGTTCAGTGGTTCAATGGCAAATCGGCATCGAAATTTTTTTGTCAGTTTTCCATATGGAAAAAAGTAAATGCGAATTGCTGTTACTTGTTTTTAAGACGTCTGATGGATGGTCTTAATTCAATTTCAATTTATAGTTTTACTGGAATTCAATAAGACGAACATTTTTTTAATAACGGATTGAGTAGTAGTTAACAGTTAACTAGTTACATTAAGATTATAAATAAAAATGTCATGTAACTCATGCTATCACCATTATGGCAAAACTTTAGGACCTTCAGTTCTTAACAAGATCATATAATGGACAATATAAATCACTTTAGTACATTGATAGTAAATATTGAAAACGTTTTCAATCAATTATTACTTCCCCTGTCTCAAAATTATTGTCCAGTTTGAGATTTCATTTTAGTACAATTTCAACTAGAAATGAAAACTCAAACTGGACAATAAATATGGGACGGAGTTCCAAAATATATGTCGTTGGAAGAAAACTAATTTTTTTCAAAATAGATGTCGTTTTAGCAAATCTAGGCATATTTAGTTAACTTCTTCCAATATTACCCCTACATGGGAAATTGTAATCCCTTTTACCCTATTAAAGCAGAAAACAGGATGCTGTGGCATTTTCTTATTAAAATGTTTTGGCTCCAAATGCACCATATTGCATTAATCATTCTGCCACGTGTCACCTCCTTTTAAAAATAAAAAATATATTTACAATATTAACGAAGAGATCAGATGGTCACGTTCATTCAAATTTTGAATTTGACAGTGTATGAAATTTTCTTTCTCCATTTATTTAGGACTTCCGAAAAAATTAATTTCTGGTCAATCAATTATCTTCATAAAAAACTAAATTCATTCCTAATCAGTTTTGATTATTTACATATCGACTTATTAGGTGGGACGCCCCCGGGCATTTGCCCAGGACAAGCATCTAGTTGTACTTAAAGTAAAAGTGTATTAAAACTAAATGATATATGGGATAAAATTGTATTGAGAATAAATAAGGATAATTTAGTATTTTAACTTAATATTTATTGTTTCCTTAAATTTTGTGAAACTCTTCCAAGGATGAATATTTTGGAATGGAGGGAGTATGTATGAAAAATGTCACACAACTGACAAATGTTTATTATTATTATTATTATTATTATTATTATTATTTAAGAAGAAGAAGACAACTGACAAATGTGAAATATCCCATCCAGTGCCAATAGGATAATTATTAATTAGTACTCGCAAATCCCAACTACTACTTTACTGTCCACAGCGTAAAAGTTTATTCTTGCTTTACTTCTTGAGTTACTGAAACTTACTTTAGAACATTTCACTTTTGATTAAAGTTTCAGAGAGAAGCAATGCCAAAGTCACATGACTTCCCCATTGTTGAGCAAGCTAAGTTATTATCATCCACATTCATTATTTAATCTTTCAAGGTTACCAGTAAATCAATACTTTCAATGTATTTTCTAAATATAATACTTGTATTGTCTATAAGGAAGTATAAAAAATGCTCTGCCAGTAAAATATATAATCATCTCCAAGGAACCCCTTTAGTTATAAAGGGACTTGGTGGAGAGGAAACTCACAACACTTTTTAGCAAATGCCATCATTCTTAATGTCCAACTAAATTAAAGTTTTAGGCCATCTGAACTTGAAGCACAGAACAGACAGTCTGCACTATGGTGAGCACAAGTAACAAAATAGCAGCAGATACAGAGATGATTGACCATGGACTGCCAAAATACTCATTTCTCAACATTGCGGAAAAAAAAAAAAAAAAAAAAAAAAACTACGCTGCTTACGGATGTACTCAAGACAAGTGTTAAGTATAATTCGACTGCGGCTTCTACAGAACAGGTGCTTTATAGCTTGGTTAGCAATACAAAAATAGATTGTTGACGATTAAAAGATTAGAAAGGATGAATATCTGGATTGAACAAAAGGCATGTGTCTTATGTGAAACTGGAAAGGAAGAAGATGATAAGCACCTGATTTTTGAATGCCCTTATGCTGAACAGATGTTGAAGAATATAATGGACTGGCTGGGAATAAAAATGAGATGTAAACAGATATTGCAGGTGTACAGAAAACTGAGGAATGGTTTTAAACGACATAAGGTGAAAAGAAGTCTGGGCAGTGGGGCTGTGGCAACATGCATTCACCACATCTGGAATGAGCGGAATAGCAGAAGGTTTTCTCAGGAAGCTAGAACTGTGGAAGATCGGCTGCAGAGTATATAAGCAGGAGGTCACTTGGCGATCCCAACTTTTGAGCAGCAAAATCAGATCAGTAGACAGGAGATACTTAGGTTCTCTTGGAATCAGTTTTGTATAGTTGAACCGAATGGGGAGGAAAGTTTTGTAGTAAGTTTAGGCACATGTACCTGTATATATGTTCAAGTTTTAATATAGTTTTACCATTTACCAAGAAAAAGATGTACTCAAGAAAAGTGTTTAGTTTGACTGCGGTTTCTCCAGAAAAAATAAATTGTACGTACGCACCATGTCCACCCCCCCCCCCCCCCCAAAAAAAAAGAGAGCTGATAAATTGAGATTAATTTTGTTAGAATAAGAGCAAAATTTATCAATTACCTAAATAATCCTTAGAATTATAAGAGCCTCATCCAGTCTATTTTCTTTGTATTCTCTCTTTTCTTTCTTTGATCTGGCCATTATTTGCAGCAAAGTTGATTCTTATTTGGCTAATATACTTTCACAACCAAATCAGAAAATCCGACGCATCTCCAACACCACGCGTTGAACTAAAAGATAAAAATTGAATTCGATGAAAGATATAGATTTAAAGGAGTAAACCTATTTGGTTTTAGACCAAACAATAAATTGCAAGAAGCGGAAGAACCGCGCCCCTGTTCTTGTTGGTGAAGAAGAACAACCGAGAATGAAACGAGAAAATTACAGGAATGAATTGATAATTTCCTTAAAATTCTATGCGTGGGTAATATACAAAATTAATAAAATTTTGCTATCAGTGACTCCGTCTAACAAAACTGCTCTCAATTAATAAATTCCGAAAAAAAAGATAATTTACTCTAAAGTTTTTTTAAGAAAGAACTCAAATTTTAATTTTTATCAAGAATCGTTTAAGAATCAACCTCTGAAATTCAAAAAGTTTTCGACATTTTCTGATAATGATTTAGAGCGTCTCCATTGATAGTTAAAATAGAGTTGAATGCTAGTGCTAGGGGTGTGCACGGTTGGTTCAAACCGTTCAAATCGGTTAATCCCGACCGCAGTTTGGTTTTTGGATCAGTTCCAAAGCTTTATTTTGAAACCGGCGGTTTCAAAATTTTAAAAGTCGAAAAAAACGATCTGGTTCACGATTTCATGTTCAAAATCCGTTTGTTAAACCGGACCGGACCGTTTTGTACTTATTATATATTATAGAATTCCTATATATGTAGAAATGTGTAATATTAGTTACAAGTTGTGACATAGCAGACTTGGTTAACTCAATATTATGTTTAATCATAGCTTTTAGTTTTGATTCCCTTAAATCTTTCTTCTTGGGTTGTTTTTCTATTATTTTTTTAATATATATATTTTGAAATTCCCGTTTCTTAAAATATAAAACCAAAATCTACCTAAACTAAGTAAGAACCCTAAGAGATTCAAAGTTATCAACTGTTAGTTTTTTGCATGTATTAAATTGAAATTAATAAAAAAAATTCTATGTTTTGGTCCAAGTTTGGCCTAAAAACATAAAGTGAGAGCAAAACCGTGAAAACGTAAAAACCAAACTGTTGATTACGGATTGATTTGGTCCGGTTTCTTGATGCGGAATGGCTTGGTTTTGGATTCAAAAATCTCCAAACCGTTCTAATGGTTTGGCTTACGATTTAGATTAAAAACCGGACCACCCGGACCGTACACACCCCTAGTTAGAGCAATTGAACGGATGAGTTGTTGGAGCGAGTGTAGACAATGCCAAAGTAGAAGCAGTATTGTATGGTGTAATGGCTTCCCTTTTCCACAAAAATAGGACCCCACATCATGGACATTAGTTTTCTTTCTCTCATTTTCTGTTTTTGCTCAACGTTCGATTCTTTTTCCTCTTCTTTTCTATAGCATAAAGATAAAAGTTTGGGTGAACTAAATAAATCCTAAAATATGATTAGCTAGGCTATTTAATTCCTCAAATCTGATTCGCTGGATGGTATTTTTTTTAATAGGGATATTTCTGTAATTACGAATAGTTTATATAAGGCTTACATCACTTTTTTTAATTAGGGGTACAACAGTAATTTTACAAATAGGCATTTTATTTTTTTAAGCTGCTGAACGCCCGCGCGTGGCGCGGTTATGCCCGGTCTTTTGTGACATTAGCCTTACATTACCTTGTCTATTTAAGGGTAATACAGTAATTTTAATTAAAATTACATCCATACATGTGCGGAATGGTTTGGCAAATACCCAAATAGGCCGTCACTTTGTTTTTGATGGAATCTTTGTCTTAAGATTATGGCTCTTTGTCTGATTACATTTTTGTTTTATGTTGCTTTTCTACATCAGTTTAGTTCTAGATGTTCGACTATTTCAGGCAAACTTCTTGGCCTATTCGTTCCTCCATTGATTTACTGAGTTTGTTTCAATTTGTTTTATTCGTTTCTTTTAATGAGACTGATTCTCAAACATAGCAGGGGCCTAATAATAATGTTTCTGTTTGTTAGTTCCAGGTATTTAGAAATTCAAAAATATGGCTGAGCCTGACATTAGTTTTAGGATTTCTAATTTTACATTTAACCTTGCATTGTTCGGTAAATTGAGATTTGAGCAGATCACTGGTGTTCTCTTCTATTGAAGTATGAGCAGACCATTGATGTTCTCTTCTATTCGACTCCAGGAAAGGTTTGCAGATGCGGAACCATTATTCAAATGTACAGTTCATTTCAACTTCAAGAAAGGTATGCAGTATGCACAACCATTATTCAATTTCAGCTATATTTTTCTTTTCGTGTTCTAATATTTGTCCAAGCAAACTCAAATTTTAATCGGCATATTCACAAATTTATACTTGCGAGTTTGATAGGTTAATTTTATGCCAAAAGGACCAAAAACTCAGAAGAAACCCCTTTTGGCTCCTCGATTCTCTTCATCTGTTTTATCCCCTATGATGTATCAGTTGTATATTTGTACTAAGAATACACGGTACTTATATAAGAATTAGTCGTGTTCTCCAGAGGGCATGTAATAATTTGTTGTTTCATTTGACTTTTGAGCAGGCACTTTTGCAGAGGCAAATGCTGAAAACTATGATGTCGGGTCAAAGGGCACATCTACGTCCAACAATGAAATGATAGGGAAAACAATTCAGCTAAAATAACATTCTTCAGGACCTCAAGAAAGACTTTTTCTGCAATGGTACTGTCGTGCAAAATCCGAAGCTAGGTCAGTTCTGCATTTAGATTACACAATGCTATTGTTCTATAGTTCTATTGCTAGAGTTTAGTGTTATTTGTTTTTTTTACATAGTTTTGATTATTGTCTTTTAAAGATAATTCAACTCCAAGGAAATCATCCAAAGAATGTTCTTTTCTTGTGATTTTGAATAAAATATTGAAAACCTTTTCTTGAGCTGATACCAAGTTTTTAATGAGCTTTATAGCTCTCAGATTCATCATAGTTTTTGCTGATAGAAAATCAAATAACTTTATGGATAGATGTACGTATCCTGGACTACACCTTTACTCTCTTTCATTTTGTCCCTTTGGCTAAAGCTGTTTGATGAATATGCTGGCATCAAATCTCTATGCTAGATGTATAATTGATGGAAGTTATCAGAAAGCTGTTGTTATGACCAGTGAAAGTCAAAGATTGGATAAACTTAAGCAAGCATATCTTAAGAGTGATAACAAACTAGCAACCCACTCATACTGCAATGATGTTTTATATAATTTTGTTAATTCTCAAGAATAATGGCGGGAGGTGAAGTTCTTGACATGTAAAATTATTATTTTTAGCTTGTGTATCCTCCCTTTTGTTTGAGCATCTATTGATGCTACGATTCTTATTGTTTAAGTTATGCAGTAGAATTTAAAGTTGAATCGGAATATAAAGTTCATTCTTGTTATTAAGCATCTATCAGAATTTAAAGTTGCATTAGAATTTAGTAGGCGATTTGGGTTAGTTGATTTAGTTGATGGATGATCAAGTCTCCATGTTGTTTGGCTGAAAGATCAATGGATGCTGGATGCTGTCTGTCTAGAGGAATATTTCTTTTCTGCTTTGCAAATCTTGTAAATATGGCGTTTTAAGTTGAATTTCAGACTACAAGTTCAACATTTTTTATATGAATTTTTTATTTTTTTCTTCAATTGTTTGCGTTATCTATTTTCAAATAGAGAGACCTTGAAAATTCTTGACATCTTTCTGGAATTGTTTCATGCAGATTCTAGCTGAGAGAGTATTTTGGTTCAACTATAAGCTTAATTATAGTTAATGAACATGGGAAGAGACTACTTGCTGGTAAAGCAAGAATGATTGATTTTCTACATGGATTAGGATAGAGTATGAACCTTACTGTTTTGGAGTTTTGTACTTTCTTAATGCAGTTTAGTTCTTTTTTCTTTTTTCTTTTGGGTATTAGGACATTTCTTGCTCCATGAATTTCCATCAACTCAAAAGTATTTATTTATGTTTACTTATATTATTGCAGGATATCTTATTAGTCTTTGAAGTCGACTCCTTCCCTTTCTCTAGGAAGATCGAATATGTATTCTTCATTAGCTGCATCAAAGGTTGCTAGCTGCTGTGATTTATGTTGGTGAAGAGATTTTCACCATGGTGCTTCCACCAAGAATATGACCTATGGTTTTTGTATTTAGTGGCTCCGGAAATGGTATGTTCCTGCCCATTGAGCAAAATAACAACTAGCAGAAAACTATTTTCAGTTCTATTTTCTGTCATGTTTATTGTATGCTACGATTGTGCACTGATTTCACTTTAACATTTCAATAACTTTGTGGTATCAATACCATGTTTATTCGGCCAAGGGCTTAGAAATGGCATTAATTTCCGAAATCATTAAGGAAAATATATCATTTGCTTGATCTGGTGGTGTTTGATTTTTGAACATGTATTCCAACAACAAAAACAACAATCCAATATATTGCCAAACTCAATTGGAGTTTGGGAGTCAAGATGTACGCAGCTTTATCCTTGTATGTCAATACAAAGAGGCTGTTTAAGTAGTACGATCTAAAATGCATTGGTGCATTGATGTATTGATTTCCGGAAACTTTACCAAATAAGAAGTGTCGAAATTTTGATTAGCCATTTTGATCTAATCCTATTAGCACAAAGCTGAAAGAATTGTTACTAATGACTCTTCCTATTAGCCATTTTGAACATCTTTCCCCTTTTCACTTTTTTGGTTTTGGCCAAATAAGATAGTACAGTTGTCAATTTCCCGATTGCTTACTTTGATTCCTAAAGAGCAGAAATAGTCATCCTGTTCCTGGGATTATCTGCATTAAGAACGTCCTCATATTGGCAGGCACCAGATTATGAACTACATTCCACAAATGTTGCAATAACAAGAAGAGGAAGACAGATGTAGGTTTGAGCTGAGATGTTTGGGTAGCGTACTACAAGGCTCAAATCTGCCTAGAATAAGCTTAAGGGAGCAGGTTCTTTCTTACTCCTTGGATTTTCTTTTTTTTAATGCCATTTTTTCCCTTGTGGGTACCAGCCCATCCTTGAAGTTGTTTGGAAATACATAAAGGCCTAGAAGCTAGGCAAACACACTATCAAAATAGATATCGCATTCGGTCCACGCACAAGAAAGATTGCATTCTTGCCCAGAATACCGCTCATCTCCGAAAACATAGGAATAAAAAAATATCACGTTCAAAAGGATCCAATTTCCTGTGAAACTCTATTTTGCAATAACAATCAACAAGTCACAGGCTTAGACACTGGAGCATGTTAGGTTTTACTTATGTGAGTCAATCTTCTCTTACGGTCAGTTATATGTTGCTCTCTCTCGTGCCAAAATGTCCAGATTCCAAAAAGTTTTTCTAATGCCGCCGACATTAGAAGATATTTTCGAGGGTGCCAAAACTCGAAATGTGGTGTTTGAAGAAATATTCCAACTCGCAACAACTTTTTATGGATGAAAAAAAAATTGATACATTTCATTTAGTACATAGTTATAATTGCTACAGTTTACTGCTGTGAATCCAAACTGAGTAATTTACTAATTCTTCTTACAACAACAAAATCAAATAGCAAACAAAACTTTTTCAAAATCTAAAATAAAGACAAAGAACTTATTTATAGAATCCGTCGCACAGCACTAGTTTTTTTTTAATAGTTTTTGAGTTGTTTTTATTTATATTCTAAACAAATCTTGAAAAATGAAATCATCTTATCTAAAATCATCTCATATGAGTTGTTTTTTTAATAGTTTTTTGAGTTGTTTTTATTAATATTTTTATTATTCTTTACTTGTGTTTTTTTCATACTTTTTTCTAAATGCTAAAAAAATTATATATTTGGCATAAATATATTTAAATATAATAATTTTGGATAAATTATGTAGTAATAATGGAATATTAGTGGTGTAGTTGTGAGTCCAAAATTATATAGGTGGTAGGTGTAATATTGTTGAAGTAGAAAATTAAAAGAAGAAAGAAGAAAAAAGTTAGTAGAATACTGATAAGTTAGTGGAATGCCGATGTGTCAGTGTAGTTGAGTGTAATGTTCAGATGCTCTTACAAAGATTTAACTCACACCTTTAATATTACAACATTAAGTTGCTCATAACTTTCCAGATACAATCATGATCAAAGGATTCACCGCAAAATCAAATATATTCATCTCCAAATGATCTCTAACTTCAAAAAGAACAGAACCGGACTGAGTACACAGCTGGCAATTCACAGCACTAATATCCAAATGCCATCATTCTTTTGCATATTGTGTACAATGTCAAACTAACTTAGGCCATCTTAACTTGAAGCACTGAACAGACAGTCTGCACTATAGTAAGGACAAGTAACACAATAGCAGCAGAAACAGAGATGATTGACCATGGAGTGCCGAAATAATCATTCCTCAACATTGCGAACCACTTGGAACGTTTTGCTTCCCAATTATGCAGCCAGTCTCGGCTATAAGCATTCAGCTCGCGACATTGATCAAGATAAAGAAATTCCCTTGGATCATTCAAGATCTCTTTGTGAAGATTGTTAAACAGTTGTGCAACGTCATCACTGCTACCAAGATCATTTTTTAGGATTTTATGTTCGACGAGAACATCGACATCTTTGGGAGTGTCTATCAGGTTGTCCATTAGGATAACATAGCTTGTTATATCCTTGGAATGATATCCAGACTGTTCAAAGGCTAGTAGGTTTCGGAGAAAGGTTTCAGCAGAATCATTTACAGTCACTTGTGGAATCACCAGTATTCCTGTCTCTTGGATAAAAGCAACATTCAAGAAACGGTCTCCCTTTTGAGGTTTGAACTTGACTCCTGCTGCTTTGAGCTCGGTTACTGTTGGACATCTGGCATGATCTAGTTGCTTTCCAACTAGTTTTCTATACTTCAAAATGTTATCTTTTTCTTGTGTGTGTAGAATGTATAAGAACTCAACCAAATGCTTTGCATAGAAAAAATTATCTCTAAGAAAAAGCTCTCCACTACCACACACATTCTTGAAGTACTTCTGTACTAGTTGATTGAAAGAGGGAGGATTCACAGCATTATTATCTAGGTATTTTTTCACATTGCTGGAAACAAAAGTGTTGAACAATGCAGTTAGGAACCTCAAAGGGAGTTGATTTTCAACAAGGAGCAAGTCATGTAAAATGTCACTTGCCACCAAAGGGTTATCAAATATTATATCCCTGTCCTCTCTCATTATAGGGAAATGGTTTTTCAAGAAAAGCTCAACAACAAAAATACCATCCAACAAAATAACCTCATATGGTTTTTTCGATCCTTTAGAATGATTACTAATGTGGATATCCTCATAACAGTCACAGACAAGTTTCTCTTGAGTTTGAACAAATTTAGCCAATTCTTGCAAGGAAACCCGAAAAGTATGTATGAAATGGTGAAGATATTTTAATTTGTATTCCTCCATACCTTGAAGTTGACTTTGTCCATGATGAATAAAGCCTATTGAAACCAATCGGGGCGTATAAGCTTCTTGATTCTGGTTACGATATTTTTCAGGTACTCTGTAAATACAAAGGGTGCCATAATTGGGACTACCGCGAGAAAGCATTAATAACTCTCTCGCGATTGATGGTGCTAAGCCTTCATCATCCTGAGCAATATTTGTGTCCCTTTGTGGTTCTACTTGTGCCGGAGGCGGAATAAGATCGCCAGCATTAATAGCATTAGCAGCATTTAAGTTGTCCTGATCCATTCCTGGATATGTAACCGAATTGTCAATCGTGGGAACAGTTGAGTTCAACAAATCAGCATCCAACGAATGTAAAGAAGTTATATAAAGATTATAACTTGTAATTACTATGTTGTAATCTTTAAATAACTTCTTTAGAATGACTTAATACTAGGTAGGGCTGTCTAAAATGTTGAAAAGAAAGAAAAGAGTACCTTAATCCTTTGGGTGGGTCGAGTTAAAACCAGATTGATTATGATCCTCAAGGTTGGACCAGATTTTTCATTAGAACAATCCTTCAGGAACATGACAACCACAACAAGGAACAAGTCAACCACTCTTTCAAGCCTTCAAGGGACATGTTAACGACTGAATACATTGAATTCAGAATTCATAGTTGGCAACAAGGAATTTTTCTTCATCAGACATGGCATTAAGAAAGGGTATCAACGTGGGATATTAAAGTTGACAATAGTTGCAGTCTAGTTCTTCTAATTCTTTATCTGATCATCATTTGCTAGACGTCCAACCTTGAACTTGAAGACAGTCAAGTGGGAATAAAATACAGATTGACTCATGAATAAACAACTCATGAAACACGAGAGGGATTTTTACATGATCAACAAATAAAAACTGTGGTAATTAACAAAATGTAGAACAGACTTTCCAGCTGGAAATTTTTCTCTGATTTTCAACTGAATTGGTTTTTTGAAATCAAGAACTATCGTCAGTCTTTCTAAAGAGAAAAAAACAGATTTTTATCAATTAAAAGTTGTGTAGCTTGCTAGCTTCCGCTGTAGAGTCCCCCATTATATTGTGGAAAAACTTCCAATTCGCATAACCAATCCACAAAAGATAATGGCTCAAGTGGTCATCCCCATACCAAGAAACCAATGGTGGGACGATGATCTTTTTGGGATCAACGACCAAGTGGAGACCATATTTTCAAATTTGGAAATCCTTGAAAATCGGATGGATGAAGCAGAGAGGAGAAGCTTGAAGGAAAAAGAGGCTAGGGAATGGCTGAAAAAGTTCATCGGCATGACGGATGAGCTGGAAGTTTGGTGGGATGAATTTAGAATCATCACTTTCCAAAATACTAGAAAAAATGTTGATCCTGATCCTCAGGTGGATGGCTTGTCCGATGATGAAGATGAAGCGGCAGCTGAAGCAAACTTTATGAAGAGAGTGTCCACACTGTTGTCCTCCTCGTTGAAAAAGGTGCGTTCTCTCTTTTATTCCAACTGTTTTTGTTCACGACTCAAAAGGGTCGACGGACCCTCGGGTTGGCCGGCATGGTTCCACCCAGACCGCCGGAGTATCCTGGCTGCTGGGGAAGGATGATGTCCTCAATATCAATATCAACTTTTGTGCCAATAACATTACTCCCTCTCCCCAAAATTAAACTAAAAATGAAAATCCAAACCAGCCATAATTTTGAGACAGAGAGAGTATCAGTTATCATCATCTGTGGTAGCGCCAACTCGTATTAACATCAAGAACTCTGGGTTACTTTAGTTTAAAAAGCTTATGTTTGTTTCGTTTTTTAGTGTGTGTTTCTAGGTATTTTTTGTATTGGGAATGTAAAAAGGTGTACTGGAAATGTAAAAAGGTATGCTGGGATGGGACATTTACTATTTTATTAATCTAAAAAAAACCATTAAAAAAAATAAATAAACAAACAAAGCCTTAAAATCAACATAGATTTCTCTCCTCGAATATGGGGTGAAACGTTTTTCGACTGCATTAACATCTATTAGGGATTAATGTTTTAATTGATGTGGTTCATAGCTGCTTTAGGTTACCAAGAGTTGATCTGTAGACCAAAATTTTCACCCATCTACCACATATTGGTGTTAATTAATTTGATGGTTGATATTGCTTCACTCTAATGTTAGAAAACTGATTAGACGAGGTGAAAAACTCCTTTTTGAGGAGAAATTATTGTGGTTACCAGCCATTACTCATAAAAGAAAATTGGGAACGAACATGAATGGAGCTTGTAGACTAGAGTTTATATTACTCCGATTTCCAGAACATAAGCATTACTCATTTTATTATTTAATTTTGCTGTTGTTGTACTACAGTGGAACCCTTCTGGTGTTAGGAAGCGGGTTCCTCCACTCAGTGCCGACATTGCTTCTAAAACAAGGGATTTAAATAGTAAATTAGATGCAATTTTGAATAATGCAACTGGATCCGGCTTTTTTCAAAGTGCTGCTGCTAGTAGTAGTGGTGGTAGTAGTAGTAGTGGTCAATCTTTTGCAGTTATGGTACCAACAATTGGTAGCATCTATGGTCACGTGGCTGCGGCTAATCTGCCAATTGCGGAGGCAATGTTGAATGAAGTTTATAATCTAGAAGAAATACTCCGAGTCCTAATGCCCGAGAGTAGTAGCAGCAGTAATGAGATCAAGGTTATCTGCATAACAGGTGAGTGGCGTTATCAAATTACCAGAATGGCTAAACAGCTATACATTGATGACAGAGTAAAGCAGTACTTTGAAGTTAGGAGATGGATAACGGTGGCTAACAGATTTGAAGCAGTCTATTTTGCAAATGATCTCCTTGGGGGCGCCCAAGAAAGGATTGCATCTTCATCTTCAGACAGGTCCTGGGAGTTACTGTTCCAGATGGTAGAAGAGTCGTTTTACATGAAGAGATTCCTAATTGTCCTTGACGATATTGTTCTGGATCATTGCCCCGTGCTGGATAGGCTCATATGCTCTCTTAAGCAAGGTGCTCCAGGGAGCGTAATTCTCGTGACATCCTGCGAGGACGCATCTCAGGGACTGAGATTGAGTAAAATGTTTGGTATCGAAAAGTGGTCTCCTGAAGAGGGTTGGCATCTTTTGAAAGTTATATCATTGTTTGGACGATCCAATTTCTCTGAGGAATTAGAGAACATTGGCCGGGATATTGTTGCGAAATGTGGGTGCATGACATTTGACCTAAAGATTATTGGAAGTCTTTTACGACTTAAAGACACTGTACCAGAATGGGAGGAAGTTTTGCACAGCAAGGTATGGGAGATGGAGGAAGTCAAGAAACAAGGTTATTGTCCTTTGTACATCAGCTATAGCGATTTACCCTTGCCATTGCAACGTTGCTTCTTATATCTGGGGGTCTTTGATCTTGACAGTGTCACACACGTTGAGCAACTCATTGCGGCGTGGATGGCAGAAGGTTATCTTGGCCCTCCAAGCATAAACGGTGATCGAAGGAGGCGAATGAAGGGTCTGGAATATTTCAATCAATTGGTAAATCGTTCTTTCTTCCTCAACTTCGTCAAAAGTTCTATCCACAAAGATCAAATATTAAGTTTCCAAGTAAACATTAGAGTTCTTGGATTTGCAAAATGGCTCGCGGGTGATCAAGTATCAACTTCTGCAGTTCTTGGCCAGAATAAGGCTCGAAGTAGTTTTCTAATAGCTTATCGCACTTCAGATTCTTCCATGTCTAATTTCTTACGCTATGAGTGCATTCGGCTATTGGATTTATCTTCTTCTCAACTAAGATCACTCCCCAGGGAGATACGAAGGTTAACTCTTCTGCAATACTTAAACTTGTGTGATAATCCGTTAAAGCGACTACCAGAGACAGTATGTGATTTACTTAATCTAGAATTTCTAGATGTAAGTCTTTGTTACATGCTGGTTAAACTTCCTAAAAGGATTGGGAAACTTCAACGATTGAAACACCTGAGAATTGATCACACCACAGATGAGTTACAAAAATTGCCACCATCATTTGCCAGTCTTAGATGGATTTGCACTTTGGATGTCTTAAGGATCGGTGGACAGTACAATAGTATTGGAGTGCTAGAGCACCTTGATAATCTTGAAGAAATATGCATTGCTATTCATGGTAAAGTAGATTTTGAGCATTCAAACTTGGAAAGGAAAACTCGATTGCAAAGCTTAGAACTTTGCTTTGTAGGTCAGGGCCGTGATCCAGAAGTGGTAACACTTGTCAAGGCATTATTTTTAAATGCACCTCCAAGCTTAGAAATTCTCAAGATCGAGGGATATCATGGAATCCAACTACCAAAGTGGATAGTCACTCCACGTCTTGGTGAGATATTGAACTTTAGATTAAGAAGGTTGACAGTGAGATCAGCTTTAAATCTCCTGTCCTTGCCTTCCTTCTACACGATGCAGTCTCTTGAATTTCTTTGGCTGGATGACATTCCAAATTTGAAACATTTAGATAAGGAAACCTTTGCACCGCCTAAGGTTGTGATTGATGTATATCGAGAAGACCCCGAGTCACATCTTAGAGGATTCGATAAAGGAATCCCAGTATTGCCAGCGCTGAGGACATTAAGAATCGAATCTCTAGTGAATTGGGAAACATGGGAAGATCTGGACGAACGGGATGAGAAATTTATCCACATCATGCCATGCTTGCAGGAGCTAATCATTAATGGTTGTCCAAAGCTGAAGGTCCTGCCCGATCGCATCTTCAGAAAGATGATATCCGTCCAGGTTTCCTACAGTGGTGAGTAGGTTCCCATTTCGGAAAACCAATTTATATACTTTCAGCTGAATCTAACTGATTCATTTTCATGTTTTAAGAGTATAAAATATCATTTTGCGTCTTCCTTATACATATGCTTTCTTTAACAGGTAACTTTGTTCACCCTTTGAAGCATTAATAAAGGGAAGCAGGAGAATTTGAAAAGCACAAGCCTCGGAATGTTTTCAACCATTTGTCTTCAAATGTAATTTGTGACTCAGGATGTTTTCATTTTTCTTCTATGTGATGTTGCTCTTTTGATTCCATAACAGCTGGTTCAATGTTATGGTGTTGCGTGAAATGCTAAGTATAAGTTTTTATGTGTGTAAGGATGCATTAAAGTTTCTGTAAAGATGTAAGGATGCCAAGTCAAAGTTTGATGAAGAAGTGGAATTGAACCTGGTGCATCCTGTTTTTTTTTTTTTATATTTTTTTTTTATGTGTTATTAATTCAGAAATCACCAAGGAAATAAACAATAATCCTTCAGGATTGTTGCACAAACATATCTCTCGCCAATTAAATATCACAAATTCACTATTGTATTATGCACAAGATTAGCCAACGGTAGATAAAAAATAATATCTCATATGGTTTGCTGTTGTGTAAAAAACTAAAAGAGTCCTATCATTTATTCAAATTGAACTATTAAATCACCGGAAAGCTGGAGGGAATGAATAACTGCATATGTGATATTCAAGCACTCATGCTCACAGAATTTTACAAAAAATTACGCAATAATGATTAGCGATATAGCAAATTCATGGATCAAATTTGTATTCCGATAGCTTGTAGTGGAATTTGTTATCTATGATTATGATGATGAAATGATCTTCCCATGTTTGTTATCTAGTGAAATGATCCTCCGACATAATCTCGCATCAGCTATTGTATCTGGACTAATATAGAATTAATCCAAAGTATGTGATATCAGTGATGACTTCAAGATTTCATAACAACATCGAAGACAATACCTTCAATACCTCTAAAAAATCTGGCATAAAATCAGTTCTAGAGACGTTGCTTGGAAAATATTTCTTTCATCGACCACTTTCTGAAGTGAATTCGGGATCCTTCCCCGGATGAAATCGCCATTCTGGCACGCTTTCCGTTCTTAGTGCTGCTGGCGTGAAAATTTTTTATCATGGAACTACCTGTTGGAAATTTATCTGGAGGAGAAAATCCGACATGGAGCCCAATAAGTAAGATAAGACTCATCTGAACTCAAAAGCTCAAGCTAATGGATTCTGAATCCATCTTACTTATTAACTGATTCACATGTCCTCGTGCTTTCGATGTGGGATTCATAATCCTTGCCACATGACCCTCAACATTCTCCCCCGTCATGGGCAATCTCCACATCGGGCTTCCAAATTATCTTGACAAGCCCAAATCTATACTCCACTTGAGTAACTGGGCCGCCCATCCCTACGCTTCCGCTCGTAGTGGGCCTTTGACTGCCTGAGTTCAGTCAGATCAACCGAGATAATTTGGGCTAAATCACCCACCTAACTGGCCCAACCTGGGCTCTGATACCACTGTTGGGGATTTATCTGGAGGAGAAAATTCGATATGGAGCCCAATAAGTAAGATAAGACTCATCTGAACTCAAAAGCTCAAGTTAATAGGTTCTGAATCCACCTTACTTATTAACTGATTCACATGTCCTCGTGCCTCCGATGTGGGATTCATAATCCTTGCCACATGACCCTCAACACTACCAAACTATTTGGTTGGCGGAGAACTCATGGATAACATAGAAGTGATTTTATATACGTAACTAGGAATCAATTTTGTTGGATCAGATCATGTAATATATGAAAATATCATTTTGAATTAATTAATATTTTAAATTTGATAATCTTCATTAATGTAACACCTTAACTCAAAATAATTTCCTCAATTCAAGGTTAAATTTGAATGTGATGCTTATCACATCGGCATCCTCGCTGTCAAATCGTAATCCCTCCCTGATTAAGGATATGATCCTTCACGATTTTCCTTAAATATACACCTTAATTGAAGATAGAATCCCCAACTCTATTTTTGAAATTTGGATGTCTTTTCACACTGACACGGCAGCTAAAATCCCAACCCTAAAACCTTATGCATTGGTGCCTTTGAAGTGCACGGGTACAATACTACCACAATGCAGGGTTTAAACTTTGATGTACAACACAGGTTGAAAGGTGCGATGGCAATAGTGGTAATGATGCTGTTAATCAATAAGAAAGCTGCAAGGTAATTTTTTTTCCCCACCTTTTTAGGTTAAAAGACCTATGAAACTTGATGGGATTTATTCTTTTTTTATTTTTTGGTTACAATATTGATGATGGTTGTGTGCAGGTTGATATATCCTACAAATTGTTTTGAATGTTATTTAAAGTTTTTACTTATTATTTTCATTTTTAAGTTTTTGGATGAACGTAAGAACTACGATGGAGGGATTCTTAAATCATCGCCGGTCTTTTCAATTCTCATCCACATCTACAAGACCCGCCACCGTGCGTTATCGCTAATTGAATCTAAAATGGTAAAACCATTTCGCTATTGTTTGAATTCAATTCACTTTTACTAATTTAAAAATTGTGTATGCTCGGATTTGTCTTTTTCTTCTTGGGTGATCAATTGTACAACTTTAGGAAGTGCTTGATGAGATCAACCAGAATCAGAGTGGTTTTGATTTTATTTTTTGCTTTGAAACCCCCAAGAAGCCTCTAAATAATTTGGTTTGTTGTAAGGTCTATTCTATTTCGTTTTTTTTTTTCCATATGGTTACCCGCACTATAGACAATTCTCAATTTGGATGAGAGCGTATATTACTAATGACCAGAAAAACTCATTTGCCTTTATCAAGGGGATGATATTGGGGATGATATTGGTGGCTTGAAGACGTTATGTCTTGATGAAAGGTACAGCTTTTCCCTCAACTTCCATCTTTCTCCTCGATTACTTGCAGAAGCTGAATTGTATTCAACTAAATTTATGTTCTTCTCTCTGTTTTGAATTCTTCTTTAGCTAAAATTTGTGGGGTTCTGTTGTTTTGTTGATGGCATACTTTGGATTATGGGTCTTATGTTTTGTTTTGTTCTTTTTAGTTTTTGGCGGCGGCATTAGTACTTTTCTGGATGTATCTTATTTGCAATCTTCTGCATTCATGTGTTTGGTTGCAATGAATTGTTGAAATCATTTATGCAGTTGCCGGCTGTGCGTTTGCAGGGGTCTTAGTTGCGTGGTGTTCTTTCTGCCAGAGATGGGATGTGTGTAATTTGGATCCCTGTTGTTAGCCTAAGGACAATGGTGTTCTACCACCATTAATTGGATGGATTTGAAGTTGAAAATGATGTAATTAATTAGATTCTGAGAATGATAATGCCAGAGGAAAGGAGAAAATGTTCCTTATAAGAACACTAAGGGAACTCCTGCTCAATTATGATCTCTTATTTTTCTAATTTTGGTTAGTTTATAGCGCTTCTAATTAATATACTCAATTTATAGATGCTGATTTACCTGGAATTTTTTTTTTCTATTTGCAAATAGAGAGAACGGTATGATAATATAATATTTTTATGCAATTGTATTTCTTTTTTTTTTTTATATATATACTGGGGAAAGCAAAAAGCTTCGGTGTACAAAAGCAACTCTTAGACGAGAGTTGGGCTAGAGCAATCTAGCAACAATTTTCCCGACGTCGACGGTGGGGGGAAGACAAAATATACAAGCACGTGCGTCGGAAGAGACCTAATTTAGCAAGAGAATCAGCCGATTCATTCACTCCGTTTTATAAATGTTGTTTCTACTACCCATTGATGGGTGTCTATGAATTTACAGATCCTAGGCAAAATGTTGCTGGTTAGGCAGAAACTGGACTTTGTGTTGATCTAATCCACAGCTTGGGCCGAGTCCAGTTGTAGTTGAACTTTTCTGAAGCCCAAGTCCTAGGCGATACGTAACCCAAAACAATCAGCCCAGAGATTAGATTCAAGGACTGAGCATACTCCAATCTTGGCTGTAAATCCAGTGATCCAAGATCCTTCGTGATTTCTTAGGAGTCCACCGGCAGCTGCTTGACCCGTTAAATGTTCGACCGCTCCGTCCACATTCAGACGAATCCACTGCCAACGAGGTGGTTTCCAGGTTGTTCCATAAACGGGATAATCATTGTGGGTTATATTTTGGCAAATTTGTGTCTTGTGTGCCCCAATTGATCTTGCTATCTCCTTGGTGGCAATTTGGGTTGATATCTCCAGTTTGCGGCTGCCGATGTATTCCCCTTCGAAGACATGGCGATTACGGGCCTCCCAAAACTTCGAACAGCCTACAGCAAACAGCATTGACCACCGGATGTTGTCCTGTAAGGTTAAAGAGCTCAAGTTAGTGGAAAGCCAAGAAGTCCAGTCTTGTTCATGCCAGAATTCCGGCGGTAGATTTGAGTCGATTTGCCCCCACGTTTGGCTGATTTTGGGGCAATCCCAGAACAAGTGGGACAGTGATTGTGGTTTGCCACAGAAAGGGCACGCATCGCTGTCGGAGATATGTCTCCTCCATCGTTCAACGTTCGTTAGCAGTGTTCATCTGAAGAGTGACCATAAAAATGTTTTGATGCGCTCTAGTCCATTCCAGCCCCAGACCAGGTTCCATTTTCTGTCTTCCTCTTCCCAGTTGCTCTGTCCAATTAGATTGTAGGCCGACGAGGTGTTGAATCTGCCTGATCTCGTCCACCTGCATGAGGGTATATCCGGTCCTAAGTCATCTTCTGGTGCGGGAATGGCCGTGATTTTGGCGATTGATTGGTAGTTGAGGTATGGTTCAATAATTGACCAGTTCCACTTGTCGTTGCCATCAATATATTCGATTAGTGTTTTTAAGTATTCTGGTGGGATCTCTTGTGTTGCCTGGTCTTTAAGGGGGCTTTGTGAGTTTGCCCATAGGTCTGTCCAAAAGAGAATTTTTCTACCGTTTCGCACATTCCATTTGATGCCTTGCTCTGCTGTCTGTCGTACCAGGGAGAGTTGTTTCACCAATCTTGAAAGCTTGGTTGTTCTTCCCAATTGTGGAGCGTATTTGGCTTGAATACAGAGGTCCAGAGGCTGTCTTTTTCCGTTAGTAGCTCCCAAGCCAATTTAAGAATGAGGGTGGTGTTCATGTCTCTAATTTTTTGAATTCCCAGTCCTCCACGATTCTTCGGCTGGCACACCTTGTCCCAGTTAACAAGGTTTAATTTCCTTTCCCCATGTGAGCTCCCCCACAAGAAGTTCCTCCTTAGCTTATCAATTTCATTAATGACTCCTTTAGGAATCAACTGTGATTGCATCAAGTAAAGCGGCACGGCTGAC